ACTCTCCATGAGTGATGGGAGGGTGTAGGAGTGTGGGTCGGGGTGGTTGTTCTTGGCCTGCTCCGGTTTGGCAGTGGAGGTCTCATCCAAATCCATCAAGTGGCATTATCTTTTCATCGGCTGTGTGCAAGGCCGTGGAAGCTGCCTTGGCCTCTCACTCAACATGAAACCCCACGGCTTCGTCTTGGCTACAGTCACTACCTCCCCCCCCCCTCGTCTCACGATGCTGTCAAACTAAACATGCGACCCCACCTGAAGGTGTTCCGATAACAGCTACTTGCTCGAAAAGTCTGCCAAAGCTGTATGGGTGATGTTTGTTTTTGGTGGTGGTGGTGGTGGCTGTGGTGGTAGTGGCGGTGGTGGTAGTGGTGGCAGTGGCGGTGGCAGTGGTGGTGGCGGTGGTGGTGATGGTAGTGGTGGTGGTAGTGGCGGTGGTAGTGGTGGTAGTGGTGGTGGTAGTGGCGGTGGTGGTAGTGGCGGTGGTGGTAGTGGCGGTAGTGGCGGTGGTAGTGGTGGTGGTGGTGATGGTAGTGGTGGTGGTAGTGGTGGTGGTAGTGGCGGTGGTAGTGGTGGTGGTAGTGGTGGGACTCTCCCGTGTCGTTCACTCTCAAGTCACCGTTCATTAAGGCTACAACAATAATAATTAGCGATTCGCTGGTGAATATTTTCACGGCCCCATTTCGGTCACAAATGGGAAGCAAAGGGGCGAGATTGCCACATATACACAGATTGCATTACTGTATTGTTGTTGTTGTTGCGGTTGTCCAGCAAGTCCTCGTTTAACGCGGTAGACGCGGTCCTGAAAAGTGCCGCATTAAGCGAAACACACACGAAGAAAAAAAATTTCCCCATATCTTATTGGTTCTTTCGGTAAAGTCACGTAAAAGGGAAATAATAAAAATAAAACATAATAAAATAATTCTCACGACGTTTCGGCCACAATGCAAGCAGCTGTCCTCAGGTGAAGAACAGGTCTGTCAGAAAAAAAATATTACGATAAAGTTTGGCGAGATGGTACGATCCGCTCCGACGCACGCACTGGCGGTGAGATGGCGAAACAAAAAAACTATAGGGCGGTACGTCGCCTCGTTACTGCGTCGTATCCTGTATCATACCGCTCACGAAAGTAGTTCTTCGTCGACTGCTCAGAAACCGTGTTATGACAAGGACACATTCTGCGTTACGCAAAAAGTGTTCCCGAGTGGAAGGACCGCGTTCTAGCAAAACACGTTGTGTGAACACGCGTTAAGCGAGAACTTACCACGTAATTATTATTATTCGTACGTGTCAAGCATTGCTCGTTTTCTGACGAGTGAAACTCCTGAGCGGCGCTCATCGCGACTGGAAATTGAGCCGTGGGCTTAGGCCAGGCGGCTGAACTCGGGACACGTCGAGAAGTTTGCGAGGACACGAAAGCCGTCGTCAAATTCCCTCGCACGTGGCCTGACCCCCCCCTCCCCCCCCTTCAGACAAGCCACGTGACTGTGTGGAGTGATACGTTCTAGATTTGAAGCTTTCGTGACTGCAAGGATTCGTATTCTTAGGTTGTTTCGGTAAAGTCACGTAGGTAAAAATGTTAAATTAATAAAAGTAAAATAAAAATAATATAATAAAATGAAAAATCACGACGTTTCGGAGGCAACACAAGCTTCCGTCTTCAGGTGGAACCGTCACAGCCACGATAGCTGTGTTTTATTAATTTTAATTTTTTTTACCTACGTGACTTTACCGAAAAAACCTAAGAATATGGAGTGATACTCTTAGGTTTTTTCGGTAAAGTCACGTAGGTAAAAATTAATAAAAGTAAAATAAAAATCACGTTTTGGAGGCAACGCAAGCTGCCATCTTCAGGTGTGGCGTGAATATGAACCCACGTGACCCCCCCCACCACCACGTGACCCACCCCCGTCGCTCCGTGCCCTTGCTCCCTCCCGGCTCGTCGCTGCTCCCTGGTGGACGCACGAACATTCGCCTCTTGGGCGAGGCGTCGACCCCCCCCCCCCAACCTGCATCTCGAGCACGCGGGCGAACGGGAAGCCCGCAACTCACTCACCTCACCTGCTTCTCACCTGATCGCCACACGCGCCTCACCTGACTCACCTGATCGTCACACGCGCCTCACCCGATCGCCACATTTATTTAACTTTTTTTGCAGTTTACCAGGTAAGGCCCACCGAGCTGTACAGCTCTTTTTCAGAAGCGACCTGGCGATCACAAATGACAGCTCAACCAAGTGGCTTATCGCGTGGAAGTTTTAAGCGGTCAAATAACTCGACAACGCGTGACGTTGATTCTGTGGAGGGAAACACCGGAGGACCAGGAGAAAAATCCACGCGACCACGGGGAGAGACGCAAACTCCACACATGCAGCAACAGGCAGCAGGCGTCAGGGTCGTGATCGAACCCACGCACTCCTGTAGACCAGGCGAGGTAGTTAACATCTCCTAGCCACCGTGATGATGAGAGACGAAAACTACAAATATGCTGCATGATGGCCACGTGGGGGGGGGGGGGGGTACGGTTTAGCCAATGGGAGCATAGGAGTAGAGTACAACAACTGGTACTGCACTGCCCTCTGCTGACAAACACAAGGACAGAACAGTGTTGACGAAAGCGTTGGGTGTTTGTCCTGTGCACAGTGTCGATGACACAGGGTGGCACAAAAGTCAGGACACACAGCAGGTAGTATTTATTTTAACAAAGCACACTTCATCTGAACCGAACCTCCGCCTAGGTTGACTCGGCCTCGAAACGAGTACCTGGAGCTGCGTGCAAAACGTACATCACCCTTTACACTTTATAAAGCAAGATATTACAAAGCGATCAACAACAAAACACATGCATAGCTTTCAGCAGGCACGCGATAGCTTTGCTTCGACTTTGATGCAAATTTCACTTCAAACAACTGTGTACGCACACGTGCGTGCCTCGTCTTTGGTGCGTACGTGTCTACGTGCACAACACGTGCTTGTATGCACGTGCGGAGCGGCAGTGTTAGCGGTCAGCGCGCTGCTACTACGAACCAGGCGACCCCAGTTCCATTCCCGCTCACAGCCAACACCAGTGACAAGTATCTGAACCAGTCCTGGGCCTCCCCTGGGTCGACTCAGCCTCAAGCGAGTACCCGATGCGTAAACATCGCCACAAGGGAGACAAAGACGGTCGGGCGTGGTGCCTGCCACCTACTCCCTCGTGTGCCATATTGTACTTTATTGATGCTTGCTAACAGCACTTGCCTCAAAATCTGTTCAGGTTATAGAGGGGATCTTTGTCTTTTGTTTGAGCGTACACACACATGCCTGTGTGCGTCCAGGCCTTCCGCGTATGAGGGAACAGCACAGGCCGTCGCGAATCTCACAGCGAATCTGAACGGACCACGCCGAGCTGAGGGCTGGGTATGGTTCTAGATTTGAAGCTTTCGTGACTGCAAGGATTCATATTCTTAGGTTTTTTCGGTAAAGTCACGCAGGTAATTTTTTTTTAATTATTAAAAGTCAAATAAAAATAAAATAAAAATCACGACGTTTCGGAGGCAACACAAGCTTCCGTCTTCAGGTGGAACCGTCACAGCACGATAGCTGTATCAAGTGAGAGAAATTCCAAGAACACAGTCCTTGTATATATACTGGTTGAGGGTGGGAGGAGCCAAGGTAGGCCCTGAATATTATTTTTGTGAGGTTCGGTGCGGCTGAAGCACGCCGTTAGGAATGAGCCTTTGTTGTGTAAACTAGGTGCGGCTGATGTAAAGGTGCGTGTAAAAGGCTGGGTATGGCTCACAAGTGGACCGGGAACAATGTAGAATCGAACTCGGGTCGCCGGGGGGCTGTGTGAAAGCACCACCGCTGTAGGCCCTGCTAACACCACCATTGCTGCCGCCGCCGCGATTTTAACTCGCCCCATCGTGCTTGTAAAGATTTAACCCCGTCTGTTTTGAATGTTATTTACAAATGCGCCGTGATTTGTTACACGTTTCTTTCAGGGCAAACAGCGGGCCCTGCCCCCACCACATCGCTCGCCACGCTCGGCGGTAAATACTGCGGTTGTGGCGAGCGCGGAGCAGAGACGCTCACAACAACGGGCCGAGCCCCGGGCGGATAAAACGCACCAAGGTGGCACAGCGAGGGGGCACTGCACACCTGCGAGTCACCTCTGTGGTGGCTAGGAGATGTCAACTCCCTCGCCCGGTATGCAGGAGGTCGTGGGTTCGATCCCGACCCTGATGCCTGCTGCTGCATATTTGGAGTTTGCGTCAGAGGTCGCAACCGGGTACCCGATACCCGTACCCTACCCGATACCCGGCTACCCGTACCCAGCCGGGTACGGGTACCCGTTTGCGACCCTGGTGCGGCCGGGTACAGGTACGGGTAGGCCGTGAGTCACTGGTGAGTAACTGTTTGTCACTCATTTCCCAACGTCTTGACTCTTCTCACAATTCAAGTTCCTAGAATCAACCCACCCGCGCCTGCAACATGGCTTCATCCCAGAGGTACGGGTAGGGTACGGGTATGGCCGGGTACGGGTACCCGTTTGCGACCCTGGTGCGGCCGGGTACGGGTACGGGTAAGGAATCAAAACCCGTTTGCGACCTCTGGTTTGCGTGTCTCTCCCTGGGGTCGCGTGGATTTTTCTCCGGGTCCTCCGGTTTTCCCCTCAATTTAGAATCGAAGTCGCGCGTTGAGACAATTTGGCTGCTACAAATGTCCGCATGAGGCACTCTCAGCTATATCACTTGTGGCCAGGTCACGTCTGAAGAAGAGCTATATCACTCGGCGTGCCTGACCTGGTCAAATAACAAGTTATTAGTTAGTACTGGTAGGAACCTCCTGGTTACACCAGCCCACAGGGGATTATTGTGTCCCTCCGTCCGGCGTGCATCCAAAAATGGGAGGGGTGGGGCTGGGTGGAGAGGGGAGGGTGGGGAGGGGCCGGGTGGGGAGGGGAGGGTGGGGAGGGGCTGGTTGGGGAGGGTGGGGCTGGGTGGGGGGTGGGAGGGGTGGGGCTGGGTGGGGAGGGGCTGGTCACCCCGTGGTGCCCTTATAAAACTCAACGTTTAACCTACTCACGCCGGCTTGTGCCCGCCCTCACAGTCGGGCATATTTGCGGAATACACCACGCCGCCGTTGACCCTGGCCATTGACCGAGCAACCCAACGTTCCTACCAGCTCCCTCCGCAGGAATGTGTTTAGTTAGATAATCTCGGAAAATTTACCTTCTTGGCCTGTGCCGTGACCTCCTACCACACCGAGCGAGGCCCTTCGACACTTCACGTGTCCTCACCCGTGCACCGAGCTTGGCACGAAAAATAGCTTCTTGGCATCACCGTCACTTGAGTGACAAGCATATATGGGCGAGTGCGTGCACATTTATGGGTGTGCAATTGTGTATCCGAGTGTGTACGCCCAGGTCACTCTTGCAAATGAGTCTCACCCTGGTTAAACAAATAAACGTAACTTGTGTGTGTGTGTGGGCACATCTGTACGCATTTGCCTGCTTACTCACGTATGCACGCGTATGGTTGCGTGCGTGCGTGCGCGTGCGGCGAGTGTTGCGCTCCAAACCCCGGCGACACGAGATAGATTCCCGCTCACGGCCTCTACCAGTGACGATTATCTCAACCGGGCCTGGGGCTCCCCTAGGGTGACTCGGCCTCAAATGAATAATACCTGGTGCTGTGTTTAAAACATTGTCACTAGGGTGACAAAGGTGGCCGGGCGTGGTGCTGGCCACCCAACCCCTCGTGTGCCGTGCCAGCCCTTTATTAGGCGCTCGCTAACAGCACTTGTCCCAACGGTCTGTTAAGGCTACACGGGGGATCTTTGTCTTTGTGTGCGTGCACACGCAGGTGATTCTCGTCTGCATGCGTGGGCGCGCGTGTCCCTGTGCAATGACCTTGCTCCCAACAATAAATAAACATTCATAATTTACACCAGCACTGTGCCTTAAATATTTACATTTTGTACAAAAAAATCCAACCATTATTTAATTCGTTATTGACACTGTTTGCTCTAAGTATCAACAAAATATAAATGACCACAGTTCCACAGGACCATAAACTATTTACAAATTTTTTTCTGCCGCGGCTAAAAAGACTCCACCATTCTCAGTGCCGCCGGGAAAGAGGGAACTGGTATTCGTAGGGACACACTTCACCCCGTCGTCACGGCGATCCCCGTCGTCACGGCGATCTCCCCGTCGTCACGGCGATCACCCCGTCGTCACGGCGATCTCCCCGTCGTCACGGCGATCCCCGTCACCACGACGATCCCCGTCGTCACGGCGATCTCCCCGTTGTCACGCCGATCTCCTTCACCACGGCGATCCCTGTCGTCACGGCGATCTCCCCGTTGTCACGCCGATCCCCGTCACCACGGCGATCCCAGCCGTCGTCATAGTGATGCCACCCATCGTCACGACGATACCATCATGATCGGCGACGTTCACCGCTTGTAGAGAGAGATCTGTGAGAAGGTCGAGATGGCGAACGCAGTTCATACGCAAGCATGGCAGATACTCCAAACAGTTATCGTAATAACCATGCAGATTATTACCCCAGGACAGCCCAAGTGTCAAAACTTTCTCAGTGGGGGTCCTACTACGTCGATCTGGCCGATTGAGAGTTCAAACACCCGTTCGAGGGGAGGGTGGGTTGGCTCAGCCCATCATCCTTCGCGGGAGGTCAACTAAACCAAGTACCACTTTGTGGGTGAAGTCAACAGTGGCTCCTGCTATGGGATAGACTCATCACGTGGAATTCCCACCACTGGCTCTGCAGAGGCTGTACACAGGAGATGATCACCAACGCCTTTTCTCAATGCTCAATCTGAGCAACAGGAGGTAACGCCGCGAGGCTCGACCGCGACAGAGGAATGTTGGGCCGGCAGCATGAATCCGTGCTGTGCTTTGACGTGGGAGGAAACCGAAGGGCTCAGAAAACCCGGAGAAAATGCACCACACAAGAGTGGGGGGGGCGGGGAGGGGGGAGTGTGAGGGGGAGGCTGGGGGGGAGACTGAACCTGAGCTTCATCTTCTTGGTTCTTTCGGTAAAGTCACGTAGAAGGGAAGTAATAAAATAATAAAAATAAAACATAATAAAATATTATTTTATTACTTCCCTTCTACGTGACTTTACCGAAAGAACCAAGAAGATTAATCCCTGCAGTCACGAAAGCTTTAAATCGAAATTCAACCTGAGCTCTTAATGGCCCAAATCGCTCGTGTCGAGGTAGACAACGGAGATGAATTACTCCACTCCAGGAAAGCCACAGCGGTTCTCACCACAGCACTAGCTTCAACAGTCGGGATGTTCGGGTAACTGAATGAATGAGCAGCGCTCCGGCACCGCAGACGTCAACCACCCTGGACACCCTGGCAAATCGGCAAAGCGGCAAATCGGCAACGGGTCGACGGCCCGCTCGTTGTTGCAGAGGGTCACCGTTCCAAATCCAGCCGCCGCCCCGGATATTACCGCAGTGGGGAGTAACCGTAAATACCGCTTCGCTCGTGGTGGACGTTCAAGATCCCCCGGCGTGGTTCGGCTAAAATTAGGCCCATCGCGTGCCCGGCGTCAGCGTCCAAAGTTGCCAAATTAGAAAAATGCGACACCGCAAATTACTCAATTGGGGTTATACAGGAAGCAATCATCGTCCCCCTACCTGTCGACTAATGCCCACGGTCTCGCAGACTCGCGTAGAGACAGACACTCGCACAGAGACACACACAGATTCACGTAGAGATACAGGGAGTCCTCGACTTATGATGGAGATGCGTTACGACGACCCCATCGTAAGTCAAAAATATCGTAAGTCGAAGATGGCCTAGCCTACCCAGGAGTCTTAAAGAATGGTGATAATTTAGCAAAACAGAGCGATTTACAGTACCGTACTGTATAAACTATATACTGTATGTATTTATAAATTACAAAACTGTATTGCACAGTAAAATGTTAAGTAAATTCTTAGCCTACCTATATGAACTGCAATTTAATAGAAAGTTGTTTTCAGGAAACAATCCTATCTGCTACAAAATCTTTTAACATGCATTGAACGTATCGTATCGTGGTAACCCTAAAATGAAATCGCTAATGCTACGTATCATACATGCATTGGAACTTATCGTACGCTGCTGCGTTTGCCTGCCGCGCGAAATTTAGAATATTTCACAATTTTGTCGTATCGCTATCGCCATCGTAAGATCGAAATATCGTAACTCGGGGACTATCTGTACATGGACTCACTTCGCGATCATCGCCCCCCTCTACTGGCAGATTCATGCCCTAGAGCACAAAGAGTCCAGACTCCACCTGGACTCTTTCAGTTTCTCACCGGGTTACGCAAAATAAAACTTGGGAAAACTTCTAACACCCCCCACCTCCGAAAAGGGGGTTTCCCACGTGAAATATTTTTAGCAAAAAAAAATTATCGTTTCCCCACTTTGCTGGGGCCGTCGCGTACTGCGGAGTAATAATAATAATTATTATTATAATTTTTGGTTTCTAAACAACCTCAAAAGTACGAGGCGGGCCGTCTTAACATTCCGGAGCGCGTCGTACAATCGGGAGAATATCGCATTACGCATCCGTAGAATTTGTCCAAACACCCCAATGCTTCCGAACCCTCCTGGAAAGAATTTTTTTTTTTTATAAATTACGTTCCGCGTCATTAAGAGCTCCCATTGACGTCTCCGTTGTGGTGGGTGGGTGGGGGGGGGGGTTCTGGTTGCCAGTCTGTAATTACTCCACTCGCTTGGAACCCGACTTGGATTCGCATGGCATCACCGCTCGGGGCAGACGACGCGCGCCACCACGGAGCAATTTGCGGTCTGCCACCGGGGATGGGCGGGCTCGCCGCGTAGATGTTAACGGAACGCTGTGCTGGAACGGAACCAATAAATTTTGACGGCAATTTCCATGCAGACCCACGCGACGTAGTGTGTAATAGCAGTTAATAGTTGTGGAACGCACGCTGGATCTGTTGTTATGCTTACTAAATATAAAATAAAATTTCGTCCGCGTCCATCATCGGGGCCTCTCGGGTCCAATTCTTGACCGCTGTTTTCCTGCAACGCGCGTTCTTAAGCATTAAAACCGCCACCCACAAAGTGGTTTTCAACTTCTCTGGGTCTCATCAGCAAGTGGAGGGGGTCCTCAATTTCAATCCGCCGTGCGAGAGAGAGCCTCACGAAGTGCGAAAAACCTCGGGGCGAGACCCAAGCTCACCGAAAAAGAGTCGCGAGAATCGGGGAATGCTTCCCTGGGTAAACAAGCGAAATCAAAACAAATAATAATAATAATAAAAGGCAGCGATCTGGTGACCTCAACTCCGTGACCCCGTGACCCCCATGACCCCATCACCTCTGCGAGGACGGCACGGTGCTTTGCAGCGGCGAGGCGAGCACCCTCCTCCTCGTCGACCCCGAGACGTCTCCTCCGGCGCACCTCCTCGCAGTAGCGACGGGCCAGCACCATCAGCCACGCCACGTAGTCTGTGCGACACGGAGAGATCCCGCACCGATAATTGGTTTTTTGACCCTTTTATCTGGCAACAAAACTGACACCTTTTTTACAAGGAGTCATGTTTGCATAGACCACAATACCTGCAGTCATAATGCAAACAAAAAACATAACTCTGATAATGTATGCACTGTCCTTGAAGTTGATTGGTCCACACCCGAGACAGCTTTCCTTAGAGCCTAGTCTCACATGGTGTTGGACCAGATGACGCCAAAAGGCGCACAACTCAAAGACAATGCTGCACCATCAGAGTATGAGAGCTCAGGGTAAGCATTTACACCATTGGTGTCAGTTTTGTTGCCAGATAAAAGGGTAAAAATCCAATTATCATATTTTTTACTGGCAAATGAGGTTCCAATGGAGCTCCCGCACCCTCGCACCACGACCTCTCGCCCAAGGAGCAGTCACTACGTGACCCCCCCCCCTCGTCCCACAATTGTGGGACGAGGGGGGGGGGAGTACTGGACATACTGGACATCCGTGAAAAAGAGATTTAGATCTCATCGGATTCCTCCAGCATAAATACATATTCTGAATCTGATTCATTTCTCACCCCTCGGACCACTCAAATCCACAGCCCCTCACAAATTAAGTCTGACCTCAACGTCTCTCACCTATGACCGCTCACCGAGGACCTCTCACTCCCAAAAAAACATCTCCACTCGTGATGCCACTTGAGGTTGCCACGTGAGCTCCACTCTCGGCCGCCGCCGGTCGGAAACCCGACTCGTGTTGTTTCGGCAGGGCGTTACCTTCCAACCCCCGCCCCCTCCGCCCTCCCCCACCCTGCACCCCCTGCCCTCCCCCTCGCCCCACCCCCCCGGCACCCCCGCATCTTTGAAGCGCGTGAGCGCGAGTTGCCCCGGCGCTCACCGTGCACCGTCGTGTCGTCGCCGGCCTCCAGCTGACTCCTCAGCCACTCCTCCTGCCGGCCCAGCAGCATGAAGCGCTGCGCCAGCGCCGGCGAGGGCGTGCGCCCCATCTCCAGGTACACCGCCAGCTGCAGGGGGCAGCAGCGGCAGCAGGTGGCAGCGGCAACAGCGGGGGAATCAGTGGTGGCAGCAGCAGCAGTGGCATGTGGCAGTGGCAACAGCGGGGGTAGCAGTGGCATCAGTGTCAGGAGCAGTAGTGGCAGTATTGGCAGTAGTGGCAACAGTGGCAGCAGTAGTAGCATTTAGGCTGTCCGCGAAGCGGCGAATGCTATGACGGTGCAATGAGGTATAACGCTCACGAAATTCATATCGTCTGTTAGCTAAATTATCGCCGTTATCGTGATTATCGTCACCCGTTTTGTTTTAAGAGAACACGTTTTACACGCAGACAACATACACACTACACGAAATAGCAAACGCGACATTCAAGTTACAAGTATATATTTGTATCTGCTAAATTCTTGACTTTGCGAAACGTTTACAGGAGTGATGGATGACAATCTTATGGTACGATGTGATTTTTCACAGTTCACTTAATGATCTCATTCTCTCTCGCGCTGCACGCTGGCGTGTGTCTCACGAGCAATGCGTCGGCTGCCAGGCTACAGTGATGACGAAACACATGGCAGGCTTAAAATGGGAATGTTTTTGTGTTGTTTGTTGAAACGAGGGAAGGAGTGGCGATGTGAGCCCGAGGAGTCACCTGACTTTCGAGCAGCTTCCGCTCCAGAGCGAGCACCTCCACGCTCGCCACGTCCAGGCTGCATCACAAAGACAAAGATCCCCACGCCCCCGGGGTAGCCTTTAACAGACTGTTGCGGCAAGTGTTGTCAAAGCGAGCACCCGTAACTGGGGACCGGTCACACGAGGTGGGTGGGTGACCAGCGCCGAGCCCAGGTGTGATGTTTACGCAATGGCGCACCAGGTACTTACTAAAGTCCGAGTCGACCTAGGCGAGGCCCAGAACCAGTTCAGAGAATCGTCACCGATGTCGACCGTGATCAGGAATCGAACTCGGGTCGCCGTGTTAGTAGCGCAGTGCACAAACCAATCTGCTACCGCTCCCCACATACGTGCACAAGAGATAAAGATCCCCCGTATAGCCTTAACAGACCATTGGGGCAACTGCTGTTAGTGAGCACCTATGAAGGCGGGCACGGCATACGAAGTGGTGAGTGGGCAACACCTCGCCTGGCCGCCTTTCTCTCCCGAGTGGCAATGTTACATATCGCACCAGGTACTCATTTGAGGATGAATCGACCTAGGGGAGGCCCAGAAAATCGTTTCAGAAAATAGTCACTGGTGTTGGCCATGAGCAGGAATCGAACTTTGGTTGCTGGGATCGTAGCGCAGCGCACTAACTGCTAAACTACCGCTTCCCACACACACGCGCGCGCACACACACACACAAACACACGGCATCGAACAAAAGGGTTTAGTAACCATGAGAAACCATTTTTTCCCCAGTCCTGACCACCAGAACTGGTTGAACATTACAATAAACAGATGCCCGACAAAATCCCACTTCCACAATGTACATTCCATCATGATCATCGCTTGATATTTATTACCGCGCCTCCCTTGCAGGACACGTGGCAAGCTCGCCCTCTGTGACACAAGCCGAGTGAAGCAACCAGCATCTGCAATGCGCATGTCCAATACACTGCTGGATGAGGGACCACCCCACCTCGACCCACGACCCCACGCCGTCGGGGTCGTGGGGGCTAATCGGCAGCACTTCGCCACGCAGGGTCCGCACGGGTTAAAGGTGGGGGAGCGTAAACGTCGGCGCATAGTGCGGTACAACAACGGCTTTTGCTGCGCCGACCCTTGCTGACTAACGACGTAGCCCCCGCGGCAGGCTACGACCCCCGGCTCACGACTGTGGCGCGTACGTGTGTGTGTGTGTGTGCGTCGGTGCGTGTGGTTGGAAAGTCCTACCTGCTGGGATCAATTTCCACGCCCCTGCCGGACAGTATCACCTGCAACACAACACTCAATCTCAGCAAAAGACAGCCCAGCGGCTTTCAACTGCTGTGCCCATGTTGCCCCCCCCCCCCCGTCCCCCACATAGGTGTGGGGGATGGGCAACCTGTGCATGCCCCCCCCACCCCCATCCTCCCATTCAGTGACCCTCGTTGTGAAAACGGCCCCGGCATAAAACATCTCACTCAGCCGATGCCAGGACCTCTCTTCGTCACAGAACAGAGGCCCATGCAGGCTCAGATGCTAAGCAAGGCGAGGCCTAGCGATCGTCACGGGAGACCCTGCCCCTCGCCTACCTTGCCTACCCGACCCGGCTCAAGGTACACAGGACAAAGCAAAGACAACGATCTCCCCGCTGTAGCCAGTGCGAAAGGATGCACGGAGAAAAGCGTTGTGACCTGCAGCAGGGTGAGTGGGTGGGTAAGTAGGTGAGCGTTTGAGTGAGGTGGGCGAGTGAATATGTTGTTGACCTGCTGTGCGGTGGTGGATGAGATGCAACAGTCAACCAGGTAGACGCGATTCCTCAACACGGGTGGAAAGAATCAACGGGCGAGGCTCATGCGAGCAGTAACCGTGGTGGTGGTGGTAGTAGCGGCAGAAGGGCGGTAAGGAGGCGACTGACCTCCGATGAGCCCGGTGCTACCGGCTACGGCTACGGGAGGGGGTAGTAACGCTCGCGACATTCACCCGGACGGATCTTCGCACGTCTGCGGATTTACTCTTGGCATTCGCTGCCAATTAATTAAACCTCCCGGAACAACCCCGGCAACAGAAACACAACGCATCCCTTTGGACGCGCCACCCGCTTGGCACGCGAGCGCCGCTCGCTAGCCCCTAGCTCGTTCGCTGCCGCAGCCGTTTGGCCCAGCGCCGGTCACTTTTGGTGGAGGGGCGGAGGGGGGGAGGGGGGGGAGGGGCGGTCGCGCATGCGGCTCCCCACCGCCGGCACAGCTGCCTCCGATTACCGGCAGCGCTCGCGAGCAGCCGCTAATGGCTGTTAAACCGTGCCATACGCCGGGGTTTGGCTCGGCAACGAAACAGACCCCGGGAACCGCGGATCGGCTCAGCTGTTCCCAGAGACTGTGTCGGGGTGGCGGTGGAGAGGGGGGGGGGTTGCGTGTGAGTGAGGGAGCATGCTTTCACTCCGACTTAGCGTTAAAGGGATTTCTGCCGTGGGAAGGGAGCGCGCGCACGTGCACGCACACGCGTTCGATGTAGAGGTTGGAAATTTTATTTTACCGGGAGAAGATGTGGGGGGTGGGTGGGTGGGGCGGGGGCGGGGAAAAACAAGCGAGTTGGAACGTTGTTCCCGTTCGCGAGGGGGCTCCGTGTGTTCGTGCGCATTGCACAGCCCCGTGTGTGGCGATCCACTGCTGGATGAGGACCGCACCATGTGGTGCGGGTCGTTGGTGTGGGGGGGGGTTTCGCTTTATCGTGCTTCGTCACGCGGTCAGCGCGGGCCGCTCAACGAGGAGACAACCGCAACGGTCTTCCGGGTAGTACTCGCCGCCACCGATGTCGGCCGTGGCCGCGGGAACTGAACACGAGCAGCCGGGTTCGTAGCGGAGGTGGGGGGACGTATATCAGAGGTCGCAAACGGGTTTTGATTCCTTACCCATACCCGTACCCGGCCACACCAGGGTCACAAATGGGTACCCGTACCCGTACCCAGCCGGGCACGGGTACCCGTTCCCTACCCGTACCCGTACTCTACCCGAAATGAGTGACAAACAGTTACTCACCAGTGACTCACGGTCTACCCGTACCCGTACCCGGCCGCACCAGGGTCGCAAACGGGTACCCGTACCCGTACCTGGCCGGGTACGGGTATCCGGGTATCGGGGAGGGTACGGGTATCGGGTACCCGGTTGCGACCTCTGACGTATATGGACGCTGTTGCACCGCCCTCTGCAGGCAAGGCAGCGCCGCTGAACCCCACGGCACGGCTTTGTGTGCGGCGACGGCCGCCCATCCGAACACTACCCAGTCTCGACCCAGGCTGCAATTGAGATGCAGCATTATTCAGGAGAGAGAGAGGCCCGACATATGAGAAGGATTACTCCACAAGGCTGTTATTAACGTACCACAGCACCTGCGCGCGTGGGCGTGTGTGGGTGTCAGTCGGTGTTTGTGTGCATGTGTGCGGGGGAGCGGCATTGCAGCGGTTAGCGCGCTGCGCTCCGAACCCGGCGACCCGAGTTCGATTGCCACTCACGGCCAACACCAGTGACGATTATCTGAAGCGGTCCCCCTAGGTCGACTCAGCCTCAAATGAGTACCTGGTACGGTGTGTAAACATCGCCACTAGGGAGACAAAGGCGGTCGGGCGTGGTGCTGGACACCCACCCCCTCGTGTGCTGTGCAGGCCTTCATAGGTGCTCGCTAACAGCACTTGCCCCAACAGTCTGTTAAGGCTATACGGGGGATCTTTGTCTTTGTTTTTTGGGGAGCGTTAGCACAGTCGTTAGCGCGCTGCACCTACGAACCTGGCGACCCGAGCATGATTCCCACTCACGTCCTGAGCCCCCACAAGGTCGACTCAGCCTCAAGTCAGTACCTGGTACGGTGTGTAAACGTCGCCACTAGGGAGACAAAGGCGGTCTGGCGTGGTGCTGGCCACCCACCCCCTCGTGTGTCGCAGCGGCTCACTAACAGCGGCTCACTAACAGCACTTGCCCCAACAGTCTGTTAAAGGCTACACAGGAGACCTTTGCACATGTGTGCACATGCGGGTACGAGTGCACGCGTGTGTGCATGCGTGTGCGTGCGTGCGCACGTACATGCGTGTGCACGGGGTTCAGCTGCAGCCACTCCTCCTCCACCTCCTCCAGGTCCCAGCCGCCCCCCAGGGGTGAACGCGCGCGCACCCGCACGTCCACGGAGCCCGCCGCCCCCCGCGACCCCTCCCCCTCCCGGCCCGACCTTCGGAGCTATTCACGCCACGGGGGTCGGGGGTCAGGGTTAGCACAACCTCCTGTGAGTCAGAGGTCGCGATAATTATTGTTATTACTTCATGGACACGGCTGTTGAAGCCCAGTCCCAAAGGCCTAAATGGTCGTCGGCCAATAACAAGCAGCACTTTGAAAGCTGTAATTCGCAAGAGTTAACACGTTTCCTGAATTGCGCAAGGTTATTATAAGGGCTTGGGAGAAGTGATGACGGGAGGGGATTTTAAAGTGCAGCAGTGCAAGGCAGGAGGCAGAAAGAGATGTATTGTGACCTCTGGTGTGGTGAGCGATTTGAGCGAGTGAGCGAGTGAGCGAGTGAGCGAGTGAGCGAGTGAGCGGGTGAGCGGGTGAGCGGGTAAGCGGGCGAGCGAGCGAGCGAATGAGCGGGTGTGCGAGTGAGCGAGTGAGCGGGTGAGCGGGTGAGCGGGTGAGCGGGTGAGCGAGTGAGCGGGTGAGCGAGTGAGCGGGTGAGCGAATGAGCGGGTGAGTGGGTGAGCGGGTGAGCGGGTGAGCGAGTGAGCGGGTGAGCGAGTGAGCGGGTGAGCGATTGAGTGTGTTGCTGTGACCTGCAGTGTGGTCGCTGAACACGGTGTGGAGGATGAGATGAAAGTCAGTGTCTGGCAGACCGAGTCCTCATCAACATGGGTGAAGAAATCCACGCTTGAAGTTCACGGGAGCAAGCGAGAGACTGGAGTGACTCGGTAGGCGTTCAATTCGATCAGGTACTATGTGTAGCTGGACACAATGGCAGGGCGCGCCAAAGGCTAAGGCTAGGCTAGCTATGAGAGGGTTAGAACTCAAAGACAGGGATAACATGGGGCTGTTGAGACAGGGTTAGGGCTGGCATAGAACAGGGCTCTTCCCACAACTCACACCGACCAGTTTGGCAAAGTATGGTCAAATATTCTTCCGTGACCGAAGCGGCATGGGGGAGGCCTTCATCCAGCAGTGGAGAGCACAAAGGCCTCTTAAATTCTTACCTACATTGTAAACGCAGTGCTCGAGTCAGATTGGGACAGCGCTAGGACGGGGCAAGGGTTAGGACTGGAACGGGGCTAGTTCAGTGTTCGGACAAAGTCAGGATAGATTTATGATGGGGGTTAGGATAGCATAGTGTGGAAATAGGACAACGTTAGGACGGAGTTAGAGTTGGGCTAGGACAGGGTTATGTATGGTTGGCCTATGACCGGGCTAGTACAGACATAGGGGGGGCATATGCGCAGTGGCAGCAGCAGCAGTGGCAGCAGCAGCAGTGGCAGCAGCAGCAGTGGCAGCAGCAGTGGCAGCAGCAGCAGTGGCAGCAGCAGTGGCAGCAGCAGCAGCAGTGGCAGCAGCAGCAGCAGTGGCAGCAGCAGCAGTGGCAGCAGCAGCAGTGGCAGCAGCAGTGGAAGCAGCAGCAGTGGCAGCAGCAGTGGCAGCGGCAGCAGCAGCAGCAGTGGCAGCAGCAGTGGAAGCAGCAGCAGTGGCAGCAGCAGCGGCAGCAGCAGTGGCAGCAGCAGCAGTGGAAGCAGCAGTGGCAGCAGCAGCAGTGGAAGCAGCAGTGGCAGCAGCAGCAGCGATGGCAGCAGCAGCAGCGTTGGCGTCAATGTACCGGTAAGGTCGCCGTCACCTCACAGCGACCGAGCAGAGCGCGAAGCCCCAGCACAGCTTCCCCCAGAGCCCACTCACTTCCCAGTGGGCTGTGCACACACAAAGACAAAGATCCTCCGTATAGCCTCAACAGACTGTTGGGGCAGGTGCTGTTAGCGAGTAGCACCTATGAAGGCCAGAACTGCACACTATGTTGGTGGGTGGCCAACACCACATCCAAAAAAGACCACACACACACACGCATACAACAATCCCCGGTATAGCCTTAACAGATTGTTGGGGCAAGTGCTGTTAGCGAGCAACGATGAAGGCCGGCACAGCACACGAGGGGGTGGGGGTGGCCAGCACCACATCCGGGCAAGGCCACACACACATACACACAGAAGCACCGTCAACCAGAAGCCGTTAGTTAACCCCACGCGCCACCCCTGCCCCACCCTCTGCCCCTTTGACCTCCACCTTCCGACCTCATCCCGACCGCCGCCCTCACCCCTTGTGGAGTAGCAGGAAGGAGATGTCTCCTTGGCGCACAGCGTTGAGGAACCCAAGAGACCCACGCTGCAGAGTGAACTTGAAGCTCTCGTTGAACTCTGCAAAGGACACACGGGTGCACACCGGTTTTCCACTGTGCGCCAAAGCTGCGCCGGGGCTGTGCCGAGCCAGCCTGGCACGCGGCTCAGGAAGCTCCCAGTTGTGGCGCCGCTGTGGCGAGATGTTAACCAGCTCGCCCGGTATGCAGGAGGTCGTGGGTTCGATCCCGACCCTGACGCCTGTACAATTGGAGTTTGCATGTTCTCCCCGTGGTCGCGTGGATTTTTCTCCGGGTATTCTGGTTTTTCCCTCCGCATTTAGAATGCACGTGGGTTTAGAGTATTTGTCTGCTATACATATCCACGTGATGAGCCACTTCGTTGAGCTATCATTTGTGGCCAGGTCGCTTGTGAAGAAGAGCTACAACATAGCTCACGGGACCTTACCTGGTCAAATTAAAAAAAAGTTTAGTTTAGTTTTAGTCTCGTTTTTCCACTGCAGAACCCGAGCCTGGTGGTCACCGAAGGGCGCGCGCAGTTAACGGGTCGAGACGCCAGATTCAAGTGTCTCGAGAAGCCAGAAGTACCACGGTTTGGTGGTGGCTCGGCTTGGCAAACAGCCCGTGGAAAACCCGACTGGTGCCGAGGGTCCCGCGGCGACTTCGCTTGGATGTGCCGCGGGAAAAGTGGTCAGAGTAGATTAACGTAAAATAAGTACGACACACGCAGACGCGCAAGTGAACCTTGCGAGCGACACACAGACACGTGAACTCTATCTTGGGACCTTATTTCCAGTATCAAAATGATGAAACAATAAGAATAGGTTTTACCCTTCCTGGAAACCAGAGAGAAGGCTGTATATCTGGTGTTGCAGCTCCTTACTATTAAAATTCCTTCCCTTTATTACTGCTAACCCTACTTCCTCCGTTTATTACTGCTAATCCTACATAATACACGAGCATAATATGACTGAGACCCCACCTCCTACACATTCCACAAGTAGTGACTAATCCCATATCTGCATTTTACATATGCTAAATTCCTCTGCTGATATGCAAATTCCTTTGTCAAGGCGCCCTTCCTCCCCTAACCCAGCTTAAATATACGCTGCCAAGCTTGGTGGTGTTCATTCAGACGCTGTCTTTCCGACAGACCTGTTCTTCACCTGAGGACGGCTGCTTGCGTTGTGGCCGAAACGTCGTGAGAATTGTATTTTGTTTTATTTTTATTATTTTATTATTTCTCTTCTACGTGACTTTACCGAAAGAACCAAGAAGATGGTGTAGGCCAGTTTGAAAGATGATGTATACATTATCCGAGTATGTTGTTTGCATGTTTTGCCACAAGTATGTGTGTGTGTTTCATGCAGACTTGGTGCCTATTTGGTGTTTGGACATCTTCACACCTCCTGTTTAACGCCAGAAAGGCTAAAACCTATTCTTATTGTTTCATCAACATGAACTCTAATTGCAACAAGCAAGACACAGACACACCAGCTACGCAAAGGACACACAGACACACGCGTGACATTCTGAAAGCGATGAGACACACGAACTGCGTTTGCGGCGCGCAGACACAGACAAACTCTACTCCTATTCTTGGTTCTTTCGGTAAAGTCACGTAGAAGGGAAATAATAAAATAATAATAAACATAATAAAAATACAAAACAATAAAAATTCTCACGACGTTTCGACTGCAACACAAGCAATCGTCATCACGTGTCAAAGATTTTTTATTCTTTTATATTTTCATTACTTTATTATTTCCCTTCCACGTGACTTTAACGAAAGAACCAGGAATATGAATCCCTGCGGTCACGAAACCTTACATCAAAATTTAAACTCTACTCCGGCAAGACACGCACGGAGGTCACCCACAGACGACAGACAGACAGACACCAAACCCAGCAGCAGAGAGGGGGGGGGGGGGGTGGCGACTGACCTGGGCACGTGCCGCTCTGCGTGCCCGTCTTCTCCCTCTGGGACGCCTTCTGCATCCAAAGAAAACATTCGCGAGCGTCACCGGGTTAAGCTCATTCCTTTTGACGTCCTTCGCCGGCAACTTGAGATTGTTACTCTTAGGTTTTTTTTCCCGTAAAGTCACGTAGGTAAAAATAAATAATAAAAAGTTCAAATAATTGAAATAATAATAGAAATAGAATTATGAATCACAACGTTTCGGAGGCAACACAAGTCTCCGTCATGAGGTGGGACCGTCACAGCTAGATTTACTGTATCAAGTGAGTGAAGCTTCAAATCTAGAACTTGAGATTGGCACGGTTGGCTACGTACGGCGCGAAATAATTTCAACATACGTACGTACGTACAGGCTGCCGCCAACCTCTTCACGTTTTTCCAACTAAAGCAGAGGTCGCAACCGGGTACCCGATACCCGTACCCTACCCGATACCTGGCTATCCATACCCGGCCGGGTACGGGTAACCGTTTGCGACCCTGGTGCGGCCGGGTACGGGTACGGGTAAGCCGTGAGTCACCGGTGAGTAACCGTTTGTCACTCATTTCGGGTAGGGTACGGGTACGGGTAGCGTACGGGTACCCGTGGACGGGGAAGGGTACGGGTACCCGTTTGCGACCCTGGTGCGGCCGGGTACGGGTACGGGTACGGGTAAGGAATCAAAACCCGTTTGCGACCTCTGAACTAAAGGCTCGGATTCGCTGTCGTACTAGCGCCGTCTACCTGGCTGCAACAGGGGGTCAAGATAAAGCTCGTGAAGATGATCCAAACATGTCGGGCGCTGGCGGCTACACGTGGCGGCTTGGTGAAGGTGGCAGCGGCGGCTGGTGGATCACCACACAAATGTTATCGCGAAACTCCCTTCCTATGGGCGTCGAGGAGGAAGCCGTATGCTGGCTCGCCAAGAGAAGGCGGTAAAGCAAATGGACTTATCGCCCTGTTTATTTCATCTATACGGGGATAGAGCGTTGCCCCCCCCTCCTGGCGCAAGGTGCGGGTTTTCTCCGGGTGCTCTGGTTTCGTCCCCACATAAATAACAAACAGAACTCGCTATTAATTAGCCTAAAACATCAACAACAAAAAACAATGAAGCAGCAGCAGCAGGACCCTGAACAAGTAAACCCGTAAAAACAAAGTTTTTCACTATAAATCCTTTATATGCGTGGCGGCTAGAGTCCTCTCGTCCTCTGGCTTGAGATGGCTGCCACCTATGGGTCAGATGATTGTCTGCCACCATTAAGCAATTGGTAATTAAATATTTAATTTGTTTTCCCTAAACAGTGTAAAATTTTGGATTTTTTTTTCACGAAAATTAATTGTCACACACAACGAGTCTGTGTGGAAAATGTCAGCTCGATTGGATCACGGGAAGTGGGTTAAAAAACGAGCGAAAGATTTGCACGGTCCTAAGCACACAAGCAAACTTAATATAAAGGATTTAAAAATATATTCGCCTGTGGAGGACGCGGGGATCGATCCCGCGACCTTTGGCATGGGAAGCGAGGGCTCTACCAACTGCGCTACTCCGCCACAGCCTTTGGAGGGGTTACGCTCTGGGCTCTTACACTCTGACGTTCAGCCAAAGCCATGAATGAGCTATATTTGAATATATGTAAAATACATTTTTTTGCCTAAAAAGTGTAAAATTTTGGGAATTTTTTTTCACGAACAATAATTGTCTGGCACAACGAGTCTGTGTGGAAAATGTCAGCACGATTGGATCACGGGAAGTGGGTTAAAAAACGACCGAAAGATTTGCACGGTCCTAAGCAAGCAAGCACGCAAGCAAGCAAGCAAGCGAACTTAATATAAAGGATTTTAAAAAAAGAGTCTTACGACTCCAGCGTGGCTTTCCTGGATTAATAAATAAAAACATTTTAAATGCGAATGACGCTGGGCTTGGTGAGCGGTATGCACACTAGGTATTGGGTCCGACCTCGAAGCCGACGCGTGCTGTATATTGAGAGTTTGCATGTCGCGTGGATTTTTCTCCAGGTCCTCTTGTTTTTCCCTCCACATGTAGAATCGACATCGCGCGTTCAGAGTATTTGGCTGCTAGAAAAATGTCCACTTCGTTGAGCTATCATTAGCGGCCAGGTCACTTTTGAAAAATAAGCTAACAGCTTCGTGGGCCTTACCGAGTAACATTTTTTGAATTGTTCAGTTTTCGTTAAGTCTGGGGGGTGTCGGCACTCACCGGGCATGGCAGGGGCACCTCGATTTTTACGAATGCGTGCAGTCCATGCTTCGCCACACCTGGTTGCACACGTGGTATGGGGGGGGGGGTGACAATGAGCACACACACAGTGTACACACGCAATACGCGGGGCATGGCAACACGTGTCGACAAGACGCAACGACACGAGCGATGACACGCCACGCAGGACGACGACACGTGACAATCGGTACAGAGTGTTCGACACACGCACAAATACGAAGCGGATCGCCACGGTGAGAACACTCATTGCCTACAGCGTAATGACACGCAATCTTAACGAGGCGCAATCGGTAAAGAGTTAGAGGAGGATTCAACGTGCGTAATAACACAGGTGAAAATGGACAGCGAGACACAACACAAGGTGACACAATACTCATTGGAAAAACATAATCATCATTTACATTTACAAGGCGCAATTCATCCAGGGATCTCAGTGCACCACGCACGAAGTTAAGAAATAAACTTTGATTTAAAGGTTTCGTGACTGCAGGGATTCATATTCTTGGTTCTTTCGGTAAAGTCACGGAGAAGGGAAATAATAAAATAATAAAAATATTAAACAATCATTTTCTTGCTGTGTTTTTCACACCTGATGATGATTGCTTGTGTTGCAGTCGAAACGTCGTGAGAATTTTATTGTTTTATATTTGTATTATTTTATTGTTTCCCTTCTACGTGACTTGACCGAAAGAACCAAGAATTAAGAAATATAATCAATACAAAGTCCAGAGACCAATGGGTCATACATGGGAAGTGTCGGGCAGGCGAAACAAATGAGTCTTTAGAGAAGACCTAAGCATGGCAAGTGACCTCGCCTAAATCAAGAGTTATATATCATCACAAAACGTCAGTAAAATACACGTTTATAATCTATAGTTCACCATCATCATCATCATTCGGGGCGTGAAAAAAACCACTGCCGGATGATGGCTGTGCCCCCAAGCAGTGATCTCTCATAACCTCGCTTAGTAATAATCCGCCTAGCACCCTCGACGAGCCAATTTCATTGCTCCACCTCCGCAGTAGACGTCCTCTCTCTCTCTCGCTGGGCGTGTACTGGCACTTGGTTGCTACTCATTCTTCAACTCCCGTCTCGAACTTTGCTCACGTTCTCAGCTCCACGAGTTGCGTCTTCCCGTCTCTCAGCGCAATTGCAAGCATGTGTAGTGACGTAGAATTGGTCACCAAGTAGAACAGCGCCGGCTGCTGGCTGGGAAGGGGATCTGCAGCTTACAGCAGCCCTGACTGACAGCAGGCCACGTGATAGACCAGAGAGGGATCTCGGGGAAAGGTTACGGAAGGGACACGTCGAGACCCGCTAGTAGGTTCCAGAAGGGGGCGTTGGCCAGGGGCGGAGCCAGGCCACGCCCCCCAGTATAAGAGGGCCCCCCCCCCCCGGGAGGGGACCTCGGGGCTGTCGTTTGGAGTGGGATTCTCATCGTCGTTGCTGCTGAAGATCGTCGCCATCGTCTCCACTTGATATTGCGCTGCTGGACGTAGTTGTCTTAGTTCAGCGCCATCAGTGTCAGACGGCTAGCGTTGTGTGTAGGCTGGCAACCAGTGTAGAGTTGCGTTTCAGCGAGAGACAGTATGTAAGTGTAGGGTGTGTATAACAAAGTGTGCACGGTGTTTAAATAAAAAGCTGCCTCCAAGAAGTTATGTCTCCAAGTCAGTCATTACACATGCATCCCAGCCGTTCCTTTTTTGTGTGGGTCGTGGGTCACCAGGTGTACGGTGGGAGCGCGGCGCTATGAACCAGGCGACCCGAGTTCTATTCCCGCTCAATGCCAACACCGCCAGTGACGATTATATGAATCGGTCTTGGCTCTCTTCTAGGTCGACTCAGTCTCAAATGAGTACCTGGTACGGTGTGTAAAATCATCACCGCTAGGGAGACAAAGGCGGCCGGGCGTAGTGCTGGCCACCCACCACCTTTGTGCATGCCGTGCCGACTTTCATGGGTGCTCGCTAACAGCACTTGTCCCGCCAGTCTGTTATGGTTATACAGGAGATCTTTGTCTTTGGTAGACAGGCAAGCCCCGCACGCCCGCGTCATTGCGTCCTCACCTGGAGTGGAGGGGGGGCAAAGGTCGTGACCCCGGAACACGGTCACCAAGAGGTCACCAGCAGCCAGGTCAGGGTTGACCCTACGCACAGGGGGGGGGGGGGGGGGGGGTCACGTGTTATACCTTGTGGCACACACCAACATACGGATGCACACTTACGTGTACGAAGACAAAGAGGGCACAGGTAACCTGCAAGAGGCTGCTGGGTCAAGTGCTGTTGGCGAGCACGAGGGAGGGTGATGTGGTAAGGAACAAGCACGACCACCTTTGTTCTCCCCCCACTGCCAATATTTACTCACACCACAGGAGGTACTCATTTCAGGTTGAGTTAGGCAACGTTGGGCCTTGCCAATCCGAGCTGGAAAAATATTTGAAGAAAAAATTTGAGGGACATCCGAGGAACTTGAATTTGTTAGCTCCAAAGAGCTTTTATCAGTTGGTAAGCTGACACTTTGAAAAGCTCACATTTGCATCTTTTGGGACACATATATAGTTTTAAAGCATACATACTTAGGTTTTTTTCACGTTGATAACTCGCTTAAAAGTTTTGACATTTCAAGTCAAATTCGAACCCGTGACACAGTCTATTGATTCGGTGACCATCTTCAACTCAGGCCAAAAAATCAGGCTTCAGGCTAAAAATCTGGCTTGGCAACAGCAATTTTCATAATCAGTGGGGGTCAAAAGAGCCCCTAAAACATCTGTTGCCAGCTTGTTACACGATCTGCCCCTTGCATCAATTTCCAGGCCCTTGATAGAAAATTACTGCCGAGACTGCATGGGCCTCTGTACGAGTCTACGTGCATCCAATTATGACCGCGGTAAAGTGTGAACGCCATCGCTCCCATCATCACCGACAAATATCCCCCGTGTAGCCTGCAACTGTCTATTGGGGCAAGTGCTGTTAGCAAGAACCTATGAAGGCTGGCACTACACACGAGAAGGAGGGTGGCCAGTGGCAATGTTTAAACACCGCAGAGTCGACCGCCCAGGAAAGGTTTAGATAATTGTCACTAGTGTTGGTGGCCACAAGCGGGAATCGAACTCAGGACTCCGGCTTCCTAGCGCAGCGCACGTGCTAAGCACCGTACTAACGTTCCCCACACAAACACACACATACTTTTGCGGGAGGTACAAACGCAATCCATCTGGCCGACCCAGACACCGTTAAATGGCTTTCCAAACTCAACAGGCAGCAAACAGCTCGGTCCGCTGCCTTTCAAATGCCGTCGGAAGGAAGGAAATAACGTAAAAGGTTCAACGTTGTTGTGGGCGCCATTTGCTGCGTAGAGTTTGCACCAGCCTCAAACGCTACAGCTGCACGGAGCGCCAAACCACAGCTGGGTTGCCGGTAAATGATAGACAAACAGTAATTTTGCGTGTGCAGCGCGGTAACCACATCTGTGAGCTCACGTCAGCCGCCTTTTCTTTCTTGCCGTTCGTCTGTCCTGGCCGTTAACATCCCACTGCTGGGAAAATTCCTTGCCTGAATGTCTTCTACTCTTAAACATTTCTTGTCATCTCCATCCAAATCTTCTCATCTCGTGCCACAATTTTAGTTTTTTTTTCTACCTCCCTTCCCTCCATGCCTCCCTCCGTGGGCCTCCGTTCCGTCGTTAACTATATTCCGTCTGCCATCCGATCTCCGAAACTGGGCGTGTTGCACGACTCAATTTTGGTATTTACATTATGTAAATTGAATCAGTGAAAACGTGCTTTTTAACTCTCAAATATTTGGTTGTAATTTTGTACCGCCCAGCTACTTAAAAAATCCTCAATATCGTGTTTCAGCCACTAGACAACATGCCGCCAGCCAGTCGGCGGGTCAGTCACGCAGAACACGTGTGTATTGGTGGGTGGCTGAGCGTTGTGTGTGGTGTGTATTAGTGGGTGGCTGAGCGTTGTGTGTGGTGTGTATTAGTGGGTGGCTGAGCGTTGTGTGTGGTGTGTATTAGTGGGTGGCTGAGCGTTGTGTGTGGTGTGTATTAGTGGGTGGCTGAGCGCTGTGTGTGGTGTGTATTAGTGGGTGGCTGAGCGTTGTGTGTGGTGTGTATTAGTGGGTGGCTGAGCGCTGTGTGTGGTGTGTATTGGTGGGTGGCTGAGCGTTGTGTGTGGTGTGTATTAGTGGGTGGCTGAGCGTTGTGTGTGGTGTGTATTAGTGGGTGGCTGAGCGTTGTATTATGTGGCTGGTGGCTGGGTGTTGTGGAGTGAGGTGGTGCGTGTTGGTGGGTGGCTGGGTGTTGTGGAGTGTGGTGGTGCATGTTGGTGGGTGGCTGGGAGTTGTGGAGTGTGGTGGTGCGTGTTGGTGGGTGACTGGGAGTTGTGGAGTGTGTTGGTGCGTGTTGGTGGGTGGCTGGGTGTTGTGGAGTGTGGTGGTGCATGTTGGTGGGTGGCTGGGAGTTGTGGAGTGTGGTGGTGCGTGTTGGTGGGTGACTGGGAGTTGTGGAGTGTGGTGGTGCGTGTTGGTGGGTGGCTGGGTGTTGTGGAGTGTGGTGGTGCATGTTGGTGGGTGGCTGGGAGTTGTGGAGTGTGGTGGTGCGTGTTGGTGGGTGACTGGGAGTTGTGGAGTGTGTTGGTGCGTGTTGGTGGGTGGCTGGGTGTTGTGGAGTGTGGTGGTGCGTGTTGGTGGGTGACTGGGAGTTGTGGAGTGTGGTGGTGCGTGTTGGTGGGTGACTGGGAGTTGTGGAGTGTGGTGGTGCGTGTTGGTGGGTGGCTGGATGTTGTGGGGTGTTGTGGCGTGTGTTGGTGGGGAGGCTGGATGTTGCGGGTGTTTCTTGGGGTGTGTGCGGAACCTGGGCACGTGCAGAGTCTCGCGCGTGAGGGTGTGTGTGGGGGGCGGTGCCCCCTGCCTCTGCGCCATCTCCAGTAGCACCTGCAGCCGCGTTGCTTGTTCAGCCATCTCCTCAAACCTACGATAAAACAAAGATCGCCCCGGACAGCCTTTACAGACTGTTAAGGCCAGCACGGCGCACGAGGGGGTGGCATGTCCAAAACCTCTCTCCGCTACCTTCGTTTCCACCAATGCTTATGTTTACCCATCGCACCAGGTACTCATTTAAGGTGGAGTGGACCTAGGAGAGGCTCAGGACCGCTTCAGATATTCGTCACCGATTGTTGGCAGTGAGTATCGAACATGGGTCGCGGGGTTGTAGCACAGCACGCGCTAAGCATGCGCCACCGTTCCCCACGTATATTCACACACACAGTCACAACAACAAAGTCACAACAAGAACCACCACCGCTGCCACTAAGTGGCAGTGGTGTCACCAAGGCGCTTGTGCCAGACTAGGTACACCTTGAGGCGCGCCACACAAAGATCCCCCTTATAGCCTTAACAGACTGTTGGGGCACCAATGAAGGTTGGCACGGCACATGAGGGGGTGGGTGGCCAGCACCAAGTCCGACTGTCTTTGTCTCCCCAGCGGCGATGCTTACACACCACACCAGGTACTCATATGAGGCTGAGTCGACCTAGGGGAGGCCCATGACCGGTTCAGAAAATCGTCACCGGTGTTGGCCGTGAGCAAGAATCGAACTCCGCTCGCCAGGTTCGTACCACAGCATGCAAACTGCTGCCCTACCGCGCGCACACACACAGTCACACACACAGTCACACACAGTCACACACACAGTCACACACAGTCACACACACGTACTCACCTGGCAGCTTCAGTGCTGTGCTCAACCTGCGAGCAACGCCCCGAATATGCCCGGCATTTCTGTGGAACCAGAGGCATAATCTTAGTAACTCCTACTGCAATGAAACCCACGTGGGGGGGGGGGAAGGGATGCAAGTTTGAGTGGGTAGTGGTACAGGTCATAGTGCAGCTGTGCAGAGGTGGTGCAGGTGTGAGCAGGTGGTGGTACAGGTGGTGGTACAGGTGGTGGTACAGGTGTGAGTAGATGGTGATACAGGTGGTGGTACAGGTGGTGGTACAGGTGTGAGTGAGTGGTGGTACAGGTGGTGGTACAGGTGAGTGGGTGGTGGTACAGGTGGTGGTACAGGTGATAGTGCAGGTTGGGGGTGGAAGTGCAGGTGTGAGTGGGTGGTGGTACAGGTGGTAGTGCATCAGCCAGTCATCTCAGTCAGTCGACCCGTGGCACCTGGGTCTGCCCCGTGACCTCCTGCCAGCGGGCGTTCGACACTTCACGTGGCCTCAAGGTGCACATAGCCTGCCACAAGCGTCGTGGTGACGTCACCGCCACTTTGTGGCGAATGGCGGTTGTCGTTGTTGTTGGTAGTAGTGCAGGTGAGTGTGAGTGGTGGTAGTGGTTCAGATGTGAGTGGGTGGTGGTGATGCAGATGGCTGCGGTCCAGGTGTGAGTGGGCAATGGTGAAAGTGGTGGGCCACAGTTTCTTTCACAAATCGGGGAGCAGTGATGGGAGCGGGAGCCCTCACCTTTCCCTGCTCGCCCAATCGCTCCGTGAGCCACGCGTACTCCTCCTGTGACCGTTTCGACAGGGCGCACCCTGCCGGCTCCTTTGCCCCGCGGACCCCCTCTGTCCCGCGGGTCCCCTTGACCCCTCGATGAGGCCCCTTCGCTCCAGACCCCGGTGTGACCACACTGCAGCTGTGGCTGCCGTCGGGATGCACTTGCCTCGTCCGTCTCGGTCGGAACGGGTCCCACTTCTCAAAACTCGGTTTTTGCAAACTCGGCCTTTCTTGCCTCTGCACGGTCGTGTGATTCGGGCTGTCGCCCCTTTCCTTGGCTGCCCTCTGAGTTTTGTCAACGGGGCTGTCTGTAGACCGGTCCCTGTTATGCACTAGCTGGTGTACTGGCTTGTACAGACTTTCTTTATTCACGTCTTTATGATGTACCGGCTTATACAGAATTTCTTTATGATGTACTGGCTTGTCTACACTTTCCTTATACCGGTCCTTATGATATACCGATCTGTCCATATTCCTCTTGTACCGGTCCTTATGATATACTGGCTTGTACAGCATTTCCTTATTCTGGTTCTTATCATACACTGGTTTCGGGACACTCTCCTTATTCTGTATTGCCATGTGCACACTCTCCTTATGCCTGTCCTTGTTATACACTGGCTTATACACACTTTCCTTGTGTCGCTCCTTGTCATCCGTTGGCCTGTAAGCACTTTCTTTATACCTGTCCTTATTGTATTCTGGTTTCTGTAGACTCTCCTTGTGCCCGTCCTTGTAATGCACTAGCTCACGCAGACCTTCCTTGTACCGGCGGTCACGGTTCTCCACCGGTTTCTGCAGACTGTCCCCGTGTTGGTGCTTGTGCGGCGCTGGCGGGACAAGCCGACGAGCGTCAGGGTCTTGCCTCGCTCGCTCGCCGCTGGGAAGATGTCGCTGCACGCCACACCCAATGCCACATCACGTACCCTGACGCAGCTCCTCAACGCAACGCCTGAACGCAACACTTTTTAACACATGCCGAACGTACTCTCTCAAGTGCACATGTCAGCGCACGTCTACTGCACACCCCGACACACGCGGCCTAGCGGCAGCGCGTTCGCCGCTCGTTGCAGACGTTCACAGTTCAAATCCAGCGGCCACCATGATTAATACTACAGTGTGTAATAACCGCAGTAATAATGAAACTACGCGCCGTCTGCTTCGCTCAGAGTGGATGTTAAAGATCCCCTGAAGTCACTCGCAAGAGTAGGCCAAGGTTAAGTGTGAATGTAATTGTGCCATATAATTGGTCTCGTTTTTTTTACACCTGTAATTGTGGAATGCTGTGAGGTTGGCTGCCAGCCAAGATCACCCCTTGAAAATTAATCTTTTAGCTCGATGGGCTTTACTCGAGAAACAGCTCGAGAAATACACTTCTGATTCTGTGTGCTGGCGTCCGCATTTTACAAATTCAAAAATGACACGACAAATTACTCAATTGGGATCACACACAGCAGCAATCATCCGTGCCTGTCGGCAGGCTAATGACAAATGAGACTATCCAGATCCCTTCAGTTCTCACCCGGTTAAACAAAATAAACTTAAAATTTTAACTGGAAAGGTGTCTAAATGTGCATCGCAGACGTGACGTGAAGCCATTGCACACAACACGTACAAAGAGAAAAACGTTACCCCTTACGGGCACATTTAAAGAATACAACATTAATCTACGCATCATTATTATCGGGATAACTTCAGCCAAGGACGTCTGGGTCAGCAAGCCAGAGCATATTTCCGCACCTGGCACGCAAAATTTATCGTGCTAGAGATGCTTCAATCATCATTTTGCATTTCTTAAATTATTACATTACATCAGAACTCTCGTTATGGCTGTGGTTACTGATCGAATGCCTCCAGCCTACCAGTGAGACCAAAACAATATGTCGCAATCGGCACACCACATCTATTATACCTATACAGGTAGTCCCCGAGTTACGATGATCCGACTTACGATATTTCGATCTTACGATGGCGATATCGATGACAAAATTGTAGGTAGGCCAAAAATGTACCTTGTTTTTTACTTAAAATTTTACTGTGCAATACAGTATTGTAATTAATAAATACATACAGTATATAGTTTATACAGTACGGTACTGTAAATTGCTTTGTTTTGCTAAATTATCACCATTCTTTAAGACTCCTGGGTAGGCTAGGCCATCTTCGACCTACGATATTTTCGACTTACGATGGGGTCGTCGTAACGCATCTCCGTCGTAAGTGGGGGACTACCTATACTGTTTGGTTCTTTCGGTAAAGTCACTACGGCTGTGGCTGCTAGTCAAGTGCCTGCTCGAAGTCCACCAGCAACTGAGAAAACATTCAGGGAGAAACTGAGAACCGGTTACGTCGTTGACCTACGTGTGAATGTGTCATTTACAAAAGCCTCCGCACATCTTTGTGTGACATTCCCTGAACAAATCTCACCGAACTACTCATTCGCACTGCATTTCTTTGCAACGCGAAAATAAAAGGCTGACATTCCGGGTAACATCAATACTTTGGAGGAAGGAGTGGGGACAGAAAGGAGCTTTTTGTGATTCATTTCATTAGATATGTTCTTGTGCATCACTGCCAAAGCAGTCCCGTAAACTTCACTTGTTCACGAGTCAATTTACCGCACTTGGGCGACGTCATTCTTGTGTAGGTGGCGCGCGCTCTGACCGTAAGGAAACGCAAACCTATGACACCAAAGACGAGCTATGTATGACCCATTGACCCCAGCTGGCTGGATTGTCTGGGTCTTGCCTAATAAAACTAGTGTGTGGCTACTGTCGAAATTGGCACGCTGGCTTGGCACAACGATTTGGCAGGCATGCTAGTGAGCACGTCACCCCTACTCGCACGTGACCGCGGTGGTGCCCACCAAACAAACGTCCACATTGTGGAGGACGGCCTCTTCTGGTGCTGGCTAAAAGGTGGAATGCCAAGGTTGACTCAACTCGGTCGAATGGTCGGATGATGTCGACATCGACCTGCAACGGTAAACGCTATAAAGACCTACGGCGGAAAAAAAATGTTGGCAACCTCACAGCTAAATTTAGCAATCACCTAATAACACAGTGGTGCAATGGTTCTCACACTGCACTATGGACCAAGTAACCTCAATTCAATTCCAGGTCATAGTTGACATTAGAGACGTTTGATATCAAACTGGTCCTGGTAACCCCACCTCCCACCCACCCACCCCCAAAATCCTTTAATAAACTGGCTCTGGCCAGCATGCTGAAGTATGGTCAAATAACCCCCATGACCGACAGGACTGAGAAAGAATGGTAAATTACTATTAAAAAATCTGGTGGTTGTCCTGCATAATTTTGTATTTTGTCTGCATCGGTTTTTTTTTGCACTGTGTTGTTGTTACTGGAATACCCTTAAATAATAACGTTCATCTCATTCAAAGTGACTGAGCGATGGAATATAAAGCCTAATGTGGCCACAGGTCATTCATGCAATGCAGTTTAAGATTGTAGTTTCAAATGAATTTCACTCCATCCACAGTCTGGGCTTCAACCCGGCCAGCAAAATATATTTTTCTGCCCAAAAAAAATCTGACCTCGGTTCATCTCACTGAGGTATGTCCCCCACGCGTGGCGTGTAAACAAAGTGTGGGCTATGTTGTCCTTCCCCCGCACCTCCAATGAGCACGGCTGTCAACGTACGATGTTGAAAGAGGTTCAACATACACATACGTACGTTACTGGAGGTTCCCCTGGCAGACGGGATGCGATGTGTCTTGTGGTCCTTGAGGTCCTGGTGAAACTGGTTGGGATTTTGGACACCGTGATGTGACGACGACCCTGGTTGTCGCCAAACTGCCCCCTCGGTCCCCGTCTGCGCCCCACTCTGCCCTGCCAAACACATGCAGTGGCGACATTCGTTAACGGAAGGAGGCAAGCAGGTCTGGTATTGAGAAAAACAAAAAAATATTGAAAACTAAACGAGTTTTTTATTTTACCAGGTAAGGCCCACTGAGCTATAGAGGTCTTTTTCAGAAGCGACCTGAATAGAAATTATAGTGCAAAGCAGTGGCTTATCGCGTGGAATTTATAGCAGTCAAATACTCTAAATGCATGTTGATCCGGAGATAAATTCATACAACCATGGGGAGAGACACAAACTCCAAATATACAGGAGTCAGGGTCTGGATCGAACCCACCACCTGTATTTAATGTGGCGCTGCACTCTGATGTTGTAGGAGAAAAATGTGTTTAAAAGTCTATTTAATTAAGTAGAACGTGTTGTCTATATTTATTTAAAGTTGCGCATTTTGATGTGACGTCACATTTCTCAAATCCCCCCCTCCCACGTCGTCACAAATGTCTGACAGCCCCCCCACCCCCTTAGGTGCGTGACGTCATTTATGGACGGTCCCGAACGTGGTTTTCGAGCGGTCCAAAACGATCACCAAGCAAATGCTGTCAGTTACACAATAAACAATTAAATTATGACAGGAACCATGAATATTATGCAGTTTTATAATCAATTACAATTGCTCCAAAAAAACATTAGCAAAGTAGATTTGAAGCTTTCGTGACTGCAAGGATTCATACTCTTAGGTTTTTTCGGTAAAGTCACGTAGGAAAAAATAAAAATATAGAAATTATAATAGAAATGAAATAATAAATTATCATTTCTATTATTTTTTATTTTTACCTACGTGACTTTACCGAAAAAACCTAAGAGTATTTGCAAAGTAATTATGTATTGGATAATAGCTATGTATGTACAATTCTAACTACACATTCATAATGGATTTTTTTTTTGGAGGAGGGATTTGGCCACGTAATTATCTGTCAAAAAGTGTGCCGTTAAGACCCTCCACCACCCGATATAGGGGCCGTCATAAATGACGTCACGCACCTAGGGGGGGGGGCAGACATTTGTGACGATGTGTGACGAGGGGGGGGTGAGAAATGTGACGTCGCATCAAAATGCGCAACTTTAAATAAATATAGACAACACGTTCTACTTAATTAAATAGACTTTTTAATAAATGTTTTCTCCTACAACATCAGAGTGCAGCGCCACATTAAATACGCACTACAATGACAATAGTTTAAAGCGATTTGAAGCATGTTTTTTTGGGGGGGGGCAGAGCTTTGTGACGTCATTTGAGAGGGGGGGTCTGACTTTGTGACGCCGTGTGACGAAGTGGGGGGGGGGGGGGTCAAAAATCCTACAAAATCGCGTGACGTCACTTATGGACGGCCCCATAGCCGAACAAGTTCAAATGTCACGTGCTGTACGCGCGTTTAAAACCGAGCTACACTGCAATCAATCCGAGTCGGTTACATCGCAACAAGTTTAGTGTGGAAATGAAACATTTAGGGGCAACGGTGATATACAATCGCGACATGTCTTTGCCGAAGGAGTCGTTACGATTATCGCGATTATCGCGATTATCAGCGATAATCACCGCGATGAAGCCAAAAACACAAAACATTGGCACTGTCCGGCTGGACACAGCCTTCGACACGGCGGGCGCACGAAACAAAAACGAAAAAAAAAACACTCGACGACGTTTCGGCCCACGGGTCCTTCATCAGGCGCGCGACAACAACAACAACAACCACAACAACAACAACCACAACAACAACAAAACCCTCCGCGGCCTCTCTCCGCCGCCTCACCTGAGGGAAGAAAACGAACGCGAAGCCTGGTCCCCATAAACTCCTGGGGGAATGGGGGGTCCCCTTCAATCCGGGGTCCCCGCCGCTGATCCCCGTAGGGGGTAAGCGGTGACACGGGGGGGGGGGAAGGGGGGTTCGCGGAGCCCCCCGAAGATGTTCGCGAGAGGCAGAGGCGGGAGTTGCTGGGCCAAGTTTCTGGTCACGTGTGCAGGTTGTGGGGGATGAGGGGAGGGGGCAACTCGGCCAGGTGTCGGTGGAGGGCGGGAACTTTACGGTGGTGTGGGGGGCGGGGCATGTCGTCGCAAATGTGGGCGTGGTCTCGCGGGCAGGTGTGCGTTGATTGGTTAATGCAAAGGGACGGGGCGGGGCGAAATGCGTGGGTGGTGGCATGTGATAGATATGGGCGTGGTCTCGCGGGGTAGGTGTGCGTTGATTGGTTAAGGCAAAGGGCGGGGCGGGGCGAAACGCGTGGGTGGTGGCATGTGATAGATGTGGGCGTGGTCTCGCGGGGTAGGTGTGCGTTGATTGGTTAATGCAAAGGGACGGGGCGGGGCGAAACGCGTGGGTGGGTGGTGGCATGTGATAAATGTGGGCGTGGTCTCGCGGGCAGGTGTGCGTTGATTGGTTAACGCAAAGGGGAGGGGCGGGGCGAAACGCGTGGGTGGTGGCATGTGATAAATGTGGGCGTGGTCTCGCGGGCAGGTGTGCGTCGATTGGTTAACGCAAGGGGCGGGGTCAAACGCGAGGGTGGGTGGGGCATGTGACAAATGTGGGCGTGGTCTCGCGGGCAGGTGTGCGTCGATTGGTTAACGCAAGGGAGGAGGGGTCTAAATGTAAGGGTGGGTGGGGCATGTGCCGAATATGGGCGTGGACTAGAGGGGGAGGTGTGCGTTGATTGGTTGACACAAGGGGGGCTGGGTCAAACGCGAGAGTAGGAGGAGCCTGTGTGTGGGGTGGGGTCTGTTGCAATATGGGCGTGGTCTCGTACAGGTATTCATACTCTTAGGTTTTTTCGGTAAAGTCACGTAGGTAAAACATCAAAATTAATATAATATAATATTTTATTTTTATTAATTTTGATGTTTTACCTACGTGACTTTACCGAAAAAACCTAAGAATATGAATCCTTGCAGTCACGAAAGCTTCAAATCTAGAATCTCGTACAGGTGTTTACCTGGCCCCGCCTGCCATCCCTTCAGTACGCTCGCAAATGTGCCGGAGCTATTCCAGTACTACGAAGAAGGGCCATTGCCCGAAACGTTGCCTGTTATATATACACAGTATTCTTAGGTTTTTTTCGGTAAAGTCACGTAGGTAAAAAATTAAAATTAATAAAAATAAAATTAAAATAAAATTAAAATCACGACGTTTCGGAGGCAACACATGCTTCCGTCTTCATGTGGAACCGTCACAGCACGAAAGCTGTATGAAGCCTCTTATTTGATACAGCTATCGTGTTGTGACAGTCCACCTGAAGACGGAAGCTTGTGTTGCCTCCGAAACGTCGTGATTTTTATTTTATTTTTATTTAACTTTTATTAATTTTAACTTTTCACCTACGTGACTTTACCGAAAAAACCTAAAAATATGAATCCTTGCAGTCGCGAAAGCTTCAAATCTAGAAATATATACACAGTGTTTTATTTTTAAAGCCACGCACTCACACGGTGGTGTTGTTGTTATTGATGAATGTGTTGATTGTTTTTATTATTTAGCTAATTGTTACAATGATCAGCGCACCCGGGGTAGTCAGCCAGCCAATCTGAAAGTGAAGTGGCAGCAATATATTTGTTTTATTGTTATTTTAGTTCTAATGCAAATTGGTTTAGGTGGACATTGTTGTTTTTATTATTATCAGTGAAGGGTTTGTCTTAGAATTGATAAGTAAATATATTTGTTTTATTGTTATTTTAGTTCTAATGCAAATTGGTTTAGGTGGACATTGTTGTTTTTATTATTATCAGTGAAGGGTTTGTCTTAGAATTGATAAGTAAATATATTTGTTTTATTGTTATTTTAGTTCTAATGAAAATTGGTTTAGGTGGTCATTGTTGTTTGTATTATTATCAGTGAAGGGTTTGTCTTAGAATTGATAAGTAAATATATTTGTTTTATTGTTATTTTAGTTCTAATGCAAATTGGTTTAGGTGGACATTGTTGTTTTTATTATTATCAGTGAAGGGGTTGTCTTAGAATTGATAAGTAAATATATTTGTTTTATTGTTATTTTAGTTCTAATGAAAATTGGTTTAGGTGGTCATTGTTGTTTTTATTATTATCAGTGAAGGGTTTGTCTTAGAATTGATAAGTAAATATATTTGTTTTATTGTTATTTTAGTTCTAATGCAAATTGGTTTAGGTGGAAATTGTTGTTATTATTATTATCAGTGAAGGCTTTGTCTTAGAATTGATAGGTTAACTACTCATACGAATGGGCTATTGCCAGAAACGTCGCTTAACAGAGCCGCGCGTGTGTGTGCGTGTTCCATGACGTTTCGACTGAAACACAAGCAATCATCATCAGGTGTGAAATCCACGGCAAGAAAATTTGAAAAAAGTGAAAACAAATTCTTGCTGTGGATTTCACACCTGATGATGATTGCTTGTGTTGCAGTCGAAACGTCGTGAGAATTTTTATTGTTTTATATTTGTACTAGCATAAGTACCCGGCGTTGCCCGGGTGAAAAATATATTTCTTAATAACCTTACATATATACACAGATGGGCTGCTACCCCTGCCCCCCCCCCAGCCACGATCTCCTCGGCCGCTGTGCAGTAATATGTACGGCCTATAGTGTGGTGGGGTGTCGAGGCCTAGTACCGTGTAGAGCCTCCGGCCTCGCCTAAATTGCCCACCCGGCTGAGGCTGGGTACGGGTGCCGTTCCCCCCCCCCCCCCCGCGCTACAATAATACTGTCTAATCGCTATAATTTTATTATCTACCGACCCTATAATAGTAATTGCACACATTGGGGTGGGGGGGGAGTGAAGAGGATGTGAAACTTTGATGAATTTACCTCAGAGTCGCGTGGTGGGTGTCGAGGCCTAGTACCGTGCAGAGCCTCCGGCCTCGCCTAAATTGCCCACCCGGCTGAGGCTGGGTACGGGTGCCGTTCCCCCCACCCCCCCCCCCCGCGCTACAATAATAATGTGTAATCGCTATAATTTTATTATCTACCGAGCCTATAATAGTAATTGCACACATTGGGGTGTGGGGGGAGTGAAGAGGACGTGAAACTTTGATGAATTTACCTCAGAGTCACGTGTTAATGCGTGCGCATATTTTTAACGTGAATTAAAAATGGCGTCCACCCTGCAGCAAATGCGTCGCTACCCGTTGCCAGGGGCAACCGCCGTGGAAAACCAAACGGACCAATCGCGTCTCGCAAATCCCTCACATTTCGTCCAATGAAACTGCGTATGGTCCGGCGACACACAGACAGACAGACACACACACAGACACACACACAGACAGACAGACCGACAGACAGACAGACAGATTTGCGATTTTATATATATAGATTATTTTATTATTTCCCTTCTACGTGACTTTACCGAAATAACCAAGAATACGTTCTACTTAATTAAATAGACGTTTTAATAAATGTTTTCTCCTACAACATCAGAGTGCAGCGCCACGTTAAATACGCACTACAATGACAATAGTTTAAAGCGATTTGAAGCATGTTTTTGTTGGGGGAGGGGGGGCAGAGCTTTGTGACGTCATATTCGAGAGGGGGGGTCTGACTTTTTGTGACGCTGTGTGACGAGGGGGGGGGGGGTCAAAAAATCGTCCAAAATCGGTGCGTGTCTGGTTCTTGTATCGTTACTGCAGCGCCGCCTAGTGGCGAACAGCGCTCCTGCATCCTAGCACTGCAAAGACAAAGCTCCCCCATGTAGCCTGCACGGACCGCTGGGGCAAGTGCTTTTAGCGAGAACCTAAGAAGGCCGTGGAGATGTTTACACACCGCCGCACCAGGTACTCATTCGAGGCGGAGACGACGTAGCGGATTCGAACTCGGGCCGCCGGGGTTCGTAGCGCAGTGCACGAACCACTGCCCTGCCTTGGCCTCCCTTCTTTTTTACGATGAGAGGAAGCAAGACGATGCTCGGTGTAGTCGGCACTTTGCTTCGTTCATCATTTAGGGGTTTTTTTGTGTTTTTTAAATGCTTTGCTTCATGTGTCCCCCCCCCCCCCCTCTTTTTAAAATGAAATATTTCACAAAATATTTCACGCTCTGCTCTCCTCCTTCTTACCTCTTCCCCCTCTCTCTACCCCCTCTCTCTACCCCCCCCTCTCTCCCTACTCCCCTCTCCCCCTACTCCATGTCTACCTTGCCCTCTTGCACAGCCTACACACAGCCTACACATAGCAAACACACAGCCTACACATAGCCTACACATAGCAAACACACAGCCTACACACAGCCTACACATAGCAAACACACAGCCTACACACAGTCTACACATAGCAAACACACAGCCTACACACAGCCTACACATAGCAAACACACAGCCTACACACAGCCTACACATAGCAAACACACAGCCTACACACAGCCTACACATAGCAAACACACAGCCTACACACAGCCTAGACATAGCAAACACACAGCCTACACACAGCCTACACATAGCAAACACACAGCCAGCACAGCCTACACATAGCAAACACACAGGTTAGTGAGCCATGGTTAGGGCAAGTACCAGTGCGCAACTAATTCGGTATGGTTAGGGCGTGCGTCTGGTTATATTATGGCTAGTAGCAGTGGCTTGCTGGTTAGAAGGAATGGGTAGTAGAGTGCGTGGAGGGGAGTGGAGTGAGATGAGAGGGGAGAGGTAGGAGAGTGCGTGGTGGGGGAGTGGAGTGAGATGAGAGGTAGGAGAGTGCGTGGTGGGGGAGTGGAGTGAGATGAAAGGGGAGGGGTAGGAGAGTGCGTGGTGGGGAGTAGAGTGAGATGAAAGGGGAGGGGTAGGAGAGTGCGTGGAGGGGAGTAGAGTGAGATGAGAGGGGAGAGGTAGGAGAGTGCGTGGAGGGGAGGGGAGTGAGATGAGAGGGCAGAGGTAGGAGAGTGCGTGGAGGGGAGTGGAGTGAGATGAGAGGGGAGGGGTAGGAGAGTGCGTGATGGGGAGTGGAGTGAGATGAGAGGGGATAGGTAGGAGAGTGCGTGGAGGGGAGGGGAGTGAGATGAGAGGGGAGAGGTAGGAGAGTGCGTGGAGGGGAGTGGAGTGAGATGATAGGGGAGGGGTAGGAGAGTGCGTGGAGGGGAGTGGAGTGATATGAGAGGGGAGGGGTAGGAGAGTGCGTGGAGGGGAGTGGAGTGATATGAGAGGGGAGGGGTAGGAGAGTGCGTGGAGGGGAGTGGAGTGATATGAGAGGGGAGGGGTAGGAGAGTGCGTGGAGGGGAGTGGAGTGAGTTGAGAGGGGAGAGGCAGGAGAGTGCGTGGAGGGGAGTGGAGTGAGATGAGAGGGGAGGGTTAGGAGAGTGCGTGGAGGGGAGTGGAGTGAGATGAGGGGTAGGAGAGTGCGTGGTGGGGGAGTGGAGTGAAATCAGAGGTAGGAGAGTGCGTGGAGGGGAGTGGAGTGAGATGAGAGGGGAGGGGTAGGAGAGTGCGTGGTGGGGGAGTGGAGTGAGATGAGAGGGGAGAGGTAGGAGAGTGCGTGGTGGGGGAGTGGAGTGAGATGAGAGGGGAGAGGCAGGAGAGTGCGTGGAGGGGAGTGGAGTGAGTTGAGAGGGGAGAGGCAGGAGAGTGCGTGGTGGGCGAGTGGAGTGAAATGAGAGGTAGGAGAGTGCGTGGAGGGGAGTGGAGTGAGTTGAGAGGGGAGAGGCAGGAGAGTGCGTGGTGGGCGAGTGGAGTGAAATGAGAGGTAGGAGAGTGCGTGGTGGGGGAGTGGAGTGAGATGAGAGGGGAGAGGCAGGAGAGTGCGTGGAGGGGAGTGGAGTGAGTTGAGAGGGGAGAGGCAGGAGAGTGCGTGGTGGGCGAGTGGAGTGAAATGAGAGGTAGGAGAGTGCGTGGAGGGGAGTGGAGTGAGTTGAGAGGGGAGAGGCAGGAGAGTGCGTGGTGGGCGAGTGGAGTGAAATGAGAGGCAGGAGAGTGCGTGGAGGGGAGTGGAGTGAGATGAGAGGGGAGAGGCAGGAGAGTGCGTGGTGGGGGAGTGGGGTGAGATTAACGTGAGCAGGCAGCCGGCAGCACGGGTGACTGGAGGGGGGGGGGGGGGAGTTCCCGCATATGGGGGGGGGGGGGACAGGGCACGAGGCATTCTTTAGAAGTCCCATCTCGATGTTCCTGTTTGTTTTGCGAGTTCGTTTTCGCCAGCACTGACATTTTGTGCTCTCAACCTTTGCACCGCAGATCGCCCCTGATATCAAGACATATTTGTCTTACAAGTACCCACCCAATTGCGATCCCAATCCTCGCCCATGGTCTACCCACTGCTGAATGATTTCGGCGTTTAAGCGAGAGCGGTGGGTGGTGTGTGTGTGTATATATATCGGTTCATTGTGCGGGCCGGGGAACGGTGGTGCAGTGGTTAACGCACTACAGTGCTGACCTGACTTGCATCCCACTGGGATTTTTGCACACAGCGTTGGTGTACGGTGCTTTTTCTGGAATATTTTTGCTGTTTTTTCCTGGAATTTCTGTTTGCACATAGTCACTTTAATATGTTTCCTTGTTCATGTTTTTGTCTTTTGTTTGTTGCGGTTGCACCCGATTCAAGAGCCGAATGGCTCACAGGGCTATACCAAATAAATGAAACTGAAAAACTGAAAAAAACTGATTCCCCGGTTATGGGCACTGATTGCACATGGTCGAGACTAATACAGGAGCGGCAGGCCCAAGGGATGGAACGCGTCTGACAGCACTTCCACAGGGGAGGAGATGGAGCGTTGGAGATCGCTTCGTGGGCAAGGTGCTGGGTGGATTATTACACTGGAGGAATCCGATGATCTATGAAGCTCTTTCACAGATGTCCCGTAGCTACGTTGCGGTGCAGGATTGTGAGAGGTCTCAACTGTCAGGTTTGTTTTGTTTAACCAGGCGGCCGGGGGGGTGGGGTGATCTTGAATTACTTCATCCAGCAGTGGATTGACCATGGGCATGTGTCGGAAAACCAACGTAATTGGAACAGCCATTTCTTAGAATTCGGTATTTTTCTAAAAAAAAAAACTCAATACAGGGTGATTAAAAAAAAAGTGTTAACACTTCTGAGAATTTGCAACAACATCACAAGAAGTTTGCCTCCTCCTGGCTCTGGAGACCACCTGGAGAAGATTACAGGCACGCGTTGACAATTATGGCGAACACGTGGGAGACTTCTCGATTTAAAGCTTTCGTGACTGCAGAGATGCATCTTCTTGGTTCTTTCGGTAAAGTCACGTAGAATGGAAATAATAAAATAATAAAATAAAACATTATAAAATAATTCTCACGACGTTTCGGCCACAACGCAAGCAGCCGTCCTCAGGTGAAGACCAGGTCTGTCGGGGAGACAGCGTCTGAATGAAACAGCACCATGCTAGGTTGGAAGGGGGGGAAGGGCGCCTTGACAAAATAATTTGCATATCAAGAATAGTATGTAGCTGCAGTAACTAAAACCACCACGTAAACAACTAAAGTATTTTTTTCCATTCTACGTGACTTTACCGAAAGAACCAAGAAGAAGTGGGAGACTTTTAGACTTTTGAAGATATTAACGTCAGATTTGTTATCACGTTACAATATAGTATTATCCGTTTCTTTTTTTTCATTAAAAAAACGATAGTCCCGTATGAGTGTTAACTTTTTTCTTTTAAGCAGCCTGTATTTAAAGACCCGCAATAATTAGTGATGTCACTTAGCAAGGAGCCACAGGTTGCCCCAACCCACGTGGGCCGATGTCTGTCGATGACGAGGGCTTTCAAAAGTCTCAAATGTGCGCACGTACTCGCAGTGCCGGATTATCCTAGGAGCAAAAGTAGCTACATGTGATGTCGATTTAAAGCTTTCGTGACTGCAGGGATTCGTATTCTTGGTTCTTTCGGTAAAGTCACGTAGAAGGTAAATAATAAAATAATGAAAATAAAACATAATAAAATTCTCACGACGTTTCGGCCACAACGCAAGCAGCCGTCCTCAGGTGAAGAACAGAGCTGTCGGAAAGACAGCGTCCTAATGAACACTGCTAAGAAAATAAAAAAACGCCACTTTTTTCAAATTTTCTTGCTGTGGTTTTCACACCTGATGACGATTGCTTGTGTTGCAACCGAAACGTCGTGAGAATTGTATTGCTTTATTTTTATTATGTTATTATTTCCCTTCTACGTGACTTTACCGAAATAACCAAGAATATAGCTACATATGCTGCATGCCCATAACCGCATTTACCCCTTCAGGCTGATAGGTGGCACCCTGTCATTGCATATGTTATAAAGAGCACTAAATACAAAAAAGCACGGAAATATTAAAACACATAAACTGTTAACTTTCACAGTAAAGTAATTGTATTTTTTAAATTTGCTATACAGCCAGATAATACGAAAAATCTCTAACCTTGAACACCCAGTCGTTCATAAAAGTTGAAGGCGGTATAGTACTATAGTAATAGAGCAAGTGCAGACTCACTGAACCGGAATTGATAGCTTGAAAGTGCGGGGCCCGTAGCTGCATATGTAGCAGCTACTTTTGCTACACGGATAATCTGACACGGGATACAACGCTTGATGGAGAATAACTATTTTCTATTTAACTATTTTTATTTTGATAATAGTTTTTTTACCCTTCTATCTGGCAACAAAACTGACACCTTTTTACAAGGAGTCATGTTTGCATAGACCGCAATACCTGCAGTCATAATACAAACAAAAGACATAACTCTGATAATGTATGCACTGTCCTTGAAGTTGATTGGTCCACACCCGAGACAGCTTTCTTTAGAGCCTAGTCTCACATGGTGTTGGACCAGATGACGCCAAAAGGCGCACAGGTAAGGCGCGCTGAGCTAAACAGTAGCTTTTATTTCAGATAGCTCAACGAAATGGGCGGGCTTACTGTGTGGACGTGTCTGGTAGTAGTCAAAATACTTTGAAACGCACTTTGATTCTAAAATCGTGGAGGCGGAAAAAATATTCCATCGCGAGCAATTGGAATAAATTAACAAACAACACAAAACTCGACACATTCGTCAATATCAGCACTCTTCTGTGTGTGTGCTGGCGTGGCCTTAAAATGTAAAAAAAAATTACAGGCGACGTTTCGGACCAACGGCCTTCTTCACAGGAGATATATTTAAGTCGCTTTAACGTGAGCCTCTTTAGCTCGGCCGCTTGCCCCTGATTCTGTTTGCTGTTTTGTTTCCTGCTTTTCATGCAATGCGCATTGGGACAACCCTCGGATGGAATACCGCATTAGACATCTCAATGATGAATTATCATCATCATCATAGGGGGCTGGCTGGGTGGGTGCCACCGTTTTGCAGTCTATGCACGAATCTCAATGCGTCTCGTCGGCCCCTCCCCTCCACCCCCCCCTCTTAAGCCCCGCCCCTCACGTGAGGTGGGGGGGGTGTGGGGGGGCGTGGCAGCAGCGCGCGGCGGTGTCTCCTGACGCGCGCTCATTGGTCGCCTCCGCCTCGCGCCATCGCACGGTGCCGTGGCGAGCCCCGCCGCAATTGGCTAAGCGCCCGTGACGTCACGGGGTAGCCCCTCCCCCCCTTCACACGTGTGAGCGCGCGGGAGAAACCACGTGGTGGTCGTAGGGGAAGTTGGGGGGTGGGTAGTCGCCTCACCGTCAGCCTCCCTCAGCCACTTCGCCCTCACCCCTCACGGCGCTGGTTCCAGTCCCCCCCCTTCCCCCGTGCTCTTAGTGAAGTCTCCGGTCCTGTGCAGTGGACAAGAGAGACGCGGGTTGGTTGCGGCGGCGGTGGTGGAAGTTACAAGAAGCCCAAAGGCAGTCGACGGGGGTATCTCTCGGTGTGAAGACGAAGAGGCTGTTGGATCATCATCATCATCATCCTCCTCATCCTCCCTCAAGCCGCCTCGCCGCCCTAGCAGGTAAACACAAATCTACGAGCGCTGTCGTCTCCCTCTGTCTGTGCGGCCCGCGTTCGCAGGCCCCCGTGAAGGGATTTACACAGGCGGCAATTATTTATGAGGTGATTTCAAAAAAAAAAAAATGTTGGTTTACATTTATAAGGCGTCCCTTATAACAATCATGGAGGGTGGTGGGGGGGGTTTTCAAACATTTTGGGGGATTTTGCCCAAGGGTCTTTTGGGGGGTCGCAGTCCCGTTAGATGCGCGCGGGGGTAAAGGGCTTCAATGGGGGTGTGTGGGAGAGAGAGAGAGGTCGTAACTAGGGCGGGGGTTGTTTAGGGGACCTGGGATCTGGGGGTCGGTGAGGGGACCTGGGAATCGTTGTGGGGACCTGGGGGTGATTGAGGGGACCTGGGGATCATTGAGGGGACCTGGGACCTGGGGGTCGTTGAGGGGACCTGGGGGTCGTTGAGGGGACCTGGGGGTCGTTGAGGGGACCTGGGGTTCATTGAGGGGACCTGGGACCTGGGGATCGTTGAGGGGACCTGGGGATCGTTGAGGGGACCTGAGACCTGGGGGTCGTTGAGGGGACCTGTGACCTGGGGGTCGTTGAGGGGACCTGGGACCTGGGGTTCATTGAGGGGACCTGGGACCTGGGGGTCGTTGAGGGGACCTGGGACCTGGGGGTCGTTGTGGGGACCTGGGACCTGGGGATCGTTGTGGGGACCTGGGACCTGGGGGTCGGTGAGGGGATCTGGGACCTGGGGGTCGTTGAGGGGACCTGGGACCTGGGGGTCGTTGAGGGGACCTGGGGATCGTTGAGGGGACCTGGGACCTGGGGGTCGTTGAGGGGATCTGGGACCTGGGGGTCGTTGAGGGGACCTGGGGGTCGTTGAGGGGACCTGGGACCTGGGGGTCGTTGAGGGGACCTGGGGATCGTTGAGGGGACCTGGGACCTGGGGGTCGTTGAGGGGACCTGGGGATCGTTGAGGGGACCTGGGGATCGTTGAGGGGACCTGGGACCTGGGGGTCGTTGAGGGGACCGGGGACCTGGGGTTCATTGAGGGGACCTGGGGGTCGTTGAGGGGACCGGGCACCTGGGGGTCGTTGAGGGGACCTGGGATCTGGGGTCCTTGAGGGGACCTGGGGGTCATTGAGGGGACCTGGGACCTGGAGTTCATTGAGGGGACCTGGGGGTCGTTGAGGGGACCGGGGACCTGGGGGTCGTTGAGGTGACCTGGGATCTGGGGGTCGTTGAGGGGACCGGGGACCTGGGGGTCGTTGAGGGGACCGGGGACCTGGGGGTCGTTGAGGGGACCTGGGATCTGGGGGTCGTTAAGTGGACCTGGGATCTGGGGGGGGGGGGGTCCCCGTGACCTGTGTCAGGGATTGGGATATCGCTGGGGAGTTGGCGGTTATGACTGCGATCACCTCGGGTGCCTGTGGTCAGGCATTGGGGGTCTGAGCTCATTGCTGGCGTTATTATTGGAGATATTCGATGAGCAATAAAGCTATTTTTTATTCACAGATGTCCTTGCCGTGGATGATGCTGATAGCATGCGGGGAAACCTTCATCCGGGAGTGGATAGACCGTGGGTGCATTGTTTAGAGAGTGACTTGCGCTCCGCAAGCGAATGTCAAATTTGAAACCCTCACCGAGTCTCAAGTCTCCTTGCGCACGAGGGCCCTGCCGCTTTGGGATGTTTGGGCCAGAATCCCGTGAATAATGCGACGAGTCGTTTGGCTTCGTGTGGGAGGAGAACGGAGAACCCGGAGAAAACCCCGCAACGCACACACAAAACCATTGCTCAGAATCAGAATATATTTATTTTCTATTTAGCCTCGAGGAGGAATCCGATGAGTTACGAAGCTTTTTTTATCACCAGATGTCCAGTATGGACGCGTCAGCAAGTCACAGCGGCGAACAATGCACAATACACAATCGCAGTGCACGGTAGGGGAAATGGCAAGTCGCTAAATAATGCACGATCCGAGCCCTCGCGTGAGTGCCCCGTCCAATCTTGTCAGATCTCGGAAAGCTAAGCACGTTTGAGCCCGGTTAGCGACCGGATGAGTAGCTGCGGATGCTCGCCAGCTATTGGTCAGCGGTGGCGGCGGCTACTCTGCACGTGTGCTGCAGTCCAGCACCGTGGAGGCAGCTAGGTTAGGGTTTGTGGCTCGCAAACGGATGGCGGCACAGCAAAGATGCGGACTTCCACCTGTTTCGTCCGTATGGTTATAGAAGCAGAGGTCGGACTGCACTTGTTGTTGGTACGGGCTCATCGCGTGGCTGCTGCCTTCCCCGCTCCTCTTGTGGCTCATCCCCTGAGTCGCACGCTCTCTGTGCAGCGGCGCCGGCTGCCAGCGCGTCACGGGTTAAAATGACTGCAGGCGTTTGGCTCTTGAGGCCTGTGCGAGGTAACAGGAGATGACAGCACAGCCAATGGGTGTGGTTCACAGGTAGATTTCCACTCGCCGAATTGTATGTACGAATGTTGAGCTTCTTTCGCGTACCGCACGTAGCCAATCGGGGGGATTGAATCGCATCTATGTGGAGCTTTGAGTGTCGCTGTCGTATTACGATGTGGTGGGGATTCTCGGAGAAGCCAAACTCCCATTCGTGCCATTTGGTCACACAACCCAATGTAGCAGGGTCCTCTTGACAAAGAGTCTTGAGATTCAGATAATTTTGGGTGACTTAGTATTTAGCTCACCGCACTGTGAATCCAGCACACTCAATTCGATTCCCGCCCATGGCTAACATCGGTGGCTAAGCGATATCCGAATCGGTCTCGGGTGCGCCTCCTCCTCCTCCCACTTTTTCACCGACACACGGTGGCCAGTACGGTGAAGTATAGTCATAAGGCCCGCACGACCCGCACGCCGTAGAAAGTCCCCTCATTCTTCTCTCCGCGCGATAACGAGAAGACTGACACGCACGTGTGACTCGGATAAATCGTTGCTCCCCCCCCCACCCCTTCCCGTCTCTAATCTCTGTTGCCGCCCGCCCGTTTGCTGTCGCCGCGTCAGCATGCCCAGCACGATGGAGACCGGAGCACAGGGAGGGGGCAGCTGGCCCCGGGACGTCGGCATCCTGGCGCTGGAGGTGTACCTGCCAGCGCAGTGCGTGGACCAGGCGGAGCTGGAGAGCTACGACGGAGTGCCGGCCGGCAAGTACACGGTGGGCCTGGGCCAGACGCGAATGGGCTTCTGCACCGACCGCGAGGACATCAACTCGCTGTGCCTCACGGTGACGCAGCGGCTCATGGAGCGCGCGGGCCTCAGCTACGGCAGCATCGGCCGGCTCGAGGTGACGTGCGCGCGCACACACACACAATGACGTGTGTTTGTGTGCACGTACACAAGCACATACATAAGCGTGCACAAGCACGTACACACGCCCGCGTGCACACATACACAAGCACGTACACAAGCACGTACAGAGGCGTACGCACATACACACAAGCGTGCGCACACATACACACGAGCTCGCACAACCCGTAAGGCTCGCAGAAACCCACAGATGCGCATGGAGACCCGTAGACTTACAGAGACAGCCACAGACTTGCAGAGATCCACAGTCGGTACAGATTCATCTCGAGACCCATCGATAGAGACCCCATGGACTCGCATAGAGGCGCGTGTACGCAAGAGGGGAGAGGTAGGAGGGTGCATGCAGGGGAGCGGTGAGATAAGATGGGAGAGGTAGTTAGTGACGGGTGGTGGAGGCAGTGAGTGACGGGGGTGGTGGAGGCAGTGAGTGACGGGGGTGGTGGAGGCAGTGAGTGATGGGGGTGGTGGGAGGCAGTGAGTGACGGGGGTGGTGGAGGCAGTGAGTGACGGGGGTGGTGGAGGCAGTGAGTGACGGGGGTGGTGGAGGCAGTGAGTGACGGGGGTGGTGGAGGCAGTGAGTGACGGGGGTGGTGGAGGCAGTGAGTGACGGGGGTGGTGGAGGCAGTGAGTGACGGGGGTGGTGGAGGCAGTGAGTGACGGGGGTGGTGGAGGCAGTGAGTGACGGGGGTGGTGGAGGCAGTGAGTGACGGGGGTGGTGGAGGCAGTGAGTGACGGGGGTGGTGGAGGCAGTGAGTGACGGGGGTGGTGGAGGCAGTGAGTGACGGGGGTGGTGGAGGCAGTGAGTGACGGGGGTGGTGGAGGCAGTGAGTGACGGGGGTGGTGGAGGCAGTGAGTGACGGGGGTGGTGGAGGCAGTGAGTGACGGGGGTGGTGGAGGCAGTGAGTGACGGGGGTGGTGGAGGCTGCGAGTGACGACGGCGTGCGGTCATGCCGGTGGCGCAGGTGGGCACGGAGACGCTGGTCGACAAGTCCAAGTCGGTGAAGACCGTTCTCATGCAGCTCTTCGAGGAGTCGGGCAACACCGACGTGGAGGGCATCGACACGACCAACGCTTGCTATGGCGGCACAGCCGCCCTCTTCAACGCCGCCAACTGGGTCGAATCCAGCGCCTGGGATGGTAAGGGGCGCGTACCCGTCCCCACATTTACCAATTGTATGCAGCCCCCCAATCGCCACTTTAACTTCCTTAAAAAAAAACACACAAGACACTGATTTCCTGCTCGAATGGAACATTGGAAGCAGAGGTCATTTACTGAGCGAGTGGAGGAAAGTCCACTTTGCTATGACGGGGGCGGGGGGGGGGGATGATATGCGTCTCATCAAGTACAACCACTCGCTGTTGAATTCTCCACAAAGTGGTACTCGCTCTGCACTTTACTGACACCGGAGGGATGATGGCCCTTATCGACACCCTAACCGGGATTTGAACTTGCAACCTTCTGATTGCGAGCCACTCCCTCTACGGCTGAGGCCAAATTTCAACCTGGGAGGCTCAACTGGGACGCATGGTGAGCTTGGCATAGTCCCGCCCGTGCATCCACGAGCACCGCCCACTCGACCACTAGCACCGCCCACTCGACCACTAGCACCGCCCTCTGCTCTGCCGGCCCCGCCCACTGCTCAGGTAGCCCCGTCTACTCAGTCGCTAGCTCCTCCCCCTGCCAGCAACATGGGTTCAACATGAGGCCAGAACGTTTTAAACTGGAGACAAAATCCCAATTGACAGTCAAAGCTCCCGGGGGGTTGGGGGGCGGGGTGACACCGGGACAGGCTTTCTGAAACTTCTGGGGACTGTCCCGGCCTAAACCCGGGACTGTTTGGCAGCCTCAACCTTCAAACCCACCGCTCACCCCCAGCCAGGCTCACTGGGGGGGGGGGGGGGTAGGGGTGACATGGGGATATGGAGAGGAGCAGGGTCCGGGTGGGTCCGGTTGCTGTCGCGTGCGTCGCGATGTTGGTCGGGGTGATTGAAGAGGTGGTTGTGTGCGTGCCAGAAAATTATCACCGCCGGGCAGTCGTGTGTGCGGTGGTATGCGGTGTTGGGTGGTGGTGGTGTGAGACTTTGAGCGGTGGGAGCGTAGAGGTTGAGTGGTTGGTGTTGAGTGGTTGGTGTTCAGTGGTGTTGAGTGGTGTGCAGTGTTGTCGAGTGATGGTGGGCACTATGCACGGATAGATGCACACCCTCGCCCAACAGATGGACCAATTGTCTTGAATCCAGATCGCGAGTCTTGCGTTGACCCGACGCCCGTGCACCGCAGGTCGCTTTGCCCTGGTGGTGGCCGGAGACATCGCGGTGTACGCGACGGGCAGCGCACGCCCCACCGGCGGCGCCGGCGCTGTCGCCATGCTGGTGGGCCCCAACGCCCCGCTGGTCATCGAGAGAGGTGAGGAGCGCCGCGCGGCCGCGCCTCCACTCGCGTCGTAACGAATGTCACGGTGACCCCAACGAGCGTCACGGTCAGCAAAAGGCCACTCTGTGAATATCGGTCTCTGTGTGAGTCTATGTGACTGTGGGTCTCTGTGTGTGTCTGTGGGTCTCTGTGTCTGGGTTTGTATTCCTAACAATCGCACCCATCAATCGACGTTGCGAGATTTTGCGGGAGCACAACAAAGACAAAATATTCGATGTAGCCTCAACAGACGTTTGGTGCAAGTGCTGATAGCGAGCACCAATTAAGGCCGGTACTGCACACGAGGGGGTGGGTGACCAACACCATGCCCGGCCACCTTTGTCTCCCCAGTGGCGATGTTTACATGCCACACCAGATACTCATTTGAGACGGAGACGATCTAGAGGAGGCCCAGGACCGATTCAGATAATCATCATGAGCCGGAATTCAGCTTATGCAGCGCGCTAACCGCAACACTACCGCTCCCCACAAAGGCACTCAAATAGACGCTTAATTTAATTACCTCTAATCAGTATCTAAATCTCCTCCCCAGCACCCCCTGTCCACCCAGTGGTACAAACGGCTCGTCGTGTGTTGCGGGTGGGGTCAAGTGTGGGTAACACTGTCAGGCCTGGGCACGTCGCATGTACAGCACGCACAGCGCGCGCACGGCTCGCGACGACGCCACTTGCCGCCAATAGTGTTGTGAAGGTTGGGCTGTGGAACCTTTGACCCGTGTTGTTGCGTCTCTTCACTCCCGCGTCCCCCTCTCCGTCGTCCTCGTGACGGCGCCGCCAGGCGTGCGCGCGACGCACATGCAGCACGCGTACGACTTCTACAAGCCGGACATGCTGTCCGAGTACCCGGTGGTGGACGGCAAGCTGTCCATCCAGTGCTACCTCAACGCCCTAGACCGCTGCTACCACACGTACCGCCGCAAGGTCCAGGCGCAGTGGCAGAAAGGTGAGAACCACTCCCTGCCCCCCACTTCCTGCCCCCCATGCCACCCCCCCCCGGTTCTGGCCGCCTTCCCCCACGCAGCGAACCTGCGCACGCGACGAACGATCCCGGCAGCGATTTAAGACGAGGCCGTCGCGGTGGCCGGGAGATGTTATCTCCCTGGCCGGGTATGCAGGAAGTTGCGGGTTCAATCCCGACCCTGACGCCTGCTGCTGTATATTTGGAGTTTGCGTGTCTCTCTCTCATCATCATCATGGTGGCTAGGAGATGTTAACTACCTCGCCTGGTATGCAGGAGGTCGTGGGTTCGATCCCAACCCTGACCCTGACGCCTGCTGCTGTATATTTGGAGTTTGCTTGTCTCTCTAATCATCATCATCACGGTGGCCAGGAGATGTTAACTACCTCGCCTGGTATACAGGAGGTTGTGGGTTCGATCCCGACCCTGACGCCTGCTGTATATTTGGAGTTTGCGTCTCTCTCTCTGCCCGTGGTCGCGTGGAGTTTTCTTCGGGTCTTCCGATTTTTCCCTCCACATTTAGAATCAACGTCACGCGTTTCGAGTATTTTGGCTGCTATATATTTCCACACGAAAGGCCACTTCGTTGAGCTACATAGCTCAATGGGGCCTTACGTGGTAAAATAAAAATGGTTCGTAGTTGAGTTGAAAGTTTTATCGTCGTCGTTGTTTTGTCTCCGTGGGCCGCAAGACGGGGAAGAGCGGCACTTCACTCTGGCCGACTTTGACCACATGGTGTTCCACTCGCCCTACTGCAAGCTCGTGCAGAAGTCGGTCGCTCGCCTCGCCCTCAACGACTTCCTGTCGGAGCCGAGCTCCGACACGGAGCAGGGCCCATACGCCGGCCTCGACGCCTTCAGGTGGATGCCCCCACGGTGGCCGGGAGATGTTAACTACCTCGCCTGGTATACAGGAGGTCGTGGGTTCGATCCCAATACTGACGCCTGCTGCTGTATATTTGGAGTTTGGTGTCTCTCATTGTCATCAGGGTGGCCGGGAGATGTTAACTACCTCGCCTGGAATGCAGGAGGTCGTGGGTTCGATCCCGACCCTGACGCCTGCTGCTGTATATTTGGAGTTTGCGTCTCTCTCTCATCATCATCACGGTAGCCGGGAGATGTTAACTACCTCGCCTGGTATACAGGAGGTCGTGGGTTCGATCCCGACCCTGACGCCTGCTGTATATTTGGAGTTTGCGTCTCTCATTGTCATCAGGGTGGCCGGGAGATGTTAACTACCTCACTTGGAATGCAGGAGGTCGTGGGTTCGATCCCAACCCTGACGCCTGCTGTATATTTGGAGTTTGCGTCTCTCTCTCTAATCATCATCATCACGGTAGCCGGGAAATGTTAACTACCTCGCCTGGAATGCAGGAGGTCGTGGGTTCGATCCCGACCCTGACGCCTGCTGTATATTTGGAGTTTGCGTCTCTCTCTCTAATCATCATCATCACGGTAGCCGGGAAATGTTAACTACCTCGCCTGGAATGCAGGAGGTCGTGGGTTCGATCCCGACCCTGACGCCTGCTGTATATTTGGAGTTTGCGTGTCTCTCTCTCTCTAATCATCATCATCACGGTAGCCGGGAGATGTTAACTACCTCGCCTAGTATACAGGAGGTCGTGGGTTCGATCCCGACCCTGACGCCTGCTGTATATTTGGAGTTTGCGTGTCTCTCTCCCCGTGGTCGCGTGGATTTTTATCCTGGTCCTCCGGTTTTTCTCTCCACATTTAGAATCAACATAATGCGTTTAGACCAATTTGGCCGCTAAAAATTTCCACATGATAAGCCACTTTGTTGATTATATCGTTTGTGGTCATCAGGTCGCTTATGAATCAGAAGCTAATAGCTCCGTGGGCTTTACCTGGTAAAATAAAAAATAGTGAAATTATTTTTGTGATTTGCTTACCTTTTATGTACTTTGCATTCCGATTGTGTTTTTGAATTGTTTGTTATTGTTAATATTTGACCCGCACCTACTGGACATGTGTGAAACAGCTTCATAGCTCACCAATGTCTCCTCGGCCTGCAATCTCACCCGTGTCTCTTTCTCTCCCTCTCTTCGCTCTCCCGCGTCTCTCCACCTCTGTGCCGGCAGGACGGTGAAGCTGGAGGACACGTACTTCGACCGCGACGTTGAGAAGGCCTTCATGAAGGCCAGCTCCGAGACGTTTGTCCAGAAGACGCAGCCTTCGCTGCTTGTCTCCAACCTCAACGGGAACATGTACACGCCCTCCGTCTACGGGTGCCTGGCCTCGCTGCTAGCGCAGTACGTTCCGCGACCATCGCCGTCACCATCATCACCATTGTCATCATTACCATCGTCATCGTCGTCATTACCATCGTCATCATTACCATCGTCACCGTCGTCATCACCATCGTCATCACCATCGTCATCATCATCATCATTGTCATCTTCACCACCCCCTAACACCACCTCATCACCCGCACCCCCCAACCCATAAATTGGTCGGGCGATCTCTTGTTGTTTAACTTCATTTGTTTTATTTGAAAGGACAGATACGTGAAGGAGGCATCTTGTCCGCTTGTTCATTCGGTTACTCCTTCTCGTGTTTAGTTAGTTGTCCTTCCCCCGCACCTCAGATTAGCACGGGTGGCTACGTGCAGTGTGAAAGAAGTTCAAAATATATACATACGTCATCATCACTATCGTCATCATCACCATCATCAAGTACCACAGTCGTCACCCGGGCAGTGGTGGCGCACGCGCGACTGTGATCCAGGCGAGGGTTGGTGAATCACCGCGCAGGTTCTATGAAACTCCCCTCGGTGTGGGGGGACGTCAGGCAAACTGCCGGGGCGACACCTTGACCCGCGTCTTCACAGTCCAAGGGAAATACTCCCCAAGGCAAATACTCCCCAAGGCAAATACTCGCCAACGCAAATACTCCAGTGCAAATACTCACCAACGAATCGACGCTTTGCGAACAATAATGCCGCCACGCACGCCTTACGATTGGTTAACGCAGGATGCCGGCGGGGGTTGGCAGAGAGTGGGCTAGGTGGTGGGGGGGGGGGGGGGCGTTGAAGGGTATTGAGAGGGGAGGTCACGATGACCGGGGTCTGTGTAACCCCCTAGAACGGTGGTGCAGTGGTTGGCGTGCAACGCCACGAAATACCTGAACCGGTCCTGGGCCTCGCCTAGATCGACCCGGCCTTCATTGCGTACCCGGTGCGGTGTGCGTAAAAGCAATGGTGAGAGACAAAGGCGGCCGGGCGTGGTGCTGGCCACCCACCCCCTCGTGTGCTGTGCCTGCCTTGTTGTTAGGTGCCACTCGCTAACAGCACTTGCCCCAACAGAGGCTACACGGGGGGGGGTTGGAGGGGGACCTTTGTCTTTGTGCGACGTACGTGGCAGATATCCGATGCTGTGCCAGGAAGAATGAAAAAAAAAACAACACAAAATCGCGAGCACCCTTTCACCTAAATCTCCCAGACCGCGGGCAGATTAGCGAGAAGGGAAAATGTAAACCACCGGCACCCCACGCGTTGCACAACTTGGGCCGGGCCGGCGCCCCCCCCCCCCCATCGACTTGTTGTTGCAGTAACCTGAGGCGTGGGAGAACGTCAAATTGGAGAGGGGGGGTAGTTGGAGAGGGGGGGTAGCCGTCTCCCAAGTGCAGCAGCTTAGGCAGGATCGCTCCGGGTCGATATTAACGAGGGGGGGGCCGCCCCCCCCACCCCGTCCCACCGCGTGGAAACTATTTGGCGCCGCCGCCGCGTTTGTTGCAGGAGGCTCGCGGTTTGGATCAAGGCGGGCCGCCCCGGTTATTACCGCGGCGTGTGCGCGCTTATTAGCCTTCTCTGGATGGTGTACGCGGACGATGATGAGCACGCGACGTTGCCGGACGTCCGTTCTGAAAGTGGGGAGCGGTGGCGGCGAAGTGGTCTGCGCCGCGCTTCGAATCCGACGACCCGAGTTCGATTCCCGCTCTCGGACCAATAACAGTGTGACGGCTAATATCTGGGCCTCCCCTAGGTCGACTCAAATCGGTGCGGTGGTGTGTAAACGTCCCCATTGGGGAGACAAAGGTGGCCGGGCGTGGTGCCAACCACGCCACTCCCTTGTGCGCCGTGCCGACTTTCATCGGTGCTGCTCGCTGACAGCACTTGTCTAAACGGTCTGTTAAAGGCTACACGGGGGATCTTTGTCTTTGGTGGTGGCAGGAACTGTGCGCAGGCGTTGGCGGGGTCTCGTGTTGGCGTCTTCTCCTACGGCTCCGGCCTCGCCGCTTCCATGTACTCGCTGCGAGTATCGTCGGATGCCACGCCAGGTACCGCCACCACGACCACCGCACAACCGCTACCACCACCAAAGCACCGCCGCCACGCTCACACAAACACCACTCGCGATCTTGCCACCGCGGCGATCACTCATACACTACCACCGCCGCACAACCATCGCCGCCACCACCACCAGCAAAAGTACCGCTGCCAGTCGCACAAACACCACTATCTTAGTACCGCAACTATCACACAAACACCACTCACAATCTTGCCACCGCAGCGATCACACAAACACTTCCACCGCTGCACAACCATCGCCGCCACCAGCAAAAGTACCACTGCCAGTCACATAAACACCACTATCTTAGTACCGCAACTATCACACAAACACCACCACCGCACAACCGCCACCACCACCACAGTCACGTTCACGTTGCCACGGGCACACAGATACCACTATGTCCACGGTCACACAACCATGACCATACAACCACACCGCCTCCCACCATCACCGAGATCACACCGCCATCACGACCGCCGTACCGCCATCACCACACGACTATGATCACACAACCAACACAACCACCACTACACCACCCTACACCACCATACAACCACCACAGCCACCAGAACCACCCCACTCCTACCACACCACCACCACCGGGCTTGCCCACACCACCTTCACGCGACAGAGACGTTCGCAGTTCGAGCCCAGCGGCCACCCTGGTTAATAGCGCGGAGTCTATGGGGAAGGTCAGAGACAAGCTCGCAGCCAATGGGTGTGCGTGTGTACTTACTCAAACACGCACACGTATGTTGGTGTATACTCACTCGCTCACGTGTGTGTACTGTGCGGGGAGCAGTAGTGTAGCAGTTCCGAACCAGGCGACCCATGTTCGATACACGCTCACGGTCACCAACGCCAGAGACGATTATCTGAAACGGTCTTGGGCCTCCCCGAGGCCGATTTGGCCTCAAATGAGTACCTGGTGCGATGTGGAAACCTCGCCACTGGCCGGACGTGGTGCCAACCACCCCAGCCCCCCTCGTGTGCTGTGCCGTGCTGGCCCTTGCTCACCAACAGTCTGTTGAAAGGCAACACGGGCGATATGTGTGTGGTGGTGGTGGTGGTGCAGGCTCGAGTCTGGAGCGCCTGTTGTGCTCCCTGTCGGACCTGCCCGCGCGCCTCTCCGCGCGCACCTGTGTGCCGCCCCAGGACTTCGCTTCCGCCATGAAGCTCCGTGAGGAGACGCACCACCTGGGTAAGCGAACTCACGCACACAGACACAAATAATAAAATAATTCTCACGACGCTTCGGCCACAACGCCGAAACGTCGTGAGAATTATTTTATTATGTTTTATTTTTATTATTTTATTACTTCCCTTCTACGTGACTTTACCGAAAGAACCAAGAAGACAATAGGCGACAATTTCAGGCAATGGCCCTTCAGAGCCCACAGGGAGGCGTCGAGTCTGGCAGCGGCAGCAGCAATACCTGAGTAATTTGTGGTTGGCGTAATTAGGGTGTTTACAATCGTTCAATTTACAAAACCGGTTTGCCGCACATGTGGAAAAGTTTATAGCAGTAAACGTCTCCAGTTGAGTGTTTTGGTTATTATCATTGTCACAACTCCAGCTCCGCTCGTTTAGCTGGGAGAGGTCACTCGCCGAGTCTCTCGTTGAGCGGAGGGAGGTGTGGAGCCTGGGACAAACGCGGGCGGGGAGTGGGCAGCACGGATCGCTGGGAGTAGAGTGAGATGAGAGGGGAGAGGTAGGAGAGTGCGTGGAGGAGAGTAGAGTGTGATGGGAGGGGAGAGGTAGGAGAGTGCGTGGAGGGGAGTAGAGTGAAATGGGAGGGGAGAGGTAGGAGAGTGCGTGGAGGGGAGTAGAGTGAGATGAGAAGGGAGAGGTAGGAGAGTGTGTGGAGAGGAGTAGAGTGAGATGAGAGGTAGGAGAGTGCGTGGAGGGGAGTAGAGTGAGATGAGAGGGGAGAGGCAGGAGAGTGCGTGGAGGGGAGTAGAGTGAGATGAGATGGGAGAGGCAGGAGAGTGCGTGGAGGGGAGTAGAGCGAGATGAGAGGGGAGAGGCAGGAGAGTGCGTGGTGGGGAGTGGAGTGGAGTGAGATGAGAGGGGAGAGGCAGGAGAGTGTGTGGAGGGGAGTAGAGTGAGATGAGAAGGGAGAGAGAGGAGAGTGTGTGGAGAGGAGTAGAGTGAGATGAGAGGTAGGAGAGTGCGTGGAGGGGAGTAGAGTGAGATGAGAGGGGAGAGGCAGGAGAGTGCGTGGTGGGGAGTGGGGTGAGATGAGAGAGGTAGGAGAGTGCGTGGAGGGGAGTAGAGTGAGATGAGAAGGGAGAGGTAGGAGAGTGTGTGGAGAGGAGTAGAGTGAGATGAGAGGTAGGAGAGTGCGTGGAGGGGAGTAGAGTGAGATGAGAGGGGAGAGGCAGGAGAGTGCGTGGAGGGGAGTAGAGTGAGATGAGATGGGAGAGGCAGGAGAGTGCGTGGAGGGGAGTAGAGCGAGATGAGAGGGGAGAGGCAGGAGAGTGCGTGGTGGGGAGTGGGGTGAGATGAGAGAGGTAGGAGAGTGCGTGGAGGGGAGTGGAGTGGAGTGAGATGAGAAGGGAGAGAGAGGAGAGTGTGTGGAGAGGAGTAGAGTGAGATGAGAGGTAGGAGAGTGCGTAGAGGGGAGTAGAGTGAGATGAGAGGGGAGAGGCAGGAGAGTGCGTGGTGGGGAGTGGGGTGAGATGAGAGAGGTAGGAGAGTGCGTGGAGGGGAGTGGAGTGGAGTGAGATGAGAGGGGAGAGGCAGGAGAGTGCGTGGAGGGGAGTAGAGTGAGATGAGAGGTAGGAGAGTGCGTGGAGGGGGGGCGGGGGCCGGCCCCCGCTAATGGGGGGGGGGGGGACGTGAGTTGCACGCTGTAGGTGGCGCCCCAGCGCCGCTGCGCTGTAAACTCCGCAAACCATCTGTCGTCAGCGATATCTTATCCTCCAATCGCGTCCTTCACAAACCTCCTCCACACACCCTCTTGCACACACACACGCGCGTCACCAACCCCCGTCACCAACCCCCCCGTCCGGCCTTGTCGTCCCTCCCCCCCCCAGCCCCCTACACCCCCCAGGGCGCGCAGGAGGGGCTCTTCCCCGGCACGTGGTTCCTGGTGCACGTGGACGACAAGCACCGGCGGCGGTACGAGCGGCGGGCCCTCGCCCAGGACGGGCCCCTCGACCTGTCGCCCGTCGCCAGCGCCACGCCCGTGCCGCCCGAGGTGCGGGGGGGGGGGCGTGTCAGTGAGTCGGTCAACCGATGGCACCCGAGTCTGTCCCGTCACCTCCTGCCAGCGGGCATTCGACACTTGACGTGGCCTTAAAGTGCACCTGGCCTGGCATGGGTGCCGTGGTGACATCGCCGACGCTTGGTGACGAATGGCGGGTATTGGTTTTGGTGGGGAGCAGCGGTGTCGCGGTTAGTGCGCTGCGCTACGAACCCGGCGACCCGAATTCGATTCCCGCTCACGGTCACCAACACCAGTGGCAATTATCTGAGCCGCTGCGGGGCCTCCCCTAGGTCGACTCGGCCTCAAATGAGTACCTGGTGCAGTGTGTAAACATCGCCACTGGTGAGACAAAGGTTGCCGGGCGTGGTGTTGGCCACCCCGCCCGCTTTTCGGTGCTCGCCAACAGCACTTCCCCCAACAGTTTTTAAGGCTACACGGGGGATTCTTTGTCTTTGCGCGGGGTAGTGCAAGTGAGTGTGCGTGAGAGCGTGCGTCTGGGAGAGTATGTGTGTGTGTGTAGCTGTGTGACGTCACCCGGCTGTCGGTGCGTGTGTGTAAGACAGCGGTCAGACTGTTGCGGCAGTGGTTTGTGCGCCGCGCCTCGGACCCAGCGAGCCGAGATCAATCCCCCCTCCCCCCGCCCCCCCCCCCCCGTGTCGCATGGAGCAGGTGTCCAGCAGTCCGCTCAAGAAGGTCCCGCGCACGCCGGGCGCCGGAGGCGAGGGAGCCGCAGTGGAGAGCAACGGAGAGCACTAAGGGGGGGCGAGTAGAACGGCGAACTCCCCTCGCTCGCCTCGCCCTGTCCAATCGCTTCACCTGTACGCGTCCCGTTCGGCCTGTAACGATTCCCCCCCCCCCCCCCCCCACGCGGGTTCGTGTGTTCTAACGTCGTCGCGTGACGGGTCGTGGCCCGGTATTTACATGGCAAGTCGGTTTGAAATCGACCGCCCGGTCCGCTCCGTCTCCTGACCCCCGCCGCCTTTCTTTCCCCACTTTTCCCTTGCCGGAGTCATCTTCTCCCCCACCACCTCACCCCTACCCCCCCTCGTCATCTTTCGCCCCGTCCCCTCACCTCACCCGCTCGCCTCTCTGCTTATCTGCCATCGTCGCCCTGCTGCTGCTTGTTTAGAGAAACCCACGTTCCTGCCGTCCCGTGCGGTTTACCCCGCTGCCCGCTGCTGATGCCAGGCCCAGTCTCAAAAAACAAAAAAAAGGCCAGGCTGTGACTGCAAGCGGTGCAGACGCACGTGCCCCCAGTCATCACGGATCGATTGCTACCGAGGTTAGAGAGGGGGGAAAAGAGCGCTTTTACCGTTGGAAGCATGAAGCTGCATTTCATTTGTACTGTATAGCACAAACGTATCTTGTGATTACCACGAGCACGTGACGAACTTGTATATATTATAATAATAGTAGTAATATCTCTTTGGTTGCTGTAGATGTGCGTGCCGATTGCCGCCCCCCCCCCCCCCGTCCTGTGTTTGCGACGTCTCTCCCGACTGTTCCTCTGCCCGGAGAGTGCGGCGCGTGGTACTGTCGGCTGCGGATAGCAAAGTCTGGTCCACCACAGTAAAATCCCATTTACTCTCGATCTGAGCTGCCTCTGTGTGCTGTGTCCCCCGTGTGTGTGTGTGTGGCTCCCCTGTGTGTGTGTGGCGTCCCTGTGTGTGTGGCGTCCCTGTGTGTGTGGTGTCTGTGTGTGTGGCGTCCCTGTGTGTGTGTGTGTGGCGTCCCTGTGTGTGTGTGTGGGGCGTCTGTGTGTGTGTGTGTTATCCCTGTGTGTGTGTGTGGGGCGTCCCTGTGTGTGTGGGGCGTCCCTGTGTGTGTGTGTGTGGGGCGTCCCTGTGTGTGTGTGTGGGGCGTCTGTGTGTGTGTGTGTTATCCCTGTGTGTGTGTGTGGGGCGTCCCTGTGTGTGTGGGGCGTCCCTGTGTGTGTGTGTGGGGCGTCTGTGTGTGTGTGTGTTATCCCTGTGTGTGTGTGTGGGGCGTCCCCGTGTGTGGGGAGGGTTGCTGGCCACACCACCCCCTCGTGCGCCATGCCGGCCTTCACAGCTGCCGCTGCTTTCTAACAGCACTTGCCCCAACACAGCCTGTGGCAAGGCTGCACGGGGGGAGGGTGGGACATTTGTGCCTGGGGAGTGGTGGCGTAGGCAATAGCATGCCACGCGTTAAATCCCGGGCGGCCAGAGTTCAATTCCCGCTCGTGCCCAATAAGTGTCGAATATTTAAATTGATCCTGAGCCTCTCCCCGAGGCCGACTCGGACTAAAATGAGTAACTGGTGGTGATGTGCAAACATCGGCCCCTCCTGTGCCCTGCCGGCCTTCACAGGGTGCTGGCCAACAGCACTTGGTCCAACAGCCTGCGCAGGCTACACAGGGGACCTTAGTCTCTGTCGTGTAAACCACACAGACTTTACACCGTAACATGAAAAAATCAAGCGGCACTGATACAGCAAAATCCTATCGATATGTTTATTTACGGTTACAACTTTGCACAAAAAATGGTGGGGGGGGGGGGGTGGATGCCCCCGCTCCAAAGGAGTGGATTTGGTGGCTTGCTGTACAGATGGTGCTTTTATGGGTGGAAGGGGGAGGGGGGGTCATCTCCAGAGTCATGTCGCGTGTGTAAATGTACAACGGGGGGGGGGGGGGGGGTTGACGTGTGACGTCACAACTAAACCGTGCACCCAACGCGACACCGAACGGCGGCTGCTGCATGAGCCACGCAGCGCGTGACAAACTATGATAACTGCTGCGCCACGAGTGGGGGGAGGGGAGGGTGAGCGTGGAGGTGGGGTGGAGTATGATATTGCTCACTACTTTGATTAAAAGAGTAGTATTAATAAGTCGGACGTCCACCACCACCGGCAGCCGCGAGATTTCGCGAGCGGACGCGAAAATGTGCTCTCGGCGAGCGGAGAAACTGGCGGAACGCCGAGCAGTTATTACTAAAATCGATTTACATTTTGCATAATATATCCTGCAATACCATCTCAGTTTCACTTCACAGGGTGATTAGTGCACCCGATTTCTACATATACGGGCTTGTGCGCGTGTGCGCGCGTGTGTACGACACGACCGCCTACAGCAGTATAAAAGCGTAACACCTTGAGCGGTAATTCACATTGAGAGAAAGCGCTCGCGCGGATACAGCGGCTGCCACCTCCAAATAATACGCACAAAAAAAACACACGGACGGTAAGAAGACTGATGATCCTCTCTCGGTGCCCAGCAGAGAGGAGGAATCCCGAACGACCGGCGGTGTGCCGGTCGTAGGCACCACAGACAAAACAGCAGGGACACTGTCAACATACATCGGAAGACTTCGGGACAGATTTCCCCCCACGGGACAGCTGCCGCGGGCAGAAGAGGATCCTGGGAAAACCAAAGGATGGGTGGCAACCTTCCTGCTCGCCGCCGCTGCTGCTTTGACAGGAATGCCGGCGTGCGAGCCGAAGCCACACGATCGAGCGGGGTTCCGGAGCTCACCGGCGTGCGATTAAAAGTTTTTACCATAAAAAAAGGTGATGCACCCACCCCCCCCCCCCCCCCCGTAACTGGCTCATGGAAAAGCACCTACACCACGCCCCCTCCGCCGACTCTGCAGTTTTTTTTTGGGGGGGGGGGGTGGGGTAGGTCGATGGTAACGCTGCATCGATGATCGCGACCCCGGTTTGATGCGCCGCGTGGGCGGCTGCGTGCGCAGCTGCGTGTGGCTCCTCATGGCTCCTCATGGCTCCTCAAACCTGCTGCATGGGCTTCAGGTCCGGAGAAACCTGTGCAAGGGAAGGGGACGACGTCCGTTAGCAACCGAACCACCCGATGCAATGACGACGATGCAGAGTTGTTGTTTTTGTTAAAAAAAAATTTGCACGAGGCCACGTAACCGTCTGGTCGGATCGATGGTATACGAGAGCCCTCCACCACCCGACGTTGGGTTACGTCAGGCGGTGGAGGGTCGGCCAGAAAGCGGTGCCAACAATTGCCGTTTGGCCGACTCCACGGGGACATCGTAGGAGCACCGCTGCCCCGGGCCGCTTCCAAACTCAATATTCACGGTCGTTCAAATCCGAGTCATTAAAGTGCAAAAATAAAGCGGCCAATCGGACAATCCCGTTGCATCGACGTGGCGCGCCGCCAACGTTTTTGAGACGCGTCGAGCGCAACGGCGCCACGGGTGTCCGCGCCACGAGCTTCTTTGCACCAACGTTGAACACATCCCCTCCACTCTGTTGCCCTCTAGGAACAAAAACTAAAACGTAACCTGGAAATCAATCGTTTGTGCAAGTTCAGGCAAAGGCAACCACTAACGCCCCCCCCCCGCTCAACGGTGTCTACGGGTCATGCCACGCGCCGCTGGGCACGACGTCCAAAGACGTTTCGCTTTCGTGGGTGGGCCGAGCCAGCTTTCTGCAAAATCGGATCCTGAAGATGGTCCCGAGGCACGGCGTGAAACGTCGGGTACCAGGGCGACAAGATGTGACCTACCTCGCCTGGTATACAGGAGGTTGTGGGTTCAATCCCAACCCTGGCGCCTGCTGCTATATATTTGGAGTTTGCGTGTCTCTCTCCCTGTGGTCGCATGGATTTGTCTCCGGGTCCTCCGGTTTTTCCCTCCACATTAAGAATCAACATGCATTTAGAGCAGTGGTTCTTAACCTTTTTGGAGGTACCGAACCCCACCAGTTTCATATGCGCATTCACCGAACCCTTCTTAATTGGAAAAATAAAATATGATGTTTTCAAATTCAAAACATAGGTATATGTTTTACTGGTGCACAATCATATGAGTCGGGTGTGTGTCTTAACCTCCGCCGAACCCCTGAGACTGACTCACCGAGCCCCTGGGGTTCGATCGAACCCAGGTTAAGAACCACTGATTTAGAGTATTTGGCTGCTGTACATTTCCACGTGAAAAGCTACTTCGTTGAGCTATCGTTTGTGATAGCCAGGTCGCTTCTGAAAAAGAGCTACATAGCTCAGTGGGCCTTACCTGGTAAAATTTTAATGAAAAGTTTTAGTAATTGTGCCCAACCGAATGCTGCTGATCAACCACAGCCCCACCCACCGCTCCCCCAAAGCACACCGGAACGCTCCGAGAAAGCATCCTTTTTATCCGTGACCGCCAGGAATAATCCTCGGGGTGACACGTGTCGCGTGTCTCGTGTAAATGGCTGCCACCACTTCTGTTGCGTGACGTTACATGGACGTTACACAACGCTATCGTGACGAGCGACGACGCCCGGCTGCCAAAAGTCAACAGGCAGCTGGGGAAGTGAGCCCAACGCTGCGTTCAAATCCGAGCGCCGGGGTTTCTTTTCAGGGATGGTGGAGATAGGGAGAGGTGGGTGGGGGGCGATTAAAGGAACTCCTCTACCGGCTTAATCTGGCACTGATGCCTCTGCTGTAGTGTAGCTGCACAAGCGAGTCGTCGTGGTGGTGATGGGGAGCGGTGGTGTAGCGGTTAGCGCGCCGCGGTGCGAACCCGGCAACCCGTGTTTGAGTCCCGCTCACGGCCAACACCAGTGATGATTATCTGAACCGGTCCTGGGCCTCCCCTAGGTCGACTCGGCTTCAAATTAGTACCTGGTGCGGTGTGTAAACATCGCCACTAGGGAGACAAAGGCGTGCCCGGCCTTCATAGGTGCTTGCTAGACAGCACTTGCCCCAACAGGCTGTTAAGGCTATACGGGGGATCTTTGTCTTTGGTGGTTGTTCTTGTCTGGTAGTGGGTGACTGAACAGGAATGCAATTGCAGCAGCCAAGTCGGGCCACACAAGTGAGCATTTCATGAACGCTGTCCAACTAAGGTTGAAAGCGTTCGTGTATTAGCTGTGTCCGTCTGTAACGTGGGGAGAGGGGGTGGTGTGGGGGAGGGGGGTGCAATGTCTCCATCCGAAACCGTAATAGAAACTTCGTGTTGCCATTTGGAACTCGCCCGACAGAAAACCGGCCACGTTAATCGTAGAGTGAATAAAAATTAACCCGTAAAAACAAAGTTTTTCACTATAAATCCTTTATATGCGTGGCATCGGTTTTATTTTATTATTCACTTCTGTTTTTCTTGAGTAAGAGTTTCATTTTTATCACATTGGTATTTTAAATTAAATATGAAATTTTTTTTTTCCTAAAAAGTGGAAAATTTAGGAAATTTTTTTTCACGAAAATAAATTGTCACACACAACGAGTCTGTGTGCAAAATGTCAGCTCGATTGGATCACGGGAAGTGGGTAAAAAATGACCGAAAGATTTGCACGGTCGTAAGCGCGCAAGCAAGCAAGTGAACTTAATATAAAGGATTTAAAAATAAGAGTGTACACTTCTGAAGCGCTTTTCACCCAGAGCTCACAAGGCGCCGTACAAAAACACGCACGCACCCACGCACGCACGCAGGCTCACACAAATCGGATCCAACCCCAAAACGAGCGGGGTGACAACGCGAGTCACCCGCTTGTTATTCTTAGGTTTTTTCGGTAAAGTCACGTAGGTAAAATTTTTTAAAATTAATGAAAGTAAATAAAATTAAAATCACGTCGTTTCGGAGGCAACACAAGCTTCCGTCTTCAGGTGGAACCGTCACAGCACGATAGCTGTATCCGACGCCCAACGTCTCACAGCGGCCTACAGTCGGTATTGCTCCAGAGCCACACCCCGTGACCTCCCGTCCAGCGACATTTATTTACACGGATGACCTCGTCGCGTGGCCGAAGGCGTGGGGGGGTGGGGGGGGAGGGATGGGGTTGGGGGAGGGCAACTGACCTGGAAGCCGCTGCCAGTGCAGGCCTTGATGTCCTCGACGGAGAAGCCATTCCACACCTCGGTCAGAGTCAGGCCCTGGTCCTTGTCCACGTCAAACACCGCCTGGGACAGCGGCAGCAGGAACAGCGTCGCATCGTGAAGAGGGGCAAGCACAACAACGACAACAACAAGAGGTGTGTTGCTGCTGCACCGGGAGCACATCCGAGCACGAGATGCCGAGCTTCCGGGATGCGGTGGAGACTCGAGGGCATTCTGGGCCTCGACTCACAGATGCACCAACTACAACCATAAGTGGCGGTGACGTCACCATGTCGCGTGTGGCAGGCTAGGTGCACGTTGAGGCCACGTGGATAGATGCACAACCAGACTCGCTTGCAGCGACAGCCAAACGGACACCCAACGGGGCGTTCCCCACGCAGCACAAACCTCCGTCACACGTCCGTCACACGTCCGTCACTACGCGTCACCAGTGCATCATCACTCATCACTACAACTCATCACCAATTAGCGCACGCCATCACACGTCACAGGTACATGCGGTGGTCACCTTCTCCGTGATGATGCGGTCCACGCAGTTCTTGCCAGTCAGGGGCAACTTGCACTCCTCCAGGATCTTGAAACCACCGCCCTGCATAGACAAAGATCCCCCGTGTCGCCTTAACAGGCTTGCCTGACCCATTCAGCCCGTTTGTCATAACTTTAGACCGGCCTCCATTGCTCGAGCGGCTCACCGGTTAATAATTCAGTGGACGCGCCACACACACAAACACACAAAGCCTCGATAGCAAACAAGCGGCTGTGCTTACGATCGAGGCCGCTCACAAACGAGCAGGTGAGCGGGTGGCGGACCGACTTCTACCCTCGCCGGCCAATGGCCTGGCCCCCAGCGGACCGTACAACGCACGGTCCATTGCAGAGGTCTTTACCAACGGGCTTTGTCGCCCCCACCCCAAAACGGCTGTTGACCGACCAGGGCCGACTCATTTCGTCCAAGTCATTTGCAGGGCGCGTGCCGATATGCTGCTCGCTGGAACAAGAGCCCATCGATCGCCGTGTACAACATCACCCGCAAGGCAGGCGGAATGGGTGGAGCGGCAGAACCAGCAACGTCACGCCGTGCTGCGTCACGCCACGGAGAACGAGTGCCCGGCATCGAGGGGGGGGGGGGACTACGGCTGGTGGGCGACTCGTGGCGACGCGGCGCAGCTTTTGCGGTTCCCAGGATATCGGCACGCAACCTGCAAGGACGTCCTGAGCAACACGGCCACCCCCGCCACCGCCCCCCCACCGCTCCCCTCCCACCCCGCCCCCCCACCCCGCCCCCCCACCCTGCCCCACCCTGCCCCCCCACCCCACCCCACCCTGCCCCCCCACCCCGTTTCCCCCTCCCCCAACCACCGTGGAGGTGGAGGAGGATAATGATGCTGCTTGTGTTTTTTTATGGCGTTTCCGAATGAAAGGCCCAGTGATAACATCGTGTGCCGGGCACACAGCTCGGATTTACACGGGGCGTACGTACGGCACACGCGCGTGTGTGTGTGTGTGTGCTCGTGCGTGTGTGCGTATGTGCGCGTGCATGTGTGTTCTCGTGTGACAGGGATGTCCTCTGGCTCCCACATTATTTAACATCTATTTTGACCGCGTAGTTCGTGAAGCCTTCAATAGCTGTACCGGGGGAATTTCCGTTTGGTACAGATATAATGGGAGGCTGATCGACGCCCGGGTGCGATCAAGGGATGGCTCCTTATTGGTCAACCACGTTATGTATGCCGATGATTTGGTAATAGCTGCTCATTCAGAAGAGGAGTTGGAGGCGCTGCTGCTGAGACTGGAGCGTGCCACTAAGAGGTGGGGCCTTACCATCAGCCCCACCAAAACCAAGCACCTGCCTGGGTATTTTGTACCATCGGACACTCCACCCCCACAACTCCCAATTGGTGATGGGGCAGTTGTGGAGAGAGTGGAGAGTTTCCCATACCTGGGCAGTGTGCTTATGACCGGCTCCAGTCTATCAGCAGAGGTCTCACTCCGAATCAGTCGAGCGGCAATATCTTTTCATCGGTTGCGTAACGCTGTGTGGAAGCTACCTGGTCTGTCGCTCCGCACGAAGCTTCAGGTCTTCTCGGCCACGGTCATTCCCTCCCTTCTCTACGCTTGCGAGACGTGGACCCCCCTGGTGGAGCATCTTCGCCGGTTGGAAACATTTAGGCTGGCCTGCCTACGATCCATCCTGGGTTTAACCAGGCTGGATTGTGTGAGGAGCTCACAAATCCTTGAAAGATCTGGGCAAAGTCCCATCAGTGAGCTCCTCCGGCAGGCAAGGCTGCGTTGGCTGGGTCATGTAGCCCGCATGCCCAGCCACCGCATGCCTAAACAGCTTTTGTTCGGCCGGATCGAGGGGGCTAGACGGGCGCGGCACGGGCTGGAGAAGAGATGGAGTGATGTGGTACAGGAGGACGTGGAGCTGAGTGGACTTGCCGATGACTGGTACCAGCGGTGTCAAGATCGGCCTCAGTGGAGGAGGCTCGTGAAGGACGCTACTGGGCAGTTGGAGGCAGTCGCCCTCCAACAACAACGGAGGGCGGAGGAGCGACGCTCACAACAACGAGCGGAGCGCCGGGTGGCTAAAGCACAGCAAGTTAGCACAGTAGGGGGCACAGGTGGTGCATCAGCCAGTCATCTCGGTCATCTCGGTCAGTCGACCAGTGGCACCTGGGTCTGCCCCGTGACCTCCTGCCAGCGGGCTTTCGACACTTCACGTGGCCTCAAGGTGCACTTGGCCTGGCACAAGCATCGTGGTGACGTCACCGCCACTTAGTGGCGAATGGCGGTTGTTGTTGTTGTGTGTGTGTGCTCATGCGTGTGTGTGTGCGCACATGTGAATGTGTGATTATGTGTGTTGAACGACATAGGGCGGCCCCTACCTTGGCGTTGTGTTCCATCGTGATGACCACCTTTGTGCCAGCGCTGGCCACCAGATCCATAGCACCACCCATGCCCTTCACCATTTTACCCTGCACAAAGACAAAGACCACCCATATAGCCTTCACATACTGTTGGGGCAAGTACCGTTAAAGAGTGCCACTTATGAAGGCCGGCATAGCACACAATGGGGTGGGGGTGGCCAGCTCTATGCCCAGCAACCTTTGTCTCCCTAGTGGCGATGTTGACACATCGAGTCAAGGGAGGCCCAGAACCAGTTCAGATAATCGTCACTGGTATTGGCCACGAGCGGGAATCAAACTCGGGTCGCCGGGTTCGGAGTGCAGCGCGCTAACCGCTCCGCTAACGTTCCCCACACTTGTACAGACAAAGGCAAAACTTCCCCCACCCTTGACGCAAGCCACACGTAGCATCGTACATTTATTTTCGTAACCCCAGAACAAAGCCAAGCAGAGAGGCAGAGCCCATCCCCCGCAGCCAGTCCCCCAACAGCGCTTGGCAGCTTCCTTCATTTCTCAAAACCGAATGAAGGAAGCTGCCTGGGTTGTGGAGCGGCGTGTCGGGCGTCTAGGCGAGCGACGCCTTGCGGCACGGCCAAACAGCGCGTCGGACAGACGCGCAACCCTCCCTACTCTCCCCCCAATGAAGTGGCTGCTACTGCTGCCGTGTGCGTGCGTGCGTGCGTGTGTTGATGCAAGGCGGCACAGCTCCAGCTCCTACCGGAATCATCCAGTTTGCCAGGTCACCGTACCGCGACACCTGCATGGCGCCCAGCATGGTGAGGTTCACGTGGCCCCTGCGGTCCGCACACGCCGGCACACCGCGCATGTCAACGCCCCGCACAGCACACAAGGGCTCTTCCCCTTGACCCTGCTTAGCCTATCGCAAGGGGTATTGGGGGCAGGACGGGGGGGCGAGTGCTGTTTGCGAGCACCTATTAAAGGCGGGAGCGGCGTGCGCGCGGTTTGTGCTGTTAAACTAAACCGTTTCTCCACGCAGAATAAACTGACTTTTTATTTCTCCCCTCTACTTAACATCTGCCGACATCGTCCCAAGCAATGTCCCCCGCACCCCCCCCCCCCCCATTTTGTCACGTGACTTCATTTAACCCCCTCCCCCCCCACCACACAACTTGGAGGGGTGGTAGTAGTAGGTGGGGGGCGCGCCACGTTCCACTAGAACTGACCCGCGGATCATGGCGAAGGACTCGTCGCTGGAGAAGTAAGACGATCCGGGGATGACGGTCACCGTCTCCTTGCCTGGGGAACCGCGACACACACACCGCAGGGTCAAGGTCACGGCGCCGTTGCACCGAGGTGGGAGAGAGCTCCAGAGAGCAGGGAGTGTCCCACCGGCAGCAGCGAGCGATACGACATCGAAATAAAGTACGGCAGTGAAGCCTAAATAGCAATCGGAGCAACAGCAAAAAACAACCGAATAGAGATTCTCACTCGCCAACTGCTCAGGTAGTCCCAGCTGTACCCCCACTCGTTAGCACTGTAGAGGGTACAGCCAGTGCCCGATTAAGATAGTGCGGGGCCTGTAGCATATGTTATAAAGGAGCCCGAAATAATAAAAACATTTTAATATTAAAAACACAAATATTTAACTTGCACAGTAAAGTTATTGTATTTTTTAATTTGCAATACAGCCAGATAATACGACAAACCGCTAACCTTAAACACCCAGTCGTTCGTAAAAGTTGAAGGCGGTATAGTACTATGGTAATAGAGCAAGTGCAGAATCACTGAACCGGAATTGATAGCTTGAAAGCATTTAGCGCAGGGGCCCTTGAAAGTGCGGGGCCCGTAGTATTTGTTTTGCTACTTTTGCTACTAGGATAATCTGGCACTGGGTACAGCTGGTGGTGCATACCCCAGTCAGCCAACCCATGGCACCTGCTGGGTCTGTCCCTAGACCTCCTGTCAGCGAGCCTTCGACATTTCACGTGGCCTCAAAGAGCACCTGGCCTGGCACAGGCGCTGTGGTGACGTCACAGCCTAGAATGGTGGGTCTTGGAATTGGTCGTCCCACCCACTACCCAAGTGGCCTCGCCCATTTATCAGGTAGCCCCACCCATTATTTACATAGCCCCACCCATCGTTCAGTTAACTCCGCCCACTACTCCAGTAGCTCCGCCCACTGCCCACATCACGAGGCCAGAACCATTTTTAAAAACCCAACCGAACCCAGCGGCTCCGTTCCCCGTCCCTCCACCACGACGGCATCGCACGCGGTGCCACCTCATTTCCATGTCCTCCTTCTCCAGATGGCAAGGGCAGGTGCTCGCGATCGCCCTCCATATACGGGAGTCAGAGAACGCACGCGTGGGCATCGTTCGTCCGACTTGTCTCTAGCAATGTGCGTGTGCGGCTTGGCTGAGGCTGTCGTACCTGCATTGATGAGGTCAGGGTCCTGCTCCCCCTCCAGCGGGTACGGGCCCTGCACCGGACAACGGCGACAACATCAACACCCTCTCTCTCTACACCCGCGGCAAGTTCTGTACGTGCGTGTACGTTGAACTTCTTTCGCACCGTACGTAGCCAGCCGTGCTAATCGGAGGTTCTGTAACCAGTGTTCAGGGGCCGCAACTAATGGCCACCAGGAGCCTCCAGTGGCCCACGGGCCTTGCAATGAAGAACACTCTTCTCGGTTCTTTCGGTAAAGTCACGTAGAAGGGAAGTAATAAAATAATAAAAATAAAACATAATAAAATAAAATAATTCTCACGACGTTTCGGCTACAACGCAAGCAGCCGTCTTCAGGTGAAGAATGAGACACTACCAAGCTAGAAGCTTATATATAAGCTGTGTTGGAGGTGGAAGAGCGCCTTAACAAAAAGAATGTGCATATGAAGAGGAATGAGGCGATCCACATATACATATACAAACACAGAGACAATTTTAACCGAGAAGATGGATTCTGGCTTAGCAATCATTGGAAGGACGTAATAAACCATTTCGATACACATTAGGGTGTGTAGAATAATACAGTGTTATATTAAAATGTATAAGGTATAGGTTGGTTTACAGCAATACAGTATATAATTTAATGTTGGGTTTATCTATGGCAGTATATAGTACGGTATATGCTCGTGTGATGCAAGAGAATAAAGTTTAGATGGAAGCATATTATATAATTTTTACGACGTAGAATTGTAATGTATTACTTGCTGTTAGTAACTCAGCTTAGTGTAGAGTATAGTAAGTATACTGATGGTGCTATGCAGTTTATACTTTAGTTTTTTATGTAGTTTATACTTTAGTTTTCTACGTGGTTGTTGAGTAACTGCAGCTACATATCATTAACATTCCTTTCCTTTGTTACTGCTAATCCCTGCACCCCCCCTTGGTGCTGCTGATCCTGCATAATGCATGGGCATAATATGACTTTGAAACCCCCCCGCCCACCTACTACGCATTTTCCATGAATATGCTAAATTCCTCTTCATATGCACATTCTTTTTGTTAAGGCGCTCTTCCACCTCCAACGCAGCTTATATATAAGCTCCTAGCTTGGTAGTGTCTCATTCTTCACCTGAAGACGGCTGCTTGCGTTGTAGCCAAAACGTCGTGAGAATTATTTTATTTTATTATGTTTTATTTTTATTATTTGATTACTTCCCTTCTACGTGACTTTACCGAAAGAACCAAGAAGATGAATCCCTGCAGTCACGAAAGCTTTAAATCGAAACCTAAAAATGTTTTATTTTTATTATTTGATTACTTCCCTTCTACGTGACTTTACCGAAAGAACCAAGAAGATGAATCCCTGCAGTCACGAAAGCTTTAAATCGAAACCTAAAAATGTTTTATTTTTATTATTTTATTGCTTCCCTTCTACGTGACTTTACCGAAAGAACCAAGAAGATGAATCCCTGCAGTCACGAAAGCTTTAAATCGAAACCTAAAAATGTTTTATTTTTATTATTTGATTACTTCCCTTCTACGTGACTTTACCGAAAGAACCAAGAAGATGAATCCCTGCAGTCACGAAAGCTTTAAATCGAAACCTAAAAATGTTTTATTTTTATTATTTGATTACTTCCCTTCTACGTGACTTTACCGAAAGAACCAAGAAGATGAATCCCTGCAGTCACGAAAGCTTTAAATCGAAACCTAAAAATGTTTTATTTTTATTATTTTATTGCTTCCCTTCTACGTGACTTTACCGAAAGAACCAAGAAGATGAATCCCTGCAGTCACGAAAGCTTTAAATCGAAACCTAAAAATGTTTTATTTTTATTATTTGATTACTTCCCTTCTACGTGACTTTACCGAAAGAACCAAGAAGATGAATCCCTGCAGTCACGAAAGCTTTAAATCGAAACCTTAATATGTTTTATTTTTATTATTCGATTACTTCCCTTCTACGTGACTTTACCGAAAGAACCAAGAAGATGAATCCCTGCAGTCACGAAAGCTTTAAATCGAAACCTAAAAATGTTTTATTTTTATTATTTGATTACTTCCCTTCTACGTGACTTTACCGAAAGAACCAAGAAGATGAATCCCTGCAGTCACGAAAGCTTTAAATCGAAATTATTTTATTATGTTTTATTTTTATTATTTGATTACTTCCCTTCTACGTGACTTTACCGAAAGAACCAAGAAGATGAATCCCTGCAGTCACGAAAGCTTTAAATCGAAATTATTTTATTATGTTTTATTTTTATTATTTTATTACTTCCCTTCTACGTGACTTTACCGAAAGAACCAAGAAGATGAATCCCTGCAGTCACGAAAGCTTTAAATCGAAATTATTTTATTATGTTTTATTTTTATTATTTTATTACTTCCCTTCTACGTGACTTTACCGAAAGAACCAAGAAGATGAATCCCTGCAGTCACGAAAGCTTTAAATATAATTATTTTATTATGTTTTATTTTATTATTTTATTACTTCCCTTCTACGTGACTTTACCGAAAGAACCAAGAAGATGAATCCCTGCAGTCACGAAAGCTTTAAATATAATTATTTTATTATGTTTTATTTTTATTATTTTATTACTTCCCTTCTACGTGACTTTACCGAAAGAACCAAGAAGATGAATCCCTGCAGTCACGAAAGCTTTAAATATAATTATTTTATTATGTTTTATTTTATTATTTTATTACTTCCCTTCTACGTGACTTTACCGAAAGAACCAAGAAGATGAATCCCTGCAGTCACGAAAGCTTTAAATATAATTATTTTATTATGTTTTATTTTTATTATTTTATTACTTCCCTTCTACGTGACTTTACCGAAAGAACCAAGAAGATGAATCCCTGCAGTCACGAAAGCTTTAAATATAATTATTTTATTATGTTTTATTTTTATTATTTGATTACTTCCCTTCTACGTGACTTTACCGAAAGAACCAAGAAGATGAATCCCTGCAGTCACGAAAGCTTTAAATACAATTATTTTATTATGTTTTATTTTTATCATTTTATTACTTCCCTTCTACGTGACTTTACCGAAAGAACCAAGAAGATGAATCCCTGCAGTCACGAAAGCTTTAAATATAATTATTTTATTATGTTTTATTTTTATTATTTTATTACTTCCCTTCTACGTGACTTTACCGAAAGAACCAAGAAGATGAATCCCTGCAGTCACGAAAGCTTTAAATATAATTATTTTATTATGTTTTATTTTTATTATTTTATTACTTCCCTTCTACGTGACTTTACCGAAAGAACCAAGAAGATGAATCCCTGCAGTCACGAAAGCTTTAAATACAATTATTTTATTATGTTTTATTTTTATCATTTTATTACTTCCCTTCTACGTGACTTTACCGAAAGAACCAAGAAGATGAATCCCTGCAGTCACGAAAGCTTTAAATATAATTATTTTATTATGTTTTATTTTTATTATTTTATTACTTCCCTTCTACGTGACTTTACCGAAAGAACCAAGAAGATGAATCCCTGCAGTCACGAAAGCTTTAAATATAATCATTTTATTATGTTTTATTTTTATTATTTTATTACTTCCCTTCTACGTGACTTTACCGAAAGAACCAAGAAGATGAATCCCTGCAGTCACGAAAGCTTTAAATATAATTATTTTATTATGTTTTATTTTTATTATTTTATTACTTCCCTTCTACGTGACTTTACCGAAAGAACCAAGAAGATGAATCCCTGCAGTCACGAAAGCTTTAAATATAATCATTTTATTATGTTTTATTTTTATTATTTTATTACTTCCCTTCTACGTGACTTTACCGAAAGAACCAAGAAGATGAATCCCTGCAGTCACGAAAGCTTTAAATATAATCATTTTATTATGTTTTATTTTTATTATTTTATTACTTCCCTTCTACGTGACTTTACCGAAAGAACCAAGAAGATGAATCCCTGCAGTCACGAAAGCTTTAAATATAATTATTTTATTATGTTTTATTTTTATTATTTTATTACTTCCCTTCTACGTGACTTTACCGAAAGAACCAAGAAGATGAATCCCTGCAGTCACGAAAGCTTTAAATATAATTATTTTATTATGTTTTATTTTTATTATTTTATTACTTCCCTTCTACGTGACTTTACCGAAAGAACCAAGAAGATGAATCCCTGCAGTCACGAAAGCTTTAAATACAATTATTTTATTATGTTTTATTTTTATCATTTTATTACTTCCCTTCTACGTGACTTTACCGAAAGAACCAAGAAGATGAATCCCTGCAGTCACGAAAGCTTTAAATCGAAATGAAGAACACTGCTCGATACGGTTGCCATCACGTGGCCTCAAACGGCACCAAGCATGGCACAAGCGCCGTGGCGACGTCACCGCCACTCGGTGGCGAACGACTGTTGCTGTTGCTGTTGTGCGAGTGTGTGTGTGGCGGCTCGCGTGCCGAGTTCGATTCTTGCTCACGGCCACCGACACCAGTGACGATTATCTGAGCCGTTCCTGGGCCTCCTCTAGGTGAGCGTGCGTGTGTGTGAGCGTGCGTGTGAGCGTGTGAGCGTGCGTGCGTGTGAGCGTGCGTGTGAGCGTGTGAGCGTGCGCGCGTGTGAGCGTGCGTGCGAGCATGCGTGTGAGCGTGCGTGCGAGCGTGCGTGAGACAATGTGTGTGCGAGCATGTGTGCAGTGCTCACAAGTCCCAGCACGCCGTTCTCGCTCTGCAGGTTGACCGTGATGTTGGCGGGGATGTAGTTGCTGGCGAGCATGGGGATGCCGATCCCCAGGTTGGCTGGGCGGCAGCAGGGCGGGCGGCGCCACCATCGTCAAGGCCCATCAACGCTCGCTCCCGCGCCACGCGACGATTTCACGCGGAACGCCAAAAACCCCGCGCCGAGTAACGCAACCGCCACAAACACCGGCGCCCCCCCCACACCACCCACTCCACCCCCCCCCCCCACCGAATTCGATTGCCGATTGTGATCACCAAACGTCGGTGGCGGCGGATATCTGAAACCCGTCGCAGCAACCCGAGTTGCATTCTCAATATCGGTGGCGAGTGATATCCCAATTTCTGAACTGATCCTGTCCGGCTTGGCCCAGCGGGCTGAGCGAGCCCGCTCAGCCTGCTCAGCCCGCCCAGCCCGCTCGCTCGGCCCGTCTCATCCCTCTTTAAAAGTGTGGCCTCCCTGACATCCTCCCCCACGCGCCCACCCCTCTGAAGGTGAGAAACCCCCCCCAAGGGGACCCAGGCCCAGCAAGACACGGCCGACGACGCAGATGACGTCACCAATCCCCGTCCAACGGCACACGTTGGGGACGGAGGTGACACTGATTTCCCCCCACCCCCCCCATGTATTTCCGCGTTACCCAATTACTCGCCGAGCAATCGAACCGATAATCGGTGGGGGTAATTGATCGAATCGCAGATAATTAATCGGATCGCAGCTCAGCTGTACACTGGAGCCGAAGGCATTTTTGCAGGAAATCTTAAAAACAGCTTTCTGTGTTTAGTTTGTCGTCCTTGCCCCCGCACCTCCGATTAGCACGGTTGGCTACGCACAGTGCGAAAGAAGATCACTCGCATACATACATTCATTCATTACTCTCGTGGGTCGGGCAACCTAGCCTGGCGCGGTGAGGATACCGTACATGCCATCCTCAAACTCCAGTGCGGCACGACGGATGATTCGCTCGCGGATGATGTCGGCTTCCTTGGTGGGGCGGGGAGAATCCTCCCCTTTTTTCCGCAGGGTCAGCCGCTGTGTGGGGAGGGGGGGGGCCGGGGAGAGAGCGGGGGGCAGGGGGTCAACGTGGCAATCTGGGTTTCAGACCAACAGGTGGTGTCAGCCCGGTCAGTCACCAATGGACTCGCACCCAGATCCAGAGACCCAAAGATTCACGCGGAGACCACGGACTCGCGGAGACTCAATTGTGATTTTAGAAGCCGGGTTCCCGTGCGTAGCGAGTCGCTGGTCTGGTCCCCAACGACTGCACGCACTAAACAAACAAACAAAATTCATCGCTAAATTCCATCTCTGAGTAGTTATAATATCGGTTGACTACTTTGTGGGCCCGACGTTACTTAAGAAAAAAAGGCATTTTAGAAGTGGCTCAACGATATCCGCTTCTGCGGGCCGTTCCCCAACACACCGCTGCGCCCGGGTTCCCGCTGGATTTTTTCGCCAGCAGCAGCACAGTCACGGCGAAAGAAGATTTACAATTTTTGTCTCAAGTGGGGCGGCGCTTCACGCTTGCCTGCCTGCCTGCCCCCTCAAATGTAAATATAGCAATGAGGCAAACAGAAGCCCTGCCCACCATTACCCTCCAAACAGCAGTCACGCACGTGGAAAACTTTAAATTTAGCCCGGTAGCATTTCTTTGCAATGTCCTTCCCCCGAATCGTTCATCAGGGCCACCGCGCTGACGGGCACCACGGATTAGCCGGGCAGCCCCGTTGTGGTGCAGCGGTCAGCACGCCGTACTCTGAACCTAGCCACCCGAGTTGCATTCTCGGTCACGGCTCAACGTGGGTGGCAGGCGATGTCCGAATATATCTGAACTGGTCCTGGCCGGGCTGCCTTAGCGGTAGAGCGGGCGGGCTCCTCGCCACCGGAAGTCGAGAGTTCAAATCCTGGTCGGGGTGGGGCAATGACTCAGCCCCATCATCCCTCCAGGCTCGATACAACTGCATTAGCAAATGTGATTTTGTATATATCACCCTTACCCCGTGTAGCGATTGTTCAATGTTAAATGTGCAATTTTACTGAGGGAGTGTGTGTTTGTGTGTTGTTGTCGTGGTGTGGTCTGGGACTGTTCTTGCTGTTGTTTTGCTGGCTTGCCCAAGCTTGGGAATTGGTGGTGTACCTTATGCAATTTGAACTTATATACTTGATCTATTTTACGTATTTATTTTTAGCGATTCGCTTACCTTTCCTATACTTTGCACTCCTAGAATTGTTTGTATTGTTTATTATTGTGACTTTATGACCCGTGCCCCTACTGGACAAATGTGACATAAAGAGCTTCATAGCTCATCGGATTCCTCCTGCAGTCTAAATAAAGATTCTGATTGTGAAAATTAGTACTCTACCACTTTGCGGTGAAGTCAACAGGGGGGGGGATGTCATACGAACAGACTCGCCCCCGCCATGGGAACGTGAAGTTTCCACCACTCGCTCTGCGGGGCCGTGAACAGGAGGGCGAGCGCCGACCGTTGCCTCAACGCCAACCGGAGGAGGAAAATCGCTTCCATTTCACCAAACCCGCAACCGGCCAGCGTGGTGAAGTACGGTCAAACGCAACCCACCCCCCGCCTCCACGGCCGGCGCGGCGTGTGGGAGGCTTCCGTCAAGCGGGGGGCTGACACAGGCCGTGCGAATCGCCGGGGGAGTTTTAATTCACCGTTAAGCAATTGACGAGTTCGGGAAATGCGCGCACGAGGCAACCCGCGCGCCCGTCCCCACCACCCCGTCTCTGCGTGGTTGTGCTAAGGATCCCACTACTTGTATATTCTGTTCTCGAATTACCATGGACAGAGAAATGCCCCGCATATATTGGTGGGGAGGAGGGGAGGGGGGGGGGGGGCCTTTTGGTTGAGTTGGGGGAGGGCTCCTGAAAGAATATAATAAACTATACTAAGTATGAAAAAATAAGAATAGGGTTTAACCTTTCTGGCAATGGTGGTCAGATGTTCAAACACCAAATAAAACCTTTTTAAAGGACTCAAGCCTGCATTAACCACAGACAGTACTTGTGGTGAACATGTTGGGGATGAGGTGATGTTGGTGGGGGGGGGGGGCGGTGCGGGGGATGAGGTGGTGTTGGTGGGGGGGGGGGGCGGTGCGGGGGATGAGGTGATGTTGGTGGGGGGGGGGGCGGTGCGGGGGATGAGGTGGTGTTGGTGGGGGGGGCGGTGCGGGGGATGAGGTGGTGTTGGTGGGGGGGGGGCGGTGTGGGGGATGAGGTGATGTTGGTGGGGGGGGGGGGGGCGGTGCGGGGGATGAGGTGGTGTTGGTGGGGGGGGCGGTGCGGGGGATGAGGTGGTGTTGGTGGGGGGGGGGCGGTGTGGGGGATGAGGTGATGTTGGTGGGGGGGGGGGGCGGTGCGGGGGATGAGGTGGTGTTGGTGGGGGGGGGGGGCGGTGCGGGGGATGAGGTGATGTTGGTGGGGGGGGGGGGGGGGCGGTGCGGGGGATGAGGTGGTGTTGGTGGGGGGGGGCGGTGTGGGGGATGAGGTGGTGTTGGTGGGGGGGGGGGGCGGTGCGGGGGATGAGGTGGTGTTGGTGGGGGGGGGGGGCGGTGTGGGGGATGAGGTGGTGTTAGGGGGGCACCTCAATCCTCTTCTGGTACGATTTTCCCTTGATGACGCGCTTGACGAAGATGCCGGGGATGTGGACGTCCTCGGGGACGAAGGATCCCACGTCGACGATCTCCTCCACCTGGTGACCGCCCGCAGTGGGGGGGGGGGGGGAGGTGAGTGGGGGGCACGGCCCCAGAGGTTCACACAGCAGCAGCTCGGGAACGGAACCCCCCCCCCCCCCACGCCAAAGCCGTCGCTCGCGACGAGGCCATCAAAACGGGGACAAGTGGAAGGATGCAAAGCTGCTCGTGGTGACTATAAATCCGCAGTAGATTTCTGGGTTTGGCAAAGCGACGATCTGGCCACATTTCTGGACAGCGGCGTGCGACCGCGGGTCCTCAATCATCCTGGCCACCACCAATCCCCCTCCCCCCCCCCTGATTGAAACGCGACGACGCAACAACCGTAGAGAGGGCGGTCGTCACCTCGGCGATGGTGCACTTAGCAGCCTTGCACATGGGCTGGTTGAAGTTTCTGGCCGTCTTCCTGTAACACAAATGAATGAAAAAATGTATTCACGTAGAAAAATGATGTCACACTCGCAAATTCACGCGTGGATCACGTCGTCGTTACGCCCGTAGCAGAGACCACACAGGCCGGGCAGTCTAGTCACCGATCCGTGTGCAGATTTCAGATTTAACCCCCCACCCTCCCCCACCCTGGTTTAATAGCGTAGTGGGTTTTATCAGGGTTCTCCGGTTTCCTCGCAGACCAAACCAAACTCTCACTACTCATGGAATTCTTGGCCAAACATCCCAATGTAGCGGCACCTGCCTGAAACAAAGCCTGATCATGGCCCTGCAGTGCAGTTTCCAACTATTCACTCCATCCCTGGGTATGCGTGTGCCCGTGCGTGTGTGCATGTCAGTTGTGCGTGTGTCCGCGTGTGCGTGCGGTAGTGTACCGGTCAGCGCGCTGCGCCACGAACCCGGCGACCCGGGTTTGATTCCTGCTCAAGGCCAACCAGTCCTGGTCCTCCACTTGGTCAACTGAACGGAGTACCTGGTGCAGTTGTGTAAACATCGCCACTAGGCGGTCGGGTCGGGCGTGGTGCTTGCCCCCCCCTCCCGTTCCAGCCTTCATAGGTGCTCGCTAACAGCACTTGCCCCAACAGTCTGTTGAAGGCTATTCGGGGTATCTTTGTCTGTGTATGTCAGGTATGTGAGTGCGTGCGCGTGTGTGTGTGCGCGGGGGCCCGACCGGAAGATAAGGTTGCCAGCACGGTCGGCCTTCCACGCCTTGACCAGCGCGTAGTCGCCGACGATCGATTTCTCCAGGATGTAGTTCCTTCCGTTGAACTGGGCAGCCTGCGCGCGGAGAGGGAACGCGAGAACTTTAGTTCGGTGGGAGAAAAGTAAAAAAATCACCGAACGATCACGCGCACGCATTTCACTGCCGACAATAACGACGACAATTCCACCACTCGACTATTGGTTGAGCCGGATCACCGCCTGGCTGGATTCCTTTCCTCTTCCTACCTCCGAGTCTCCCTCCCTGGCTCCCTCCCTGGCTCCCTCCCCCGTTGTTTTGTGCCCAACCGCCCCCCCACCCACCCACTCACAACTCAACCAACGGTGCCTCTCGTGACGACAGCAAAATGAATTCCACCCGAGTAGTTTGACGCGAGCGTGTCGATGACCCGCTGGGTCAGCCACTTAGGGGGTATCCAGGGGGGAGGGGCCACTTACAGTGAGGTAGGCACTTCACGCGCGTTGCCGAGCAACCGCCGGCCACTTGACCGTGATGCTGGCTGTGCTTACGGCGGATTCGCGTCATTACCCACACCGCACGGTTAATCCGTTTCGACGCTAACTAAATGGCCGCATATCCCTCATCGCCGCTTCCATCCGATACACGCGGCGCGAGGTGCTGTAGCAGCATCGGTGTAATGGTCAGGCTGGCACCTGTGTTGGTACCGGTGTTAACGCTGGAGCTAGTGTGGGTACTTGTGTTGTGGCTGGAGCTAGTGTCAGTACTGGTGTTACAGCTGTCACTGTTGTGAATGCTAAGACTGGTGCTAGTGTCAGTACTGATGTTACAGCTGTCACTCGTGAATGCTAAGGCTGGTGCTAGTGCGGCTGCTGGTGTTGCGGCTGGCGCTAGTGTCGGTACTGATGTTACAGCTGTCACTGTTGTGAATGCTAAGGCTGGTGCTAGTGTGGGTAATTGTGTTGCGGCTGGCGCTAGTGTCGCTACTGGTGTTACAGCTGTCACTGTTGTGAATGCTAAGGCTGGCGCTAGTGCGGCTGCTGGTGTTGCGGCTGGCGCCGGTGGTGTGGCGCGGTACCGGGCGCGGCTCGCTGGCGATGGCAACGGTGCCGTCGGAGCGGTACTTGATGGGCGCGCCACCCTGGTGCAGCAGCGTGCCGTAGCCCGTGGCCGTGTAGAACGCCGGGATGCCGGCGCCGCCGGCGCGGATTCGCTCCGCGAGCGTGCCCTGGACACAAAAGACAAAGGTCCCCCGTGTAGCCTCTTAACGTGTCAAACAACCCCCACGACCGACACGGGGGGGGAAAAGGTCCTTCATCCGCCCAGCAGTGGATTGACAAAGCGGGACCGATGCCGTTGTACGATCTCCAAGTCCGCCACCAGCAGTCTCAACAGACTGAGAAATGTTCCTACGTTGAACTTCTTTTGCACCGTACGTAGCCAAACTGTGCTAAATCGGAGTCTGTTGGTCCAAGGAGTAAATACCTCTGCTCTTTGTGCAGGTTTCTTCTCTGCTAGGGTTACTTCCGGCCTTACTTATGGCGCACTAACAACACAAATATCCTCTCATCCATGCTGTTTTAGATCCTCGACAAAGTATCCGCAGTGAATTCCAAAGAGTTTGCAAATTCAGAGTCCTCGTGCCTGACCAGCAAAGCCACAAAGAGGGGAGATGATCGGGAGACTCGGAGACAGAGAGAGTGAGACAGATATAGAGTGAGACAGACACGTGGAGAAAGAAACCCAGAGACATACAGGCTAGACAGACATTTAAAGACAAAGATCCCCCGTGTAGCCTTAACAGACTGTTGTGGCAAGTGCTGTTAGACAGTCGCACCTATGAAGGCCGGCACGGCACACGAGGGGGTGGGTGGCCAACACCACGCACGGCCGCCTTTATCTCCCCAGTGGCGATGTTTACGCATGACACCAGGTACTCATTTAAGGCTGAGTCGACCTAGGGGAGACCCAGGACCGGTTCAAATAATTGTCACTGGTGTTGGCCATGAGCGGGAATCGAACTCGGGTTGCCGGGTTCGTAGTGCAGCACGCTAACCACTACACTACCGCTCCCCACTACACACAAAGACAAACACAAAGATCCCCCGTATAGACTGTAACAGACTGTTGTGGCAAGTGCTTTTAGTGAGTAGCACCTATGAAAGCCGGCACGACACACAAGGGGGCGAGTGGCCAACACTACGCACGGCTGACAAAGACCCACCCACACACACACTCCCTCCCCCCTATCTTCTTCCAGTCTCACGACCTCTCACCTTGTTTTTTTTTTACTTTAGATCTTGGATAGGGGAGAGTAGTTGGTTGGCGGGGGGTGGGAGGGTGGGGGTGGCGAGTTACCTGGGGGGTGAGCTCCACCTCCAGCTCTCCAGACAGGTACTGGCGCTCAAACTCGGCGTTCTCGCCCACGTAGGAGGACACCATCCGCTTGATCTGCCGCGTGTTCAGCAGCTTCCCCAGCCCAAATCCATCCACTCTGGAGGGGAGCGGCGGGGGGAGGGGGGGGGGGTACAATGTTAATTCTGCGCCTTTTGGCGTCATCTGGTCGAACACCATATGAGACTAGGCTCTAAAGAAAGCTGTCTCTGGTGTGGACCAATCAGTTTCAAAGACAGTGCATAAATTATCAGAGTATTGTTTTTTGTTTGCATATGACTGCAAGTATTGTGGTTAATGTAATGATGATTCCTTGCAAAAGGTGTCAGTTTTGTTGCCAGAAAAACGGGGAAAAACCCTATTAGTAATGTTAATTCTGTTGCACGAAACCAGTTGGCGAAGGCATTTTGCCAAAAATCTCATCGCGAGTACGTTTGGTATTTGCGCCGTCCCATTCTTATCGCGACGTTTTCACAGGCGGGTTTCAGTCCGCCGCAGTAGGGGGTGGATGCTATTGCACGCCTTTACCCAATTTAGTAATTTGCAAGTTAAACATTTTTTTTTTGCGTGGTCAATTTGGAAGCAAGCTGGCCGAATGTTTTACGATTAACTCCGCAGGATTTTTGAAGTCCACTTTGTAGCAGATGCAGCCTGCGAATGGTTCACAAATCCGCATTGTTCACCAGCGCCAAGTGCAATCATCGTCTTTTAGTCGACCATGACTGCAGCTTATGCCCACCAATACCACCACCACCACAACTCTCCCTCACAGCAACATCTAACATCCAAGCAGCGTCCGCCTGCATGTGCGACAGCTCCAGCCGCGTAGACTGAGGGGGCAACTGCGCGAGACATCCACACACCGAGACTCGACTGGAACACCACAGGCCGTCGTCAACTAGGTCAAAGACCACGGTGCCGGGTTACAGGCAGGCGGGCGCTGGCAGTACAGAAAGTGGGTTCATTTGACATCCGTACGGCGGGGAGTGAGCGTTACACCCCCCCCCCCGCCCTTCACCATGCACACGTGGGTTTTCGCCGGCTACTCCGGTTTCCTTCCTACATGTCTAAAAACCACTCAATGAAATTGTGCCAAACATCCCAAAATAAGATGGCAGAGCTTGGGCAACTGTGGGCGGTGCCGGTTGCAGGCGCCCCGGCTCTCATCTGTGTCCCGTCCCCCCCCCCCCCCCCCCCAGTGCTAACCGCACCGCCGTGTAGCACGGTTGACTACGCGCGGTGCGAAAGAAGTTGAACACACGTACGTACGTACAAAAAAACATTGCCGCGTTACGAATTCTACAGCAGGAGTTTTGAGATCCATTTCGATTCCTTTTCGCTCGCGAATAAGTCCGCGATGAAGTGAGCTGCCGTGATTATCGGCCTGCCGACATATTATTATTGTCGACCGACTGGCCATTATGACGGCCACAATCCATCATCATCAGCCGTGATCGATCTGCTGCTGGATCAATCACGACTGACGATGACAGACGGTTGATGATAGAGTCAAACGAGCGCTCAATTGCAGCCGAAACAGCCCAGCCGTCGACTAAACTCAGCGTTCCAGAAAACAACTCGTGAGAAATTAATCCCCGACTCAAAACCGAGCAGTGCCCAGGAGATTAAACGTCCCACAAGCAAACTTGGCCGCTTCTCATAGCCCAACGCTGGCGCGCGGTTGCTCGCAAGCGGCGTAGTCAATGATTTGCCCAACTCCCACTCGGGGAGGTTATCTGGATTGCACTGCTACCGGAGGGCACTGTTGGCAAAGTCGTCACACTCGGGTTCACAAAAATAAAAACACATGAATGTAAACAGAGCCTATATCAAACTCCAGCCCGTCCACTTTTATTGCCAATCAGCGCTGCCAAGTGCCCCCGGCAGCCGGAAGCAATAACCAAATGGATTGGTTCATCGTCGTAAATTCCCCATTTTTTTGTTGTCAATTTACACAAGTGATGTAATCCAGATTCGTATCGTCAACCCGTCCGTCATCATCAGCCGTGATTGATCCGGCAGTAGATCAATCACGGCTGATGATGACGATGGATCTTGGCAGTCATAATGGGCAGTCGGTCGACAAAAATACGTCGGCAGGTCGATGATCACGGCAGCGAACTTAATGCCGGACTGATTCGCGAGCGGAAAGGAATCGATTAAAAAAATGAAGGACGCTGCGGTTGGCCAGTGGTCGTGCACACACTGATAAATCGACATCCTCCGTCTAATCTTTGCCACTGTTACTTCCTTACAGTGCGGGAACGATGCGACGGCGGCGGCGAATAACATTTTTTCCAAAAGTTTCAAGAGAATTAGATTTTCCATTCAATTTTGGGCGGGGTGGTGGGGGGTAGGGGAGGGGACGCAGCCGATTCCAGTGGCTGTAGGAGGGAGATCACACGAACCCCACTGAACCCAACATCCCTACCCTTCGTAGCACATCACCAGCGCTCCTATCGTGTGCCACGAAGCAGATCGCGTGCAATGTGCGAGTGCCATCGCCTCAAAACGTCGCCTGTTATGGATTTGTTTTCTCTCGCCCATTTTAAGGCCGCACATCGTTGTTGTTGTTGTTGTTGTTCTTGACGAACGTGTCGAATAACGTTGCCCAATTGCGGTTGTGCACCGCCACTGCCAATGCGTCAGCAGCAGCAGTGTCACCAAATAAATGACCTCATTCAGGGCAAAGTCGGGGGAGCGGGAGCAGAGAGGGGATGGGGGGGGGGGTCATGCTGCTGCGAGGCATCGCGAAAGGCGCCGAGGTAATTCATAATTGATCGCCAATTTGTCGGATTTGTCGGGTGTGTCTTAACGAGTGCATTAGCTAATCGGCAGGATTAGCCGATGCGCCTCTTGCTGATTAGCCGATGCGCCTCTCCTCCCTGAGCCGAAATTCAACCCGGTTGCCGACGGACAGAAACAAATGTTGTTATTTCTCTGTGGAAACACAGAATGTAACGGGATCCGACACGGAACCAAGTGGAAGGACAGGAGGTACCCGCCCCCCGCCCCTTGCTTCATCATTAACTACAACCATCGGAGTCCTTTAGCTCGTTAATTATTTGCGTCGTTTAGCGAGCATTCAAGCAGACAATTACACAAGGCTCCGTTTGATATCGGCTGCCAAGACGCATGCGATCCGCCCGAGCTCGTTGTCGCGAATCGGTTAATTAGCCAAATTAGGGTTCAATTAAAATACCTGGAACTGAATAAATGGACACACGTGTACGCGCGCACACACACACACGGCGAGACAGATTAACCCAGTCACCCACAACCTGCTGGGAGACCCGTCACTGAAAACGCAGCAGTCCAGACTAAAGCTTATTATATTTCGATTTAAAGCTTTCGTGACGGCAGGGATTCATCTTCTTGGTTCTTTCGGTAAAGTCACGTAGAAGGGAAATAATAAAATAATAAAAATAAAACATAATAAAATAATTCTCACGACGTTTCGGAGGCGACACAAGCTTCCGTCTTCAGGTGGAACCGTCACAGCACGATAGCTGTATCTTACTTGATTATTTTATTATTTCCCTTCTACGTGACTTTACCGAAAGAACCAAGAAGATGAAGCTTTTTAGTTTTAGATTTTTTTTTTCATTATTGATAACCAGTTTTGTTGGACCTGTGGGGTCATGATGCGTAACTTAGAAACCGTGTCACCTCCACCACCTCCACCATCATCACCTCCACCAACACCAGCACCCGTGCGTGCTCACCCGGCGTTGTTGCTGACGGCAGTGATGTTCTTGACGCCTGACTGCACGAGCGCCTCCAGCAGGTTCTCGGGAATCCCGCACAGGCCGAAGCCTGTGGATGTCAAAAACGCAGAGAAACGCCCCGTTAAGACGCACGTACGCCATGGGTGGGACCACCAGAGGTGTGGACTCGAGTCATGTGACTTGGACTCGAGTCAGACTCGAGTCATGAATTTGATGACTTCAGACTCGACTTGGACTTGCATAACAATGACTTTGTCCCACCTCTGAGGTGTGGACTCGAGTCATGTGACTTGGACTCGAGTCAGACTCGAGTCATGAATTTGATGACTTCAGACTCGACTTGGACTTGCATAACAATGACTTTGTCCCACCTCTGAGGTGTGGACTCGAGTCATGTGACTTGGACTCGAGTCAGACTCGAGTCATGAATTTGATGACTTCAGACTCGACTTGGACTTGCATAACAATGACTTTGTCCCACCTCTGAGGTGTGGACTCGAGTCATGTGACTTGGACTCGAGTCAGACTCGAGTCATGAATTTGATGACTTCAGACTCGACTCGGCAAAATGTACAAAGACTTGCAACTCGACTTGGACTTGCATAACAATGACTTTGTCCCACCTCTGAGGTGTGGACTCGAGTCATGTGACTTGGACTCGAGTCAGACTCGAGTCATGAATTTGATGACTTCAGACTCGACTCGGCAAAATGTACAAAGACTTGCAACTCGACTTGGACTTGCATAACAATGACTTTGTCCCACCTCTGAGGTGTGGACTCGAGTCATGTGACTTGGACTCGAGTCAGACTCGAGTCATGAATTTGATGACTTCAGACTCGACTTGGACTTGCATAACAATGACTTTGTCCCACCTCTGGGGACCACACGTGATGGTGCCTGCGTGACAGCTGGTGGCATCACAGCTGGTGATGTCACAGCTGGTGGCATTACAGCCATGGACAGTACACATGATCCGTGTTTAGTGTGTTGTAATTCCCCCGCACTCCCGATTAGCACGGTTCGCTACGTATGGTGCAAAAGTTCAACATACAGTAGTTACATGACCTGGCATGACAGTGGCTCTCCAATGCTATGCCGCCCCCCCCCCACCACACCCCACTCATGGAGGGGCAGCAGCGTAGTGGTCAGCGCACTGCGCTACATACCCGGCGACTCGAGTTCAATCCCTGCCCACGACCAATGGCAGCGGTGAATGTTTGAACCGCTCATGGGCCTCCCCCCGGTAGACTCAGCCTCAAATGAGTACCTGGTGCGATGTGCAAACATCAGCACCGGGAAGACAAAGACGGCCAGGCGTGGTGCTGGCCACCCAACTCCCTCGTGTACCGTGCCGGCCTTTATCGGTGCCACTCGCTAACAGCGCTTACCCCAAGAGTCTGTTACAGGCTACACGGGCGATCTTTGTGGCACATGGTGGCGCAGTGGGGAGCACAGGCGATGCATCTGCCAGTCATCTAGGAGTCAGTCACACGTGTGTCCCATGGCCTCCTGCCAGCAAGCCTTCTACACTTCTCATGAAGGCATCAAAATATGCACCTAGCCTGGCACAAGCATGCCAGGCTAAGTGTTCCCCCCCCCCCCATTTCAGAAATTCCGTGCTACAAATTGTAACTCAGAAACACGTGCACTGACAAATAAAATGGACCGAAAAGTGAAAATTACCAAAACAGTTACACGGGGAAGGGGGGGGATAGATGATTGCAATTACACTGAGAGACAGGAAGTGGAATCTATGGATGAGAGAACACAGGCAATTTCGAGATATTGTAAACTAATATTAATAATAACTTGGCAGGCGCGCGCCTTCCACTCTCACTGCCGACCCCTCCGCACCCCGTTTCCATTTTCGCTCGGTCGCCGGCGCTCTATAAATACTCGCGCCGTAGGAAAAAGCGACAAGAATATTCGACCGGACTTCGGGACGACGTTTCCCCATGCGGCCCGGGAGAGCGCGGAGGCGCGGGCGCCACTGCGCTCTCGACGCACTTTGCCCCCTTCCCGCCGCCGCCGCCTCTCTGCAAACGCTCGAGGGTGCACGTGAGGACACGACCGGGGACGCGCAGCGGCGGCGGCGCGCGCGCTACGTGTCGCGGAACACGTTGCGTCGCGCCGGGAGAGTTTCGGGTGGCACGTGCTGCTGCTGTAGTGGGGGGGGGGGGGAGGGGACACGTCGCCTGTAGGGGAAGTGAGGAGGTGGTGGGGGGGGCGGGGGATGGCGGGCGGGCAGGGTGGGGAGTGGTTTGGAGAGTTTTGCGGTGAGCAGTGCCGTTAGCTGTTGAGTGGCGCAGGCGTGGTGACTGCACCGAGGAACCGTGGCTGGAGGCCCCTCCATGCTGTGATATCAGGGCCCAATGTCAAGCAACGCTCATGCCACTTGGCCCACGTGCAACTCGCAGAAAAAACCGCAGGCTTACACGGAGAATGCCCCGTAGGCTCGCATGGAGATCAATGCAACACAACGCGGACTGCGCAGTTGTTGACGTGGTTATTTTCAGGTGCTACCCGGGTTGCGAGCGCATCTCAGATACTCAGAGACTAACAGAGAGATGCTAAAGTCACATATAGATCCATAGACACATAGATAGACCCATAGACTCACCACACGGAAACCCATAGACTCACACAGAGCGTGCAGGCATTGTAACTGCACTAGAGCACACGGGCAGAAGTGGGATGCAGTGGTGGGGGGGTGCAGGCGTTGGGACTACGAAAGGTTGGCAGAAATTCAACAGAGGGGCCCCCTCCGCATCTCTTCCCTTGCACGGGGGTGGGGAGGGGGGCCGTGGTAACCCCCACGGTGCACCACTGCTGTAGAACTCCGTTTGTGTCGTGCGGAGGGACGAGTGGGGGCGGCAAGAGGCTGTGGAAGTGAGGGGCGGTGGGTGCGGTAGAGGGAGGAGGGAAGTTGTAAATTCAGCTCCCGTGTTCTTGTTATCAAAGTGAATGATCGTGGTGGCGGCGGCGGCGGTGGTGGCGGGGGGATTGCGCCGTTGTTGTTTTGTTAACACGGCCGCTGGCTCGCTGCCTACTGTATACAACGCGGGCAGCGCTCAATCCGCACCGTGCAAACTTTCCGGTGTGACGCCAGCGAAACCCGACAACGCAGCGGACTACGGCGCTTAACGCGGAAATAGTCATCCAGCCCGGCTCGCGTTTCTGATTTTCATTAAACCCCCCCCACCTCGCAATCGTTAGCGAGTGCATCGACGGCGTGCTATTTTCGGCAGCGCCACTGCTCGTCACGTGCTGGTGTGGCAAGGTGTTCCAGGCTTGGTGTGGAAAGGTGTGCCAGGGTGTGACAGGGATAATGTCAAGGTATGCCAGATTTGGTGTGTCAAGGTGTACCAGGCTTGGTGTTATCAAAGTGATGGTGGCCGTGATGTTGGCAGTAGCAGTGATGGTGGTGGTGATGGTGGTGGTGATGGGGGCAGTGGTAGTGGCAGTGATGGTTGGCGGTCACGGTGATGGTGGCGGTGATGGTGATGGTGTTTGTGGTAGTAATGGTGCCGGTGGTAGTGGTGGTGGCCATGATGGTGATGATGGTAGTGGTGGTGGCGGCGATGGTTGGTGGTGGCAGTAGTGGCGTCGGTGGAAGTAATGGTGTCAGTGGTCGTAGTGGTGGCGGTGATGGTGGTGGCGGTGATGGTGGTAGCGGTGATGGTGGTGATGGTGGTAGTGGTGATGGCGGTGATGGTGTCAGTGGTCGTAGTGGTGGCGGTGATGGTGGTAGTGGTGGTGGCGGTGATGGTGGTAGTGGTGGTGATGGTGGTGGCCGTGATGGTGGTAGTGATGGTGGTGATGGTGGTGATGGTGATGTTGGTAGTGGTGGTGATGGTGGTAGTGATGGTGGTGATGGTGATGGTGGTGATGGTGGTAGTGGTGGTGATGGTGGTGGTAGTGGTAGTGGTGGTGGCGGTGATGGTGGTGGTAGTGGTGGTGGTAGTGATGGTGGCGGTGATGGTGGTAGTGGTGGTGGCGGTGATGGTGGTGGTAGTGGTGGTGGTAGTGATGGTGGTGATGGTGGTGGTAGTGGTGGTGGTAGTGATGGTGGTAGTGGTGGTGGCGGTGATGGTGGTAGTGGTGGTGGTGATGGCGGTAGTGGTGGTGGTGGCGGTGGCGGCGGTGGATGTGGCGGCGCGCACCCCCCACGAGGATGGTGGCCCCGTCGGGGATGTCCTTCACGGCTTCTTCGGGGGTGTTGAAGAACTGGGCGTCGCGCGACGACGTCACCGAAAAGGCCTGCGGGTGACACAACACGCCACAGCGTCAACCGCCAACCCCTGTTTTTGCCACGGAGTCCGACGGTTCGCCCCACGCGCCGGGGGCTTCTTCTTCGGGGAGGGGGCGAGACGCGTTAGGACGCACGCACCTCGACGGCACAAACGGAGAGCGCGACGCAACGCTGCGCTGTGACCTTGCGTAAAGGGACGGCGTGCACTTCGGGGGAGGGGAGGTTGGTGGGAGCACGATACGGTCATTGTTAAACAAAACCTTAGACTCGCTTTAAACTGTAAACGGAATGATTAACAACGCGAGCCGCTTGTGTCTATCGTGCGTTCTGCTCTGGTGCTAACCCCCCCCTCACAAACACCGTGTGTAGGAGGAAAGGCTGCGATGCACCCATCGCTTAATTCCACTCATTTTTGTATCAACATTCATATTTAGACTTGACGATAACAATTTAGTGGGTGTGGGTGGGGGGCCCCCCTGAACCTTCAGCAAGGGGGGCTGAGCCCCCCGCCACCCCGGACGTTGGGTGGGGGAGGGGAGGGGGCTCAGTACGAGCCCCCATTCAGCAAGATGCCCACATTTCCTTGAAACAAAACGAAACTCGCCCTTCAGTAAAAACAAAAACTGGTCACATGCTGCTCTGGTGGGGGGTGTGGTAGCAGCGGACAGTCACGCGTGGCAGCTTACCGCCTCCCCAGGCCACCGCCACCACTACCACCACCACCACAACCCCCATCATCACACACCCTTTACCTGAGCCAATACTGTACCAGCAGCGCATGTTTTCTCAAGGTTAGGGCAAGAACTGGCCAAACTGTAGGGCAAACACGCGCAACGCGTACGCGCGTGCGGGAACGCACAGCCAGTCGGCCAAGTTCAGCAGGGTGTAAGGAGGCTGAATGCGGCCAGAGCTCGCTGGCCCCCCGAGTCGCCCCTCCGAGTGGGTGGGTGGGCGGGCAGGGGCCAGCGATGGCCAGACAGCATGATGGGTCAAGGGCGACAGGAACAGGCGCGGTGGAGGTCAGCGACGGGGGCGGCGGCGGTGGTGGTGGCAGCGGTGGCGCGATGGGGTTAGAGGGCACAGATTGTCCCCGATAGTTCAGGACAGGCGGCGTGGTGTGGTGTGTGACGTGACGTGTGGTAGTGGTGGTGCAATACGCACGCTCTCGCGCGGCACGCAACACCGCAGGCACGCGCCGCACCGAGCGCAGCGAATCGCATGGCACAGACGGCCCAGCGGGCAGTCAATCATACACGGTGCAATGCGCCGTACACCACACCGCATCACACGGCATAGCACACAGCACAAAAGCAGGTCACACAGCACTGTACATATAGACCGGATAGAAATACGTACAGGCATTCTCAAGCCAGCAATGGATGAGAGTCTGACCACACCATGCTGGACATGACAGTTTTTTTTTACCATACTTCACCACGCTGGTTCGTGCTGATTGGGGAAGGTAGGGGGGAAGTGTGGGGGGAGGGGTGGGGGACGGGTAGAGGACAGGACTGGTTCCAATGTCACTCGCAACAGATGTTAGGTGTGTCCAGGAAATGAACTCGGGATCACTGGGTTCATAGCCCAGTGCAATAACCGCCGTGCCAGTAACCACTCAATACACTGCACCGTACGCCATGCAGTACACCACACAGGATAACATTGGGCACAGCACAGGGCACAGGACACCGGACAGTGCACACCACATCACACACCACATCACACACCACATCACACACCACAACACAGAACGCACTGCACAACACACATCAACCACGACACAGAACACGTCACGCTGCGTCAATGACCAAGGGGGATATCCAATCTGTGCGGTACGGCTGTTAAGACGATACGGTGATGTAAACAGCGGATTAGCGTGGCCATGGCACGGAGTTGAGCACGCCGTGCCACGAACCCAATAACCTCTCCTCAGCTACCAAGTAAGTAAGAACATTTGTGATTGCGCACTCTTATGAGTCCAGTCCATCACGAATGCGCGTTGATAACACGTTGACCACACGGCTATGGCCAGTGGTGAACGATAGCTTAACCTGTCCTGAGTCTCCTTCTTTACCCGACCTGTACCAACCTCGCGCTGACCAGTGCGGTAAAGTACAGTCAAACAACCCCCATTAACTTGTATGAGTGTGGGGGAGTGGCGGGGGTAGGCCTTCATCCAGCAGTGGATCGACCAAGCGGCTACAAGTGATCGTAGCTACTGCTGCTGCTGCTGCTCCTGTGAAGTGGTGGGTGCGCTACCAAGACGCGGGGCCCGCGCCACTGGTCTTTTGGCCGAGATAGAGAGAGACGGACCGTGCCCTGCGAAGAAAGAAAAACAAATCTGCTGGAATTTCCGTCACTGGCTGACCGCCAGCAGTAGGGGAAAGCAGCCATCGTGGTAGCGGCGTATTTGGGCCAGAGGTTACGGTGACACTGACAGGGCAAACCAGGCCATGGTCAGGGATCAGGGGGGCTGTCAACCATGACACATGGACAACCCTGACACATGGACTTACATGGCCCTGACACAACCCAAAAGCATGACAAAGATCCCCCCCGTATAGCCTGAACAGACTGTTGGGGCAAGTACTGTTAGCGAGGAGCACCCTATGAAGGCTGGCACGGCACACGATGTGGGTGGCCAACAGCACGCCCGGCCGCCTTTGTCTCCCCAGTGGCGATGTTTACACATCGCACCAGGTACTCATTTGAGGCTCAGTCAACCTAGGGGAGGCCCAGGACCGGTTCTGTTAATCGTCACTGGTGTTGGCCGTGAGCAGGAATAGAACTTGGGGCGCCTGGTTTGTAGCGCAGCGCACTAACCCCGACACTACCGCACTCCACACGATTGACACACACGCACACACACGCAGCCTTCACACTCACACAACCCTGACACACACACATACGGTCACACACATGTACGGCCCTCACACGAAGATTGCCCGAATACCCATAGTTGAGGCACACACACAGACACACGCGCCAGCTGTATACAGATACAATCCTATCAGACACACACACACGCAGCTGTGACACCGACACAACCCTGAAACTACATATAGTCATGATACACAACATTTCTAACACACACACACACAGCCCTAACACGGAGATTGCCCTAATTCCATAGCTGAGGCACACAACACTCTATGTCCTGACACACACACACAGCCCTGACACACACTGCCCTTACACACAGCCCTAATACACAGAAAGCCAAGAGAGACACAAAGCCCTGACACACACACACACAGCCCAGAGACACACACAGCCCTGACATACACACAGCCCTGAGACACACAAAGACCTGAGACACACAAAGCCCTGATATACACACACACAGCCCTGACACACACACTGCCCTTGCACACACACAGGCCTGAGACACACACAAAGCCCTGACATACACACAGGCCTGAGACACACACACACACAGACAGCCCTGACATACACACACACAGCCCTGGGACACACACACATCCCTGAGACACACACACAGACAGCCCTGACATACACACACAGGCCTGAGACACACACACAGACAGCCCTGAGACACACACACAGTCAGCCCTGAGACACACACACTGCCCTTGCACACACACAAAGCCCTGACATTAACACACACAGGCCTGGGACACACACACAGGCCTGAGACACACACACACAGCCCTGAGACACACACACACACAGCCCTGAGACACACACACAGCCCTGAGACACACACACAGCCCTGAGACACACACACAGCCCTGACACACACACACAGGCCTGAGACACACACACACATCCTTGACACACACAGCACCCGTCCCCTCCTGACCCTGCGTTCTCCACCCCACAAAAGCCAGAGGCGTTGCGAACTGGGCGAGCTGAGAGAGATCTAGGGAATAAAGGAGCGCGAGCAGTGGGCAGGGAGAAGGGAGGGGAGAGCGAGGGGAGAGCGAGGGGAGAGTGTCAGTGAGGACATATGGCGGGTGTGATCAGCAGTCCTGGGCACAGGCAGAACCAACAACTTCATCATCATCGTTCTCATCATCAGCAGCAGCAACAGGCTGCGGAAATAGCAGCAACGCTGGCGGTGGTTAGCAACAGCAGCTGCCCACGGCACTATGTCGGGGACAAGTCCATTCTGCACAGGAGTGGCAGGTTGGCGTCTTCACAATGAAAGGTTGTTGACGTTTCGCGACGTGTGTTAAGGGGCGCGCGCGTGTGTTTGTGTACGCACAGTGGAGAGTACACGTGTCTATGCAACGCGTGTTGTGAACACGTGGGTGTGCTAACGTGCGTGTACAGTATTCACAACAACGCGCGGAGCGCCGGGCGGATAAATACAGCAAGTTGGTACAATAGGGGGGAGGGGGGTTACAGCTGGTGATGCATCTACCGGTCATCTCAGTCAGCCAACCCATGGCACCTGCTGGGTCTGTCCCGAGATCTCCTGCACCTAGCCTGGCACAGTAGGGGGGGTACAGCTGGTAGTGCATCTACCAGTCATCTCAGTCAGCCAACCCATGGCACCTGCTGGGTCTGTCCCGAAATATCCTGCACCTAGCCTGGCACAGTAGGGGGGTACAGCTGGTAGTGCATCTACCGGTCATCTCAGTCAGTCAACCCATGGCACCTGCAGGGTCTGTCCCGAGATCTCCTGCACCTAGCCTGGCACAGCAGGGGGTTACAGCTAGTAGTGCATCTACCGGTCATCTCAGTTAACCCATGGCACCTGCTGGGTCTGTACCGAGATCTCCTGCACCTAGCCTGGCACAGTAGGGGTACAACTGGTAGTGCATCTACCGGTCATCTCAGTCAACCCATGGCATCTGCAGGGTCTGTCCCGAGATCTCCTGCACCTAGCCTGGCACAGTAGGGGGGTACAACTGGCAGTGCATCTACCGGTCATCGCAGTCAACCCATGGCACCTGCAGGGTCTGTCCCGTGACCTCCTGCACCTAGCCTGGCACAGTGGGGAGTACAGCTGGTGGTGCATCTACCGGTCATCTCAGTCAACCCATGGCACCTGCTGGGTCTGTACCGAGATCTCCTGCACCTAGCCTGGCACAGTAGGGGGGTACAACTGGCAGTGCATCTACCGGTCATCTCAGTCAGTCAACCCATGGCACCTGCAGGGTCTGTCCCGTGACCTCCCCATCAGCAGCGGCGCCTTCAGACACTTTACGGGGCAGCCTCAAGGTGCACCTAGCCTGGCACAGGCGCCGTGGCGACGTCACCGTCACTTCGTGGCGAAAATCGATTATTGGTGTCGGTACAGTATTCATTAGGTGTTAGCGAAGAGCAGCTTGCCCCAAAGGTTACGTTGAGGCCATACGGGTGAGCTTTGTCTTTGCATTACAATATTGCTGTGTACGGGGAGCGGTGGCACTGTGGTTAGGGGCACTGCGCAACGAACCCGGCGACCCGAGTTCGATTCCCGCTCACGAACAACACCGGTGACGATTTTCTGAACGGGTACTGGGCCTCGTCTGGGTCTACTCGGCCTCAAATGTTGAGACAAAGGCGGGTCGTTCGTGTTGCTGGCCGTGCCTAACGTTGTGGTAGATGCTAGTGGCTTAACAGCGATGTGCACGAGATGTGCGTTGCTTGTGGACTGTGCACACGTGCGGCACATGTGTCAATCCACTGCTGGATGAGCGGGGGGGGGGGTCATACTTCACCATCACGGCAGCGACGAAATGCATTTCTACTAAACGATACGCATACACAACAGCAACATTCGCCTCAACTTCACAGTTTTTTTTTAGTTTTACACATCCCAATCAGCCACGCGTGCATTAATTAAAACAGCATCATCGATTAATTACGCAAGGCAAGCCAAGGCAAAGCTTTGCTTCAAACAAACGCTGGCGAACGGCCAAACGCTCAAGAGATAACGAAGTGGAAGCCTTCCCTTCACTCTCAAGACAATGGGGGGGCTCCCCCCTTTGTGGTTCCACGCAAAAACAACGCAACGCACGGACGCAGCAGGCGGCCACGTTACAGGGGCCTTCATCCAGCAGTGGGTAGAGCATTCGCAGCGGGGTGGACCACTCACCCGAGTCCACGGCACGCGGCTCGTGCCGCTGAGGCGAGTCGCCCCCGACAGGACGTGGCGCACGGAGAACATCTTCGCCTGCTGCTGCTGATGATGATGCTGCTGATGATGATGCTGCTGCTGATGATTAGGAGCGAGTGGCGGAAAGAGCGCGCGCAAAGCCACTTCTATAAGGCGCGCGCCACCACGTCTAGCCCCGCCCCCCCACACCCCCCACACACAGTCTAGCCCCGCCCCCACCCCCCCCACACAGTCTAGCCCCGCCCCCACCCCCCCCACACAGTCTAGCCCCACCCCCCCACACAGTCTAGCCCCGCCCCCCACCCCCCCCCCACACAGTCTAGCCCCGCCCCCACCCCCCCCACACAGTCTAGCCCCGCCCCCACACACAGTCTAGCCCCGCCCCCCCCACAGTCTAGCCCCGCCCCCCACACACAGTCTAGCCCCGCCCCCTACCCCCCACACACAGTCTAGCCCCGCCCCTACCCCCCACACACAGTCTAGCCCCCCCACTCCCCCCCCACACAGTCTAGCCCCGCCCCCACCCCCCCCCACACAGTCTAGCCCCGCCCCCCACCCCCACACACACAGTCTAGCCCCGCCCCCTACCCCCCACACACAGTCTAGCCCCGCCCCCTACCCCCCACACACAGTCTAGCCCCCCCACTCCCCCCCCACACAGTCTAGCCCCGCCCCCACCCCCCCCCACACAGTCTAGCCCCGCCCCCCACCCCCCACACACACAGTCTAGCCCCGCCCCTACCCCCACACACAGTCTAGCCCCGCCCCCTCCCCCCCACACACACAGTCTAGCCCCGCCCCCCACCCCCCACACCACACAGTCTAGCCCCGCCCCCTACCCCCCACACACAGTCTAGCCCCGCCCCCTACCCCCCCACACACAGTCTAGCCCCGCCCCTACCCCCCACACACAGTCTAGCCCCGCCCCCCACCCCCCACACACAGTCTAGCCCCGCCCCCTACCCCCCCACACACAGTCTAGCCCCGCCCCCCACCCCCCCACACTCAGTCTAGCCCCGCCCCCTACCCCCCACACACAGTCTAGCCCCGCCCCCTACCCCCCCCACACACAGTCTAGCCCCGCCCCCCACCCCCCACACACAGTCTAGCCCCGCCCCCCACCCCCCCACACTCAGTCTAGCCCCGCCCCCTACCCCCCACACACAGTCTAGCCCCGCCCCCTACCCCCCACACACAGTCTAGCCCCGCCCCCTCCCCCCCCACACAGTCTAGCCCCGCCCCCTCCCCCCCCCACACACAGTCTAGCCCCGCCCCCTCCCCCCCCCACACACAGTCTAGCCCCGCCCCCTCCCCCCCCCACACACAGTCTAGCCCCGCCCCCTCCCCCCCCCCCACACACAGTCTAGCCCCGCCCCCTACCCCCCACACACACAGTCTAGCCCCGCCCCCACCCCCCCCCCACACACAGTCTAGCCCCGCCCCCTCCCCCCCACACACAGTCTAGCCCCGCCCCCTACCCCCCACACACAGTCTAGCCCCGCCCCCTCCCCCCCCACACACAGTCTAGCCCCGCCCATCTGGTAATTAAACAAATTACACAAATCACGTGGTGGTGCTGCTGCTGCTGCTGCTGCGATGAAAGTGGTGCACAAGCACAATTAACAGCACAACGACAACTGTGCGTGTGGCCTTCAAAATGAAACTATATAATAGGCGACGTTTCTAGCAATCATACTATAGCACACACAAAGGCATCTTACGCATTGGGGAGCAGCGTCTCTTCTTCATAGTGTGTGCATGTTTACACATCTCACCGTCTGTGGCAGTCGTTCTTCTTCTGAGCCTGGGGTGCGAGACATTGGCCAGATTTGTTGAGAAGGTAAATCATCGAAAACACAAAATTAAGCACGGGCACATAAGTTACAACTTCCTTTGTTTCATTAAACCTGTGTATTTATCAAGGCCGTAATTATTGTATATATTGGGGGACATCCCCCCCCAATATTCAAATGTGCTCAAAATGCCCCCCCCCTCTCCCAATATATTGTTATAAAATGTATTTTTGTTTAAATGATTGTGGTTATGGTTGTATCTTAATTTTAGAACTTTCGTGACTGCAGTAAATGATTATTTGGTTCTTTCGGTTAAGTCTAAAGATAAAATAATAAATTATTTAATTTAATTTATTATTTTATCTTTAGACTTCTTGTTTCTTTCGGTAAAGTCACGTGACTTTACCGAAAGAAACAAGAAGATGAATCCCTGCAGTCACGAAAGCTTTAAATCGAAAATTATCTTTAGACGTGACTTAACCGAAAGAACCAAATAATCGTTATGGTTGTACTTGATTAATCCCTCATCTCTGCCATTACATACAATGAAACAAGAAAAGGTAAAAAGAAAACAACAGAGCAATGTAATACAATACACTATTAGACATTATTGTAAAAAAAGCCCATCCTATGTGTTAGTGAATTTTTAAAATATTTTAGGCACGATATTCGTTTTCAAATTTAGATTTTTTTCTGGGGGGGGGGGGACCACCAGACCCCCTGGAAGATTTGGTCCCCCCCCCCCCAATGTTGACTCCATGGCTACGGCCTTGGTATCTATTAACATATCGATTTAAAGCTTTCGTGACTGCAGGGATTCGTCTTCTTGGTTCTTTCGGTAAAGTCACGTAGAAGGGAAGTAATAAAATAATAAAAATAAAACATAATAAAACAATTCTCACGACGTTTCGGCCACAACGCAAGCAGCCGTCCTCAGGTGAAAACCAGGTCCGTCGAGGCGACAGAGTCTGAATGAAACAGCACACGGGCTTGGAGCATATATATAAGCTGGGCGCATTGACAACGGATTTTGCATATCAACAGGAATTTAGCATATTTATGGGAAATGCAGGAATGTGATTAGTACTGCATATGCATGTGCATTATGCAGAATTAACAGCATCAAAGGGAGCTGCAGTTGCTGCTGCTGCTGCAGTTTCTGCTGCTGCTGCAGTTGCTGCTGCTGCTGCAGTTGCTGCTGCTGCTGCACTTGCTGCTGCTGCTGCACTTGCTGCTGCTGCTGCACTTGCTGCTGCTGCTGCACTTGCTGCTGCTGCTGCACTTGCTGCTGCTGCTGCACTTGCTGCTGCTGCTGCACTTGCTGCTGCTGCTGCAGTTGCTGCCTTATCCATTTTAATATAACACTATGTATTATTCTACCCACCCTAATGTGTATCATACTGCTATATGTTTACTACACCATACATTACTCTGCACACTGCACCATGCCAGTGAGTGGAACGCGGTCTGAAAGTCACCGTTAACGTGAACACAATCAGTTAAGATCCGAAATGGTTTATTACGTCCTTCCAATGATTGCTAAGCCAGAATCCATCTTCTCGGTTGAAATTGTCTCTGTGTTTGTATATGTGGATCGCCTCATGAACGAATCTCTCACTTTTGTCATCTGGCCACATGGCCGGCCTGCTCTAGACCAATTTCTCGACCACATCAATTCCATACACCCAGCCATCAGATTCACCATGGAAGTCGAAAATGATGGCAAGCTACCCTTTTTGGATGTCCTAATCAAAAGGAGACCTGATGGTTCAATGAGCCACTCTGTCTACAGGAAAGCCACCCACACGGATGCTTATCTAAAACCGGATTCCCACCACCATCCATCCCAGAAGAATTCCCTCATCAAGACTCTATATCATAGAGCCCAATGCATCTCCGACCATGAACACATTTCCAGTGAACTCAAACACGTACGCCAAGCTCTTAAGGCTAATGGTTACTCCGACTACACAATCCGCAAAGCCATCACTCCAACCATCAAGAAGGATCCTGTTGAGGAGCCTTTCAAGACCATCACCTTACCCTACATTGCTGGGGTCACAAAAAAGATCTCCAAAATCCTGATTAAACACAAGATCCAGGTCCGATTCAACACAGTACATAAAATCCGTGATCTGGTCCCGTCTGTAAAAGATGTGGTTCCAGACATACAGTACCCTGGCGTCTACAAACTAAGTTTCCTCTGTGGTAGCAGTTACATTGGAGAAACCAAACGACATGTCTCGGACCGCATCCGTGAACATAAGGCAGACCTGAAACACGGTAGGACAAACACCTCAGCCGTGGCAGATCACTGTTACAATTCAGTGGGCTCACATGACATTGACTTCTCCAAGACAGAGGTTCTCTGCAAGCCATCTGGCTATCATGAGAGATTCGTTCATGAGGCGATCCACATATACAAACACAGAGACAATTTCAACCGAGAAGATGGATTCTGGCTTAGCAATCATTGGAAGGACGTAATAAACCATTTCGGATCTTAACTGATTGTGTTCACGTTAACGGTGACTTTCAGACCGCGTTCCACTCACTGGCATGGTGCAGTGTGCAGAGTAATGTATGGTGTCGTAATTGTACAGTAAACATATAGCAGTATGATACACATTAGGGTGGGTAGAATAATACATAGTGTTATATTAAAATGGATAAGGCAGCAACTGCAGCAGCAGCAGCAAGTGCAGCAGCAGCAGCAAGTGCAGCAGCAGCAGCAAGTGCAGCAGCAGCAGCAACAAGTGCAGCAGCAGCAGCAACTGCAGCAGCAGCAGAAACTGCAGCAGCAGCAGCAGCAGCAAGTGCAGCAGCAGCAGCAAGTGCAGCAGCAGCAGCAAGTGCAGCAGCAGCAGCAACTGCAGCAGCAGCAGCAACTGCAGCTCCCTTTGATGCTGTTAATCCTGCATAATGCACATGCATATGCAGTACTAATCACATTCCTGCATTTCCCATAAATATGCTAAATTCCTGTTGATATGCAAAATCCTTTGTCAATGCGCCCAGCTTATATATATGCTCCAAGCTCGTGTGCTGTTTCATTCAGACTCTGTCGCCTCGACGGACCTGGTTTTCACCTGAGGACGGCTGCTTGCGTTGTGGCCGAAACGTCGTGAGAATTGTTTTATTATGTTTTATTTTTATTATTTTATTACTTCCCTTCTACGTGACTTTACCGAAAGAACCAAGAAGATCTATTAACAGAATTACATTTTTTTTCGATGGAGAACCAAAAGGGATGCAAGGCTGCAGTAAAGGTTATAAGGACCACCGCCCTATGGCGGTCTCACGTGGTATTCTGCCCCTCCCACAACGCTCCCAGCCCCTCCCA